AGAGAAGATTGATAGCCACATACATCACCATTGGTGGAGCCTCTAGGTTGGGCATGCCCTTCAAAAGGCCCCTGCCCTGCCTCAGCCTTATTGACTTTTCCTGGTGTCACCCTGCTTTCTATCCAGGACATCCTCTTTGACGCGAATACACACAAAGTAAAGAAGTTTGTCCTGCACACCAATTACCCCGGGCATTATAATTTTAACATGTGAGTACAACCATTTCTACACTCTGAGAAGTGAGCATTGGGCTAAAAGCCCCCAGGAAAAAGAAGTTGGGGCTTTGGGTGCTCGCTAGTTCGTCTCTGCCTAAGAGGGCTTTGTTTGGTGTGGTTAGTTTTGTTTAGCAGTGTTGGAGATGGTCAAGGCTCTGCGGCACTGAGGTGACCTCACAGCTTCTCCTTGAATTCTCAATTGTTTCATGGGTACTGAATGTGTAAATGCCTTCTATGCTCTTGCTACTATGGCCAGTGCATTCTGTCTCTCTGTTTGTAAAAGGAGTAGAGAGAGATCAAAATCTTGAAGGGGATAAATTCTGTAGTCCTCAGAGTCTTACCCTTTTGGGTCACTTCATTGCCTAAATTGGGGCTTCCTTGGTGAGTTCTGAGGCCAGAGCCTCAAGCCTGGGCTCTGGGCGGATATGTTAGGTTCTGTTTTTTTCTGGGGTACAGAGTAGGGATGTAGATCAGGCTTCCCAGGAACCCAGTCTTTACTCTCTCTCTCATCTGCCTTCTCTCTAGCTATCACCGCTGTGAGTTCAAGATCCCACTAGCCATAAAGAAAGGTGAGTAGGCTATTCCGTTAGGTTAAGGAAGAAAATTTAGGGCTGGGAAGTTGGCTCAGTGGTAGAGCGCTTGCCTTGCATGCCTGAAGCCCTGGGTTCGATTCCTCAGCACCACATAAGCAAAAAGAAAAACCCGGAAGTGGCGCTGTGACTCAAGTGGTAGAGCGCTAGCCTTGAGCTGAAGAACAGTGCGTAGGCCCAGAGTTCAGGCCCCACGACCGGACCCAAAAAAAAAAAAAGGAAGAAAATTTAGACTCATTTGTCCTCTTGAGAAGGGGGAGGAAGCCAGGCAGAGAGGGTGGTGGTTAGTTGGTATAGCCTTTGCCCATAACCTCAGCTCCTCTGGGATGGGGCCCCTTGTTTTAAGGGCTTCTTCGTTGGTGGTCTAGTGTCCTGGAGACCCTCATGGCCTTAACCGTTGGCTAGGATTGTTGACTACTGGAAGGGAAAGTTTCCTATCTATAGATGACCACCCAGTGCCCTCAAGCCATGCTTGGTACCCACTGCTGGTTGGTATAGCTAAGGCTTAAATTGGTCTCCCTAAAACCTTTCATCCTCTTCAGTTTTGGAGCTCCAAACAGCCTGTTTTGTGTGTCTGCTCCACCCTAACATAGAAGCTGGCTGGGTGTGGATTCTGCCTGTGGCTAGGGCCAGGTGGGCTAAGCCAACTACCAGCATGGTCCCTGTGTTCTTTTTCAGAAAATGAAGATGGTCAGACAGAAACATGCACCACCTACAGTAAGGTGAGAGTTCCTGTTTTCCACCTGAAAATGAGATGGGGCAGGAGCCTGACAGCATTCTGGGGCTGGCCACTGGTCCCAGTATGACCCTACTAACCCTGCTGCCCCTTCTTTATCTCTTACAGTGGGACAATATTCAGGAGCTCCTGGGCCACCCTGTGGAGAAGCCTGTTGTTCTACACAGGTGAGTGGGAGGTTGCCATCTCTGACCACTCCATCCTGCTTCTGAAAACCCAGAGGCCTGCCAGTGGGTATTGCTACCTCACCCAGCATGTTAAGGCTCAGACAGCCTAGAACAAGTGCCTCTTGTTATAGCTCCCTTCTACCTGCCCTGGGGCTAGGTGTGGGAGCCCTCTTATCCCTAGTTAGTTAGAACAGGAAGCTGATCTTGACTGTTGAGTCAGGGATTCTTAAGGATTCTAAGTTGACTGAGGCCATGCCAACTCTTAAGGTCTTGAGGCCCTTAAGAACCAGGCATGCACTCTGCCATGAGAGACCACTAAGCAGTGGCCCACATCCCAAAAGGGACTGGATGTTCTTCTGGCTTTGCCCCAGTTTGCTCCTCTAATCCTGATTTCTCTGGCCTCAGGTCCTCTTCTCCAAACAACACCAACCCATTTGGCTCCACATTCTGCTTTGGTCTTCAGCGGATGATCTTTGAGGTAAGTTTAGTGAGTTAGAGATTGGTAGTCATGGCAGGAACAGGCAAATGATGGAGGGAAATTGAGGAGGGCCTGTCATTCTAGGCAGTAATCCTTCTTCAGAAGTGATATTGGGAAAATGCAGGGTTATAGAGGCTGAAGCTTATATCCAGAAAGATGAAAAGTAACAGAGATCCTATGTATTTCTATCTTAAAACAGGCATAGCAGGAAAGGGGACCCAGGGTAATGGGGCTAAAGGTAGCATATTGGGGAGGCCCTTGAGTGTTGTGAATGGACTGTGGGGGAGTGGCTTTGATGGGCCTAATGACTTGGGAGATGAATGAGTAGCGCCCATTTTCTGTCTAGATGCCACACCTTCAGCAGCCTCTTAGCAGTTGCAGAAGGGCTGGATAAATGGGTGTGGTAACTGCATTTCCGATGAGGAAAAGACAGGTCCTCTGCTAGAAGTGGTACCTGCAGCATGAACTGGGGAAGGTTGAGGGGTCAGAAAGCTCAGGCCTTGGATTCAGGTGAATTATATGTGTGCCCTCAAGCCCTGTACACAGATCATGCATCCCTTCTATCTCTCCCCTTAACCTATTGTTGTCTTCTCACACCAGGTCATGCAGAACAACCACATCGCCTCAGTGACTCTGTATGGTCCCCCTAGGCCCGGTGCCCACCTGAGAACAGCAGAGCTCCCCTAGAGATATTTCCCATGCCCCTTTGCCTGTGGAACTGTGCATTGCATCTAGCTCAGTGGGTCTCTGTGCCACCCTGTGGCTTTTCTGGACAAGTTGCCAGTGTTGAAGGGTTGTAGGATGTTCCCGAGGTGGGTCTCAGGCTGAATGCTCTTCCATGGGACAGTCGGCCCAGACATTCTTCTGTCCATTCTAAGCCTGCTGCTGCTGGCAGGAAACACGGACTGCAAAGACAAGCACAAACTTTGATCCTTGGTATCTGGACATGGGGGTTCTCGATATACTGGAGCAGGATACGTCAACCCTTGGCTGAGGACACAAGTGCCCTGGATGACGACGAGGCCCTGCCTTGGGGCGCACATTGCCACGTGACCCTTAAGGCAAGCAGGTTGTGTGTCCATAGTACTTGGTTGCCATGTTTGCACTACATCCACTTCAGTGACTTGATAAGCTGGTTGTGGCCAGGATGGCCCGCGCAACTGTCCCTGTTCCTTTCGTGCACGTGCTCCCTGCCAGGCCAGGAAGCACCCCATCTAAATAGGAAACAGCTTTCTACCATCCAGGTATGTGGCAGGCCTGGTTCCCACTGCTCTTGGAGTCAGCTTTTAAGGTTACGTGTGCCTCTGCTTGGCCCACCCTGGCTGGCAGGACTGCATGTTTCCATCCTGTTTGCCTCTTTATTTTAATGCCAAAGTTTTAGCCAAAGACATCTTCCTCCTTTTGTCATGTTCAGCATTCTATTCTGCACTGTGGGCCAGTCCCTTGCCCCAACCCTGGGTACTGTCCCTTGGCCAGGCCACTCGGAGCTCAAGGCCTCTCGGAGCTCAAGGAAGGCTGGGCTACTTGATTCCTTCATGGATATTGCTAAAGGAAAATAGCATATATGTGCTTTAAAATATTAATCCTTTTGAAAAGAATTGAGAAGAGAAATGTATAATTTTATCCCATTTTTAATATTTTGGTCTAGCAACTTGTGATACATAGATGAAAATTTTTGTGAGTTTTTCAAATGTGTATACAGACTTTTGTAAATATGACTTTTGTAATTAACTCATGTACAGCCTCATCCTGTATAGTTCATGAATGTGCAGGGGACCTGCCCCACGTGCCAGTACAGCTCCTGGACCTACACCCAGGCCTCTGTGGCACTCCCATGACTTTGTGACTGACTAGTGTCTTCCCATTGGACTGTGGTCTGGCCAGAGACCCTGCATATCCCACTGCCGGGGTAGCCAGGACTGTGCCCATCTTCTTGGAATGGGGAAACTTCCTCGTTCCCTGCCTACATCCCTTCTCCAATAAAGCACCTATGCCCTCAGCAATGGCCCACTGTGTGCTGCTGCTGAGATGTTTGTACTAAAATCAGTGTGGAAGTACTGGTCTTTTGAAGGAGGGGTGGTTGAGGAACATGAATTTATAGTGGAGGAATCTTAGAAGGGCTCCTCAGTTCCTCTAAAGTGACTGGGACAGCTGTCAGGACATTGGCCTCATTGTCTGGGTTTAGGAGCTGGGAAGACTTTAGGTAAGACAATGATAGTTCTCCCCTATACTTGGCTCCATCCCTGGTGTTTCAGGCAGATTTGGGCCCAGGAGGGGTTGACTAGAAAAGTAAAGTTCAGCCAGGCTCTGATAGCAAATGCCTGTAATCCTAGCTACTCAGGAGACTGAGATCTGAGGATCATGATTCAAAACCAGCCTGGACAGGAAAGTCAGTGAGACTTATCTCCAACTAACCACTAGAAAACTGGAAGTGGAGCTGTGATTCAAATGGTAGAGCGCTAGCCTTGAGCTGAAATGCTCAGGGACAGTGCCCAGGCCCAAAGTTCAAGCCCCACGACCAGAAAGAAAAAGAAAAGTAAAGCTCAGAGAGGAGAAATATAAAGTGGACACAAGGGTGGCCACGGTCCAATTTGGATGAGCAGGTGGGGAGCAAAATGTCTACTTTTGGCTGGTTGAGCAGACTGCCTGCTACAACAGTCCATGAAGCCCCAGGTCTGGTCTTGAGATTTCTGTGTTTATACTGACCCAAGGGTTCTAACCACACCTACACACCACTGTGGATGATATTTGCTCCTAGGAGGCCTAACGTACTTCTTTAGGGCCTGTGAGGCAAAACATGGTTATCCACCACCTGGGCCCTCTCAGTGGGTCCAGATCCGCTGTTGGTAGTGTGAGCCCGCAGGAGCCAAGCTCCATCTCCATTCTCTGGGATCCTTCAGAAGCAGACACACGATGGGCTGGGGGAAGGCCACACACACACCCATAATCGGTACAGTATTGGAAGCCTCTTTAAGCTGCCCTCTGGCTCCATCTTCAGGCAGAGTGAGGAGAAGGTTGGGGCTAAGAGCTCCATTGAAAGGGGACAGCAGCCACCGGCTGCGGATGCGCACAGACAGGCCCGTGTGGTCGGTGCAGCAGGTGCCACATGAGCCAAATATCAGAGGCGGAGAGCCCGTGCACTAGCACCAGTTCGCGGTAGAAGCAGGGGTCAAAGGTGCGCAGATGAGGCGCGGCTGAAGGCTGGGAGATGCCAAAGGTACGGAAAGCGGAGTGAGGCTCAGGCGTGAGCCGCAGGCGCTGCAGACACATGCCTAGAAAGACATCATCGATGGGAAAGAGCTCAACCTGCGCGCAGGCAGCGGCCAGGCGGCGCAGCGTGGCCCTGGAGAGCACGAAGCCCCCTCCGCCCGCGTAGGCCGGATAGGCAGGCAGGCCGTACACAGCCTCGGGGATGTAGTACTTGCTCGCCCTCGCACGGATTGGCCGCGCCTGCACAATCACGTCGCCCGCAAGCAAGTCCTGGGTGGGATCCCGAGGCGCCAGGAACTCCAGCAGGTTCCCCAAGTGCACAAACACATCAGCGTCGCCCTTAAAAATGAAGCGCGCCTCAGGGCAGAAGGCTGAGGCCCAGTTCAGAAAATGGATCTCCTTGAGCGTCAGGTTGAAAAAGGTGTCGTCAAAAGCCCAGAGCAAGATGTCACCATATACCAGACTCTCGGCCCTCAGCAGCGCGCGCCAGTGAGTCGGCGTGCTCGGCCCTTCGGAGTCCCCGCGGTCGGTGCCTGCGGCCCGGGGCACACCCAGCAAGAACACGCGGCGCACGAGCGCCCCCTGCACGCGGCCCTCGGCACCCCATGTCTGGCGCACGGCCTGGCGCCGCTCGAAGTCTGCAGCCACCGACTTGACGGCGATGAGCAGATCCGGCTGGGGGCCGCGGCACTTGTGCGGCTGGTTGATGAGCAGCGCGAAGCGCCGCTGGTCCTTGGCGCGCAGGTAGCGGCCGAAGTCAAAAGGGCCCGGGGGCGTGGGTGGCACTGGCGTGTCCCCTTCGTAGGCCGGCGGGGCTACGTCGGGAGCCTGGAACTTGCGAGGCCCGGGGGTGGGCCTCTGGGTCGCCAGTCCTGGCGCTGGCGACAAGCTGGTCGTCGGGGCTGCCCCGTCACGCTGCGTGTAGAGTAGGAGGCCCAGGCTGGCACCGAGGAGCAGCGTCATGGACGCGTCCCGGCGGAGGCGCAGCCTCTTCCTCATGGCCGTTTAGCCAGCGCCCGCCCTCCCTTGCAGGGGTCACTTCGGGGGTCCCCAGGCGGTGGTCGCAGGCCGGGGCTCCCAGTCCCGCCCTCCCCGAGAGGTGGAGACCGGAGGCCACGCCCCGGCCTCCAGCTAGCGGCGATCCATCCCCTGTGGTCAGCCTCTGCACCAGGGTCCTGAGGCACAACCTGAAGGAATAAGAGGTCGACTCGATGCAGCCCCCTCGGCCGGGGCCCAGGGCCGCGGCCCGCCCGCGGCGCTGAGACGGAGCTTCGGCCCTACGCCCAGCCCAGCCCCGCGCTGAAGCCCAATCCCGCTCTACTTTTCCTTCCCAGTCCCGGCTTCTGTTCCAGGGATCCCAACACTCACACTCAATCCCAGAGCGATGTAGCACCCGGATATCGGGACCTCGGACTCGGTGCAGGGTCCCAAGGGCGGCCACGGCCGGGGCCTGGGCCAAATGCAGAGTTGGCAAGAAGGGGGGGGGGGGGGGGGGGGGGGGGGGGGGGAGAGGGGGGGACATAGAGACAGACAGGGGGGGGGGGAGTGGTGCCACGTGACCCTCCAGCTGTGAGCGCCAGGACATCTGGAGCTGAGCTCCGCCCAGGCGCTAGGAGTGCCTGGAACACCTCCATCTCCGAGTGGAGACTAATCCCGAGAGCATTGCTCACAGGCCCTTTCTCCTGGGAAAGCCTGCTCTTGGCGCTAGGGAAGCTCTTCCAGTCTGCCTTCCTATGGCTTGGGAAGTGTCTGGTTACTCCTACCCCTTCTGTGGAGCAGATGGGACTGAGTTTTTAGGAGCCTCGAGCCCACCAGTGGGTTCCAAATCCCCAGGCTGAGCAGCTTGGTGTCCATCTGGCCATTACTGCGGCCTACCCTTTCTTCTTCAGAGTCTTTTCTCAGCAACCCTGGTCCCACCAGGCAGGGGCTGCCCCTGGACACATGGCGTCCTCCTTTGCTCCAGGCTCAGCCAAGTCTGCCCTCCCGTAAGAACAAACACATAAACAAGATAGCTTGTCCAGCCCTGCCAGCCACTCTCATAGCCAGATGGGGGCACCACTCCCCTAAGAGTTAACTGACTTGTCCAGAATCACACAAGTAGAAAGTACTGCCCCTAGGTCTTCTGTAACTCAGGGATCTTCTGGGATAGACAACATAGGACCAAGTCTGTGTTCGTTCTTCAGGAAAGCACCTAAGTCTTTTCTTCCCAGGACTAGTCTTAGTTTTGAATTCCCTGGTCTTCAGTATAGACTTCTCAGGAAGGAAAGATCATCATGCCTAAAGTCACTGAAGGCTGGCCAAGGAAGCCCCTAAAAAAGCCAGTGAGCAAAAGCTTGACCTGCGTAGGGAGCAGGTGGTTCACATCTGTAATCCTAGTTACCCCAGAAGCCAAGATCCAGAAAATTGCAGCTAGAAGGCTGGTCCAGATTAAAAAGAAAAGAAAAAAAAATTGAGGCTGGTGGCTCATGCCTGTAATCCTAGCTATTCAGAAGGCTGAGATCTGAGGATAGCGGTTCAAAGCCAGCCCGGGCAGGAAAGTCTGTAAGCCTCTTATCTCCAGTTAACCACCAGAAAATCAAAAATGGCGCTGTGGCTCAAGCTCAAGTGGTAGAGCGTGAAGAGCTCAAGGACAGCCAGCGCCCAGGCCCAGAACCACAACCGAAAAAAGAAAGAAAAAAAAAACAAAACAAGTTGGGTGACCCCATTTCAACAGAAAAAAAGCTGGGTATAATACACAGGAAAATGTGCCTGCACAACTTTCTGAGGAGGGAGTTTGGGGCCCCTGGATGTATTGTTCTAAGTTCAGGAAAGGTCAGAACTAAAGATTGGTGAATGAGCAGGTGGGAGTAGGTAGGGTGAACCAAGAAATGGTATAATCCAAGGACAAACCAGCCACTATTGTAATACAGGGTAGCCAGACAGTCCAGATTGGGGATCATCCATTGCATTAAGAAGGTTCAGCCCAGCTGGGCACTAGTGGCTCACGCCTATAATCCTAGCTATTCAGGAGGCTGAGATCTGAGGACCAAGGTTCAAAGCCAGCCCCAGGCAGGAAAAAATCCATGAGACTTTGATCTCCAATTAGCCACCAGAAAACTGGTAGTGGTGCTGTGGCTCAAGTGGTAGAGCACTGGCCTTGAGTTGAAGAGCTCAGCACACAGGCCCAGAGTTCAAGCCCCATAACCAACCAAAAAAATAAAAGAAGGTTCAGCCCAGTGGGAAGTGAGGTGATGGGAAAACTGGAGTAAAGGGCCTGCAGATTGTGGACAGGGAGGAATGAAGCTCACAATGGAGGGTTTACTCTTCAGGGAGGAAGCAGGAAGGAATTAAAGGAGAGGTACAGCCCCTAGAAAAAGGATGACAGCACCACTGGCTCCAGGTGCCTGTTTGCAAGACGCTTAATCTAAGGCAACAGTGGGAGGCCTGAGAGACAGAGGATGGGAGGTCCTGAATTCAAGCCCCAATACACGCAGAAATAATCAAATCCAATGTCTGAGAGCCCGTTTTACTGTGAAATTTCCCTAGCAATGTATTTGGAATTTTTCTTTTCTAATTCAAGCCCAAGGGATCAGACACAATTAAAACAAGATTGTTTTAGAACCCAAGTGGTAAAAATGGTTCATCAGACTACTTAATCCCTCACGTGTTACTCATCAATCCCTCCCCCATCCAACCATTCAAAAGTTGATGTCTGTTGGAATGCGCCTCCCACAAAACCCCTACTTGAGCCAGCTGCATTCCACCTGAGTCTGCTGTGCCTAAAACACTGTCCTTGGAAAAAGTCCCCCCCCCCCCCGCTCCCTCCTGCTCACCCTCATCTCTTCCAGATCTCTGCACGTGCAAAATGACTACACTTCATGAGGACTGCTGTGTGCTTCAGTCCCATACTGGGTGTGACTGAGGAACTGCAGGACTCCTGTATCTTCCTCAATTGAGGTGATGCCTAGTACTCTGAAGGTCCAGGTGTTTGTTTTTGAGACCCAGTCTAATGCAGCTCATCCTCCTGCTTCAACCTCTGAAGTACTGGGATCAACGGAACGACAGCATTAGCTACCACACCTAGCCGTGATTCAGGTGTTTGATAAGTTGCGGTGCAGAGAGGAGGAGTGAGGGGAGGGCAGAAGCCTCTACATTCTGTCACCATCAAAGAATCTGGAGCAGAATGGGCCAATGATGCACCGTAGGGGGCGGGGGAGCTCAATGGGTGCTATCTAGCTTCTGGCCCAGGCTATCAACTGTGTCCCAGATGCTCTAACAGTTCCCTGATGGTGTGTGTGTATATACTCTGAGTTCCGTGGATGGAAGGGGAGCAGCAGTAACAACAGTAGAAATAGAAAGGACCCTGGAGCCATCAGGCAGGCGTCAAGCCCTGGCACACTGCGTCTTCCTCGGTACCGGGCCTAGACCAGGCCATTGGGATCCGCCAGGCCTAGCAGATCCTCAGCCAGACTGGTGAGCTCGTTCTCCTCCAGCGCCTCCACCAGACGCTGCAGCGTGGCCCGACGGCCCTCGGCCTGCACGAAGCGCCTCAGCAGCTGGAAGGCCTGCTCGTAGAGCCCCTCACGCTCGTACTCATAGGCCAGCGTGTCCAGTGCGGGGTCGCGCAGAGCCCGGCAGTCGCGCTGCAATGAGCGCCCCACCCTGCGCCACTTGAGGCCCACTGAGCGGGCGAACTTCTGTTGGTCCTGCAGGCTCAGGGGCCGATTCACTGCAGAGAGAATGGGGAGGGGAAGAGAATGGACACCAAGAATCCTTGGTGCCGGCCCCAGAGACTCCAGGGCCCAGCGCTCGTTCTGGCCCAAACTTCAACCTCCAGTGACCCCCTCCTCCTCACCTATGTGCTGACCCTGGAACAGAAAAGTCTGGTCAGACTGGGGCGGCGGCTTCTCCTCTGGCGGAGAGGGGATCGGGAACTCTGAGAGAGCAGGAGTGACCCCCACATGGTCACTCTGGCCCGGGGAGCTGCAGGTCAGATTGCGCAGTGCATCCTCCAGCTCGGTGAGCTCCTCATCCCTGAGACGGTCCGGCTGGGGGAAGAGGAGCGGAGCGCTGTCAGTGAGGCTCTTAGGGGAGAATCCCCGCCCATCTCATCCTAAACCCAGCCGGAGTCGGGGGTGCACCTTCTGGGCTAAGATGCAATTCAAACAGCGCTCCTCATCGGTCAGCGACGCGTCCAGCAGCTCGGTGCCCGCGCGCAGTTCCAGCTGTAGCTGCAGGGAGGGCCGGGAGAGCGCCTGCGCCAAGCACTGGCGCAGCGCGGCGCGCAGCGCCCCCTCGCGGTAGGCGCGGAGGAAGCGAGCGCAGCACTGGCGCCCGCAGAAGCGCAGCTGCACTATCAGCTGCGGATCGCCGCGGTGGATCTTGAGTATCTGCAGCACGTCGGGGCTCTCGGAGCTCTCTGCGGAGGCGAGCAGTCAGGTGCCGGGCGGACCCCCAAACAGAACCGTTCTCCAAGAGGCGGGAAAGGCGAAGCCTGTGGTCCCCATCCCCTAGCTGGGGTGCAGGGTTACCCAGAAAACCCAGTGGAGACACAAACTGGGGTGCAAACAGCAACAATCCGGGAGGGTGGGGGGAAGCCAGGACCTCACAGAGTGGGTCGCAAGACAGAGTGGGTGCCACACAATCCCATCTATGAAGCCCCAAACGTGGGGGGCCAAAGGTCTGCAACAAGAAAAAGGGCGCATCCCCAGAGCCCCAAGCCATCGGTGTCTACTGGGGAAGGACGCGAGGTCTCAAGGGCCACTGCCCCGGCTAAGGCAGGGTGTGAGGAGAGAAGCAAGACCGCTCTGGGGGATGGAGCAGGATTCCCCCAACCAGCTTGATGAGAGAAAAGGAGAACCCAGAAGGGCTGGTACTAGGAAGGGCTCTTGAGCAAGGAGCACTGCAGTTAGAAGGAAAAGAGGAGGGAAAAAAAAGTGTAATTAGTAGAAAGGAGTGAGCTGGCTGGTTGGGAGGGGTGGGGGTGGTGATGCGTAGTAGGGAGGTGTTAGTTCTGAATCATACAAGGACACAGGTACAAATGTCTACGCTTAAAGACACATGCAGTAAGCAGAGAAGGTAGCTGCTACTCAGCCAGAGGTCTGCTTTGCTCCTTAACCCCCACTTCCCATTAAAACGTGTCCCTTATTCGGGTTAAACCTAAACTCACAAAGTCAAAGGGGTGGGGCCTCAATCCCAGCCACTCCCACAAAGCTCTCCAGCCACCTCCCCCACCTCCATACACACACACACACACACACACACACACACACGCATACCCCCATTCCATACCTGCCAATGCTGTCTGCAGAGCCCTGAACACGGCCACCTTCTTCTCAGGGTGTGCATAGGCTTCGGCCAGGTCCACCTTGTCCAGTGATGACTCCAAAAACAGGTATGCGCTGCCCACCCATTCTTCATGCCCATTTGGCCCAGCTGCCATCTTGCCTCCTGAGACCCATACAAGCAACCAGGTCACCCCCAGCCTTGGAGAGAATGCTATGTGGTCCAACAGTCCCTCCACAGCAGCCCCAGTCAGCTGGCACACTTGGGGCAAAGATGCTGCCTGCCCTGCATCTATTTAGTTTCTGCCTTTCCCCTTCCTTTTTTTCCCTTTCCTCCCTCCTCCATCCCTTCCTCTCCCTTCCCCCCCCCCTCCACTTCAAAGCAGACCTGTAGTTTGCTCCTACACAGATGCCGCTCCCCCATCCCCAACCCTTACAGGTCTGAGATAACTCTTTTGAACCCCTTGCTTGTTGGGAAGAGAAATGGCACTCCTTAGATCCAGTTGTGGCCAGGTAAAGAAGGCCTGACCAATTTTCATGTTCCATTCACCACAATGCAAAGACTAGTTCAGACTTGATATGGAGCTCAAGATGGACCAATGAGAATCGATCCTGCAACGATGGCTACACCAATAGGAAAGAGGCACTACTTTCTCTATGTCTGGGGCTGAAATGAAGAGTAGGGAAGAGCCTGATTGCCTGCAGATGAACCTGACACAGAAGGAACAGAGCTAAGAAAGGGGAAGGTGTACTCTTAACCACACTAAGCCCCTGGATCCATTAATCCCTGAAGGCACCCTGAAAAGTTCAGATGTGAGCTAAAGTCTTCTGTGTTATAAGCTCCTTTGAAGTTGGGATTGTTTTTCTCCTTCAACCCAAATTGTTCAATTTGAACTAGCCCCCTTGGAGCTGTTACCTCCTCTATCCACCTTCTGTCAAAAGTCTGGTCCTCAAAGGAGGATATTCTTTTTTTTTTTGTCGGTCATGGGGCTTGAACTCTGGGCCTGGGCGCTGTCCCTCAGCTCTTCAGCTCAAGGCGAGCACTCTACCACTTGAGCTACAGCGCCACTTCCAATTTTCTGGTGGTTTATTGGAGATAGGAGTCTCATGGTCTCTCCTGCCCAGGCTGGCTTTGAACCGCGATCCTCAGATCTCAGCCTCCTGAGTAGCTAGGATTACAGGCGTGAGCCACCAGCGCCCAGCTAAAGGAGGATATTCTTAGGAGAGAAACACAACACAAAGGCACAATGCCTGTGTGCATCTAATCATATAAAATAGTATCTATCAAAATGAACTCCAGGAAATGGAAACAAGAGGTTTTTCTGTGTTGCCTTTTTTTTTTGGTTGTGGAGCTTGAACTCTGGGCCTGGGCACTGTTCCTGAGCTCTTCAGCTCAAGGCGAGTGCTCTACCACTGAGCCACAGCGCCACTTTCCAGTTTTCTGATGGTTAATTGGAGATAAGAGTCTCAAAGACTTTCCTGCCTGGGCTGGCTTTGAACCATGATTCTCAGATCTCAGCCTCCTAAGTAGCTAGGATTATAGGTATGAGCCACTGGCGCCCAGCTTTTGTTGCTGTTTTGTTTTCTTTCTTTCTTTCTTTCTTTCTTTCTTTCTTTCTTTCTTTCTTTCTTTCTTTCTTTTCTTTTCTTTCTTTCTGTCATGGGGTTTGAACTCAGGGCCTGGGCACTGTCCTTGAGCTTTTTTGCTCAAGGCTAGTGCTCTACCACTTTGAGTCATAGCACCACTTCAGGTTTTCTGGTGATTAATTAGAGATAAAAGTCTCACAGACTTTTTGCCTGGGCTGGCTTTGAACCATGATCTTCATATCTCAGCCTCCTGAGCAGCTGGGATTACAGGCATGAGCCACAGTGCCCAGCTTGTTTCCTTTTTTTGGTCTTGTTTCTTTATCTGTCTTTGGGAGGGTAAAGGGGGCCCCAGAAATGGAGGAACAAAGGAATGAACAAATGCATTGGTGGTACTCACTAAACACTATGTTGAAAATGAAATGTACAACTTGTGTGTGGAGATGGGAAGGAAAACCGGTGAGGGAATGAGGGAAGGGGAGATGGGAAGGAAAACCGGTGAGGGAATGAGGGAAGGGGTAACACTGCCAAAAAAAAAAGAACTGTACTCTTTACCTGGCTTATGTAACTATAACCCCTTTGCCCATCACCTTTTTTTTTTCTTTTTTTTTTTTTTTTGCTTATGTGGTGCTGAGGAATCGAACCCAGGGCCTCAGGCATGCAAGGCAAGCACTCTACCACTAAGCCAACTTCCCAGCTGCCCATCACCTTTATATATTTTTTTATTTTTATTTTTTTTTGTCGGTCATGGGGCTTGAACTCTGAGCCTGGGTGCTGTCCCTCAGCTCTTCAGCTCAAGGCGAGCACTCTACCACTTGAGCTACAGCGCCACTTCTGGTTTTCTAGTGGTTTATTGGAGATAGGAGTCTCACGGTCTTTCCTGCCTGGGCTGGCTTTGAACTGCGATTCTCAGATCTCAGCCTCCTGAGTAGCTAGGATTACAGGCGTGAGCCACCGGTGCCCGGCCTCCATCACCTTTATAATAATAATAAAAAATTTAAAAAAACACCTGGTCCTAGGTGGTGGTTCACATCTGTAATCTGAGCTACTCAGGCAATTGAGATCTGAGGATCTGGTTTTGAAGCCAGTCCCAGTAGGAAAGTCCTCTAGATTCTTATTTCTAACCACCAAAAAGCCAGAAATGGAGCTGTGACTCAAGTGTTAGAGCATTAGCCGTGAGTGGAAAGAGCTAAGGGGCAGTGCCCAGGTCCTGAGTTCAAGCCCTAGTATTAGCATGCATACACACACATGCACACGTGTGTGTGCGCACACACACACACACACATAAATACAAATACAAATAGCCTGGTCCTAGACCAAGGCGTTGGGAGTCGGGGATTTCCAGCTAGGAAACCACTGCTTTGAATCTCAGCTCGGTAGCCTCCAAGTTAGTGCCTCATGAGGCAAGTGGGGAAACTGCTCTGCCTCTTCTTTTCCACCCGACCTAAAGCAACGTTTCCACTTTTCCTATGAACATGGGCTCAAGACCCCCTCTCCTGCCCTATCAGTCATGTTCCTTTACTCTCTAATATTCATCATTTACATACAGTGGGTAGAAGGAGTGCTGATCTGAAGTACTCGGCAGGACCCATGAATAGTGTCCCAACTGGCTTCTATTTACACAAATGACAGGAAGTCTCAGGGGAAAAGGTGCCAGCCTTGGACATAGTTGAGAAAGATCTTGCGCCCATTGCAGAAGCTGCATTTCAGATCTGCCCCCAGAGCCAAACTAATACCCAAGCTGGGATGGTGCCTGGGCAGGGGGCCTCTGCTATCACCCAAGGACCTGGCAAGAGAAATGATCCTTGGTAACAGCTATCTGGGTCTAAGGGAACACATTTATTGGCAAATCTCTTAGAAAACATATTGTTACTTGTGTGTTTACCCAAAACTAGTCTAAAAAATAACACTGTGTTTATCTTTGGTCAGGGTTGAAAAGATTGGAGGTAATTTCTATTTTTCCTATATTTAAACACATTGCCTTTGTAGTAAGAGAAAAAGAAAAGGCAAAGTAAGAGCCAGGTATGGCTCTGAATGCCTGTAATCCCAGCACATGAGAGACTGAGACAGAATGATCTGGACTTGGAAGCCAGTCGGAGCTATATAGTGAGACCATGTCTCTAAAACAGAGAAAGGAGAAGGGAAGGGAGGGAAAAGGGAGAGAAGAGGAGAAAGGAGAGGTTTTCTTTTTCCTACGAATACTGGGCTTGAACTCAGGGCCTCCAGATCTTGCTTGGCTTTTTTATTCAAGACTAGCTCTCTACCACTTGAGCCACAGTTCCACTTCTAGCGTTTTGATGGTTAATTGGAGATAAGAGTCACAGGCTTGGGCTGGGAAGGTGGCTCAGTGGTAGATTGCTTGTCTTGCATGCATGAGGCTATGGGTTCAATTCCTCAGCACCAGATAAGCAGAAAAGGCCAGAAATGGTGCTGTGGCTCAAGTGGTAGAATGCTAGCCTTGAGCTGAAGAGCTGAGGGACAGCACCCAGGCCCAGAGTTCAGGTCCCACGACTGACAGAGAGAGAGAGAGAGAGAGAGAGAGAGTGTCACAGGCTTTTCTGTCCAAGCTGGCTTACAACTTTATGAGATCCTCAGATCTCAGCCCTTTGAGTAACTAGGATTATAGGTATGAGCTACCATTGCCTGGCTATTTTTTTTAAGACAAAATAAAAATAAGAACAGAATAAGACTCTCTAGGGCCAAGAAAAGTTAGGCAGCCAACCAAAGAGGAATTCAAAAACAAGTGGGGAACACTAGGGACTTGATCTGGTAGAGCCCCAAAACCTTTTCTCTTTCACATCCTCCTATCTTTCTGGCTTAGAAGTGCTGAGTAAATGAATATGATCTCACCTTAAAGGGTGGGTGTAGGGACAGAAGAGACCTGAGTCTGCCCAGCAGACAGTGATGGAGCATTCTGCACCACACCCAGTAGGACTGGGGAAATGGAAGGAGTTTGCTGGTCTGGGCTGAAGGCCTAGATGTTGTTAATAGGTTAAAGAGTTTAGGGCTGTGGGTGGGGACAGGAGGGAAAAAAGGAGAGAGAGCGAGGGAAGGGGTGACATTGTCCAAAAAGTAATGTACTCTTTCCTGACTTATGTAACTGTAGCCCCTCTTTACATCACCTTTATAATAACAAAATTATTTAAGAGTTTGGGGGTTGAGGGATCCGGCTCATCTCCCTTGTCCCCTTGTAAACCCTTCCTATTTGTCCTTCTCCAGAAAACCCCTCCTGTTTGGGGGAAGCCCCGCCCACCAGGAGTCTGCCCCGCCCATGGGAGGGGCTTCTGAGCTGGGTCCTGAGGATGCTCAGTGGTCCTTAGGAACAGCTGCTGCACTACCAGACGCACGGCACCCCATGAACGCACGGCAGGCCCCAGGGGCTGCCCCGCTTCTGCATGGGAGGTCAGACATGGCCCAAGGACTAAAAGCCTGCCCTAGTGGGGGGCCCACGCCCCCAACACAGTGGAGACCCCCGAGCCCAGCGTCCAACTGAACTGGATTGCAAGTCTGGGGCCCAGGCGAGCTGGGGGAGGGGGGGGTCTCCGCTCACGGAACTGTTCACCCCAGCCCCTCCCCCGCACTTTCGTCCTAAGTGGGGGGGAGGGGAAGCGCCCCTCAAAAGCCATTATTAGTTGGCACAAGAAATCTGAAAGCGGCAACCTCCCCCCTCCCGCCCCACAGGCCGCCCCCACCGGCCGGGCCGGGCGGCCGTGCGTGACAGCGCGGTGTCCACGCGCGGAAGCCCGATCCCCGCCTCCACTCCCGCCACACCAGGGAGCCCACCCTCCCTCCGCGCCTCGGCACTAACCTGGCCGCCCGCCTCGGCAGGGCCTGGGCTCCCACGCCCGCCACGCTTGGCTCTGCTCCCCGCGCCGCTTCCGGGTGTGCGCGGAGAACCCGGGGCGGTGCCCCAACCGGAGCCGCCCGCGCGTCCCGCCCTCTCGGCGCCCCGGACTCCTTCCTTCCCACCCCGCAGCCCTGTGCACCCAGTCCCCCGCCTCGGGGCAAAGCCACCTTGGTCTTCTAAGCAGGTAAGATATTGGTGCCTGAGGTTAGGTGGCAGGAGGAACTTCCCCGTGGGTCGAGAGTTTAGGCTCTAAAGTGTGGCGCCTCCCCTTCCCCCTAACGGGCTCCGGTTTTCCCTCTGTTCCTAGCAGATCTACAACAGGGCACTCCTGGGGGAACTCGAATTTCCTAATGCCCCCTGGATATATGGCTCGATCATTTGATCTCGGCTTTTCCCTAGCACTCAAAATGAGGTGTCATGGGTCCCTCGTCCACGCCTGGCCCGGAGTGTCCGAAGGCCCAGAGTACACGTGGCATCTGGAATATAAGGGGAAATTAACAACCAAGTGACTTAAGACATGCAGGACACCCTGCAGGCACCCTGACACAAATTGGTAAGCTCAAAGAATACTCAAAAACCTGCGCTCTGCGGGGTGCCAGCCGAACCTAAATTGTCCAGCGGGAACCGGGGCTGCTCCGGAGTCTGGGTCGGAACTTGAACTACAGCCCTCCAGGCGTCAGAGCAGACAGGCCCCAGAACCTCCGGCTTTTATCTGCCCTGCTAGTCTGTCAGTGGGAAGAACACAGGCAACTCCCCTCCCAGTGAGGAAGCAGCAGCAAAAATGCCTCCCCTTTCTAGGCGGATCCAGAAGACCTGGTTTCTGATTGGCTAGTGGGCACTGACAAATGAACGTTTTCAGCTTAAGCTCCTGCTTTTATTAACCCTGTAGTCACCATGACAACGGGACAGTTTCTCTACCTGGGCCCTGTGGAATCACCTGGAACTTGTCCAACAAGTGAGAAAGTAGTATAAAGGCCAGAAACCCAGTTAGGCACTAGTGGCTCATGCCTATAATCTCAGGTACTCAGGAAGCTGAGATCTGAGGAGCCTTAGTTTAAAGCTAGTCCCAGCAGACCAATCAGAAAGTTTCTTATCTCCAATTAACCAGCAAAAAACTGGAATTGGAGGTATGGCTGAAGTGGTAAAGCACCAGCCATGAATGCTAAAGCCAGGTTAGCACATGAGGCCTGGAGTTCAAGCCCTAGTACCAACATCACACACACACACACACACACACACACACACACACACAGAAGCTCTTTGGCATTGAGAAACAACTTCATGGATGTAAGACCTACATTGTAAGATAGACCCTCATGTTTAGATTAGTACTTGATCTTGATCAAAAATCTGTAGTCTACTCAGGCATGGTGTAATTCTAACACCCCAGAGGCTGAGACAGGAGGATCTGGAATTCAAGGCCAGCCTGAGCCACATAGCAAGAACTGAAACACATAGCAAAAGTCTATATAATAAAAAACTATCCTGGTGCTGGTGGCTCACACCTGTAATCCTAGCTACACAGGGGGCTGAGATCCGAGGATTGAGATTCAAAGCCAGCCCAGGCAGGAAAAGTTTGTGAGAATATTATCCTTAAGGGCTGGGAATGTGGCTTACTGATAGAGTGCTTGCCTAGCATGCATGAAGCCCTAGGTTCAATTCCCCAGTATCACATAAACAGAAAGCTGGAAGTGGCACTGTGGCTCAAGTGGTAGAGTGCTATCCTTGAGCAAAAGAAGCTCAGGGACAGCGTCCAGGCCCTGAGTTCAAGCTCCAGGACTGGAAAAAAAAATGTTATCTTCAATAAACTACTTTAAAAAGCCAGAAGTGACACTGTGGCTCAAGTGGTAGAGAAACAGGGATAGCTTCTAGGCCCTGAATTCAAGCCCCAGGACCAGCACCAAAAAAGAAAACGACGAAGACAAGAAGAAAATGAAGAAAAGGGGGAAAAAAAGAATACCTCTGGGGCTGGGAAGTTGGCTCAGTGGTAGAGTGCTTGCCTTGCATGCATGAGGCCCTGGGTTTGATTCCTCAGCACCACATAAGCAGGAAAAAGCCAGAAGTGGCGCTGTGGCTCAAGTGGTAGAGCACTAGCCTTGAGCTGAAGAGCTCAGCGCCCAGGCCCAGAGTTCAGACTCCATGACCGGACCCAAAAAAAAAAAAAGAATACCTCTGCTGTTACTACACATACACACAATACTGAGGATCACATCCAAGGCCTTGCTATGCAAGTGTTCCACTACTGAGCTACAGGTTGTGAATGAGGACCCCTGCAACACTGGCTCTGCAAAGTATATGCCAGCTCCCAGGCCACAAGCATTTCTACACCAGTCTCCACTGTTTCTTCAACACTATGGCCTTCCTGAACTCAGGGTTTCCCTCTCTTCTAGGTAAAAGCTGTTTGGAATGGCAAAGCCTCTAACCCCCAGCCACACCACAACTGAGCCAGGAGAACAGCTTCCTGAGGAAGTGCTGGCGCTCATCTTCCGACACTTGCCCCTCAGGGACCGAGCTGCGGCTGCCAGGGTCTGCAGAGCCTGGGCCACTGCTGCCACCAGCAGCACTGTGTGGCAAGACACTAGCATCAGGTGAGCTAGCTCCTCTGTTTGCCCAAATTTTCAAACTTTATGGAGTCAGGGGTTGGAGAGATTCCTTGACTTCTCCATATTGTTTTCAGAAAAAAAAATAATAAGGTGGAGGTAGCTACTATTAGATATTCAAGAGGCTGGGATCCGAGGATCACTGTTCAAAGTCAGCCCAGGCAGGAAAGTCCTTGAGACTCTTATTTCCAATTAACCAGCAAAAAGCCAGAAGTGGAGCTGTGGCTCATTGGTAAAGCATCAGCCTTGAGTGGAAAAGCTAAGGGACAGCACCCAGGCCCCGAATTCAAGCCCCAGTGCCAACACACACACACACACACACACACACACACACACACACACACAGAGTTGCATCACTAACATTTATTAGCTACTACAGTTCTAAGTGCCTTACATTAACTCATTAAACCAAGGGTGGCAGATAAGTAATATTATTATCTCCATTGCATAGACAGGAAACTGAGACATACAGACTTAACCACTACCTAGCTGGTCAATCAGCTAAGGAGTGGTAGAGGTAGAATTTGAACCTGGTAGTCCAGAGACCTGCCTCACTCTTTCGAGACAGCTGAGAAAGACAGTGTTGTTTTGGGCTTTTTTTTTTTCTATATTAGCTGTCCATACCAGGGATAGGGTGGGACTTCCTTCCTATCATCAGTGACTGCCTTTGGGGCTAATTGGTCTGGACAGAGAGGTGCATAATGGAGACAAGAAATGGGGAGGGAATGAGGGCGGAGGGCGTCTCCTAGAGGTTTCTACCCCAGTCAGTGACGCTACCGTGCTTTTTGTGCACCATTTTAATCCAAGTTGTGACTATGAGGGGGAAAGCATGCTATCACCCTATCTGTCCACCTGCTTGGATCACGTTCATAACCTACGACTGGAATGTGATCCATCGAGGAAGCCGAGTCGCCGGGCAGCCACCGAGCTACTGATGGCACTGGCCAGCCGTACCCCCGGGCTTCGAGGCCTGTGCCTGGAATGCCGCGGAGAGAAACCCCTCTTCGATGCAGGCCGAGACATTTTGGAAGCTGTGCAGGCCATCTGCAAGGCCGCCAGGGAGCTGCGACATCTAGACCTGCGGCGCTTGCCCTTCACACTGGATGATGCACTGGTTCTACAGGCTGCACGCGGCTGCCCGGAGCTCCGCAGCCTTTTCTTGGACAACCCTACGCTGGTGGACAACGTAGGGCCCGACTCCATACTCACGCTATTGAAGGCCTGCCCGCACCTCTGCGCTCTTGGCCTGCACCAAGCCAGCCTGTCACGCGCGGTCCTCGAGGCGCTGGCCGCCCCAGATCGCGCGCCTTTTGCACTCCTCGCTCTGCGGTGCGCATGCCCTGAAGATGCTCGAGTAACCCCCCCTCCAGACGAAGCCTGGCAGGCACTGAGCCGGCGCCACCCTGGAATGGCTGTGGAGCTGGAGCTGGAGCCTGCGCTGCCTGCCGAGAGCGTTATGAGCATCCTGCAACCTGCAGTACCTGTGGTTGCGCTGAGGCTCAACCTCTCGGGAGACACCGTAGGCCCGGTGCGCTTCGCAGCAAGCCACTACGCTGCCACTCTGCGCGCGCTCGAGGTGCGCGCCTCCGCCTCGGCGGAGATGAATGCGGCGCTGGAGGAGCTGGCTGCGCGGTGCAGCGGCCTCCGCGAAATACACTGCTTCTGCGTGGTGAGCCCGTCCGTGCTCAGCGCCTTCCGCGCGCACTGCCCGCGCCTGCGCAGCTACACGCTCAAACTAAAGCGAGAGCCACATCCCTGGCGGCCCACGCTCCTGCCCTGATTGGCCAAACCCTCCCCTTTTCCGACCCCGTAGACCTGAGTCTTGGAGAAGCCAAAGGGAGTGGCTCGAGCTCGTTCCAACTACTTAGTCCCTGTCTTTGGGAGGTTCCGTTACCCTCCGGAGGATTAGGGCCAGTGGGATGCTGTCCGGTCCACTCGATCCTCCCCACCTCCAGGCCACACTGGGCTGCCACGCCCCACCCCTGTGCTCACTCCGCGGCCCAGCGTGTAGAGAGACAGTGGGGGTGGGGGGAGAATGCGGGCACAGGCGCAGGTCGGGAGGACCTGGAGTGAATGTTAAATAAATAAATCGTAAATCGTGTAGAATCCCCGCGTCCCGTCTTGCGATGGCGAGTCCGCCCCGAAGGGGGAGGGGCGAGGAAGGCGCAGTGGTGGAATGATTTGAGACTTCAAGGTTCCCGGTCTTGATGCGGCTGCGGGGTCGGGGCGGAGGATTCCAAAGGCGCGCGCGAATGGCTACGCCTCTGCGTTCGGCGGGTAGGACCAAGCTTCCCCACCACCCTTCCCAACTACCTGCCCTTACCCAGGCTTCGCTATGCTCACAGCCCCCACCTCCAGGACTCTTCCAGCCCACGCTCAGACGATTGCTCTCAAAGAGAAGTACAAAGACTGAGAAGAGTTGAGACTCGAACCCAGGTCTCCCTCCGCACCCTACCCCTTTACACTACCCTGCGATCCTGCCAGCTCTTTCTGTTTGCTGGTGCCTCCGCGGCTGTCCGAGCCCCGCCCCGAAAGTTCGCACGTGGCCCCCGCCTGACCCGGCGCCTGGGGGCGGAGTAGGGCAGGGCGGGGCGGTCGGCAAACGCAGCACTTTCGCGGCTTTGACGATCCCGCAACGGCCGGACTGGAGCGCTGAGGGGGCCCCGAGACTGCGCGATGCAGGAAGCGCCCGCGGCGCTGCCCACGGAGCCAGGCCCCAGCCCCGTGCCTGCCTTCCTCGGCAAGCTATGGGCGCTGGTGGGAGACCCAGGCACCGACCACCTGATCCGCTGGAGCCCGGTGAGGGCTGGGGCCCTTTAACTTCCCCAGTGTTGCCTCGGGAATCTCTCCACGTTAAGTAGTGAGCGTCCATGTCCACCCAACCCCCACTTGGGACTGGGCTCGATTCAGCCGTCCAGGGTAATTCATCTTGGGAGGGGGGGGGTGGGGTGCGGTGCGGTGAAGTTACTTCCTTCTGGGGCCCAGGAAGGGTCCTGGAAACCCAAAACCCGAGGAACCAATGTAATTTAGTTTCAGCCCCATCCCTTCCTGATGGGAAAACAAATCTGGAGGAGGGACGGACTGGCTCTGGCTCACGTCTAGGACCACCAGTCCAGTCCGAGGTAGAGCCCAGGTTGGCCGCTTCTGTTTCTTAGAACCAAGTCTGGGTCGGGCTACAGGGAGGGACTCGTGGGGATCGCCTCCAGACTAGGCCTCAGGCCCCTCAGAGGGAGTGCGCGCGCGTGCGTGCGCGCCAGGGCGCTGGCCGCCACTTAGCAGGTCTTGATCTTCACCTGCACCATGCGTGGCGTGCGTGCGGGGCGTCATTATCCATAGAGCGGAACCAGCTTCCTCGTGAGCGATCAGAGCCGCTTCGCCAAAGAAGTGCTACCCCAGTATTTCAAGCACAGCAACATGGCCAGTTTTGTGCGCCAACTCAACATGTGTGAGTTCCTCGGGCGGTGGGGAGCGGGCTTGAGTGTGTTAGTGCAAAAGATGTGGTGACTCAAACCCCATGCCCCATTCTCCAGATGGTTTTCGGAAGGTCGTGAGCATCGAGCAGGGTGGCCTACTCAGGCCAGAGCGTGATCACGTAGAGTTCCAGCACCCGAGCTTCGTGCGTGGCCGTGAGCAGCTCCTGGAGCGCGTGCGCCGCAAGGTGGGGACTGCAAGCAAAGGAAAGACTAAACCCCAAGTGGGGTGTTAGGACTAGGTGCCCGGCTCCATGTGCTCTCACCCCAACTGGCGCCTCCCACCTTCAGGTTCCTGCTTTGCGGGGTGAAGACAGTCGCTGGCGTCCTGAAGACTTCGGCAGGCTGCTAAGCGAAGTGCAGGCTTTTCGAGGAGCGCAGGAGAGCACCGAGGCGCGGCTTCGGGAGCTCAGGCAGTGCGGGGAGAATGGGGAATGCGCGGGGGTGGGGGGGGGTCTGGGTAATGAAAGACTCATCAGCAGTGGTTTCTGGGAAGCCCCTTTCTATCTTGGGCCTTTGTGCCCCTATTCCGACAAATGGGCATGGCCATGGAATTCTAGTCTCCACAGGATGGAGTGACCATCAGGGGGGCTGCGTGGTTCCCTGGCCTCCCCAATTTATGGAATATGGTGATCCCATGAACTCTCTCAGGTGCCTCTGCACTCCCCAACCCTTTCCCCCCCATCCAGGCAAAATGAGATCTTGTGGCGAGAGGTAGTGACACTGCGACAGATCCATGGACAGCAGCAACGGGTTATTGGCAAGGTGCACCTCTCCCCCATTCCACTTCTCCCTCTCTCATTCTGGCCCATTCTTTCCCTCCGCCCAGTCCTCTACGGTCTGTTTACCTGCCCTCCTGCAAACTCACCTGGTACTGCCCCCACTAGGGTAAGGGTAGGGGTGAGGGCGGGGAATGTAGGAATTAACCCTTTGCTTTCTCCCCAGTTGATCCAGTGCCTCTTTGGGCCACTCCAGGCAGGACCCAGTAGTGCTGGAACCAAGAGGAAGCTGTGAGTGCCAAAGGCAGGGAGGCTCACCTCTGTTTCCCACTTCAACAATCTCCCCAGAGGACCCCTAGCAAAGACCCCTTCTTCAGAAACTCTTTCACTGGAAATTCTCCTTCCTCACCCCGTTTTCTTTCTCTCCCCACAACTCTGCCATCCATTACCCCATTCTGGATCTTCCTATTGGGGGGGCCTGACCCTCAAATTCCTATCCTCACCCCAAAACATAGCAACAGAGGACTTGAGGCTCTGACAATGCTCCCTCCTCCCCCTCTCTACCCTCCAAAGGGCCCCCATCTCTGGGGGAGCCCCTTATACTCCAGCATGTGACTGATGCCCTGGCAACAGGCCGCAGCTCTGCTGACTTGGCTGCTGGGGCCTGAGGGAGGGCGGGAGAGAGGTACAGGCTGAGGGGCATGGGGACTGATCCTGCTCACCCCTGCCTGAGCCCCTGTCACCCCACACAGGTCCCTGATGTTGGATGAAGGGAGCTCATGTCCAGCACCTGCCAAATTCAATGCCTGCCCCCTACCTGGTACCCTCCTGCAGGATCCTTACTTTACTCAGTCGGTAAGTTTTTCTTCTCCCTCCCCCACCCCAGGGCACAGCTGGGATTATGGGGAGCTTGTTTCTTTTGCCCATTCTCCCCAAAGAAGATGGAAGCCAGCCTTCCCACTAGCCAGACTTAGGCTCCCCACAATGAACAGAGCCTCTTCCTCAATCCCTATCCTGTAGAAGTGCTCCAGCTGGATAATGGTTAGGTTCTGACTCTCCCTGTGCCTGGAGGTCAAGGGCTGGGCCTAGCCTTCTACTTACAGCCCCTCCCAGAGACTACCTTGGGCCTTAGCCCTCACAGGGCCAGAGGGCCCATCATCTCTGACATCCCAGAAGACTCTCCATCCCCCGAAGGGCCCAGGCTTTCTCCCTCCTCCAGTGGTGGCAGGAGGTAAGGGGGACCAGGGGATTCCCTGAGGAGCTTGTGGGGGGTGGGGAGGGCCTAGCAGCCCAGATGGCTGTAGGGGTGGAGAGGTCAGTGCCAGGGTCTGGTTGAAGCTTTTCTCCCGTACAGGGAGAAGGGCCTGGCACTGCTCAAAGAAGAGCCGGCCAGTCCAGGGGGGGATGGCGAGGCCGGGCTGGCCCTAGCCCCAAACGAGTGTGACTTCTGCGTGACAGCCCCCCCACAATTGCCTGTGGCTGTGGTGCAGGCCATCCTGGAAGGGAAAGGGAGCTTCAGCCCTGAGGGGCCCAGGAGTGCCCAACAGCCTGAACCAAAGGACCCCAGGGAGGTAACTGACAGGTGAGCAGAGCTCCTCCCATTCCCCCCCACTTTTTTTTTTTTTTTTGCCAGTCCTGGGGCTTGAACTCAGGGCCTGGGCACTGTCCCTGAGCTTCTTTTCAGAGCCCATTTTTGATGGTGAGCTCTGTGGGCCACTTTTGCAAACTGGTCATCACTCTGGCCCATGAAATGCCTCCTTTGGTGGCTAAGGAGGACCATTGGGCACTTGATTCTGTGACACTTACCTACCTTATTTCTCAGAATTTGCTCCAAAGAACACCTGCATTAGAATCCCCCGCAGTGCAGAACCTCTCACTCAGGTCACTCAGTACCTCTATAGAAAGATTCAAGCAGGCTGGGAAAGCAGCTCAGTGGTAGACGCTTGCCTTGCATGCATGAGGCCCTGGGTTCCATTCCTCAGCACCACATAAGCAGAAAAAGCCAGAAGTGGCGCTGTGGCTCAAGTGGTAGAGCACTAGCCTTGAGCTGAAGAGCTGAGAGACAGTGCCCAGGCCCAGAGTTCAGGCCTTAGGACTGACAAAAAAAGACTCAAGCTAGGCCCCCAGTGGCTCAAGCCTATAAACCTAGCTACTCAGAAGGCTGACACCTGTAGGATCAAGGTTCAAAGCCAGCCAGAAAAATCTGAGGGACTCCACCTATCTCCAATTAGCAAAAAGCCAAGCTGGAGGTGTGGCTCAATTAGTAGAACACCATTGATGAACAAGCAAGCAAGCTGGAATGAGAGCTTGACACCCTGAGTTCAAGTTCTGGTATTGGTGTGCGCACACAAGACCCCACTGAAGAAGAATTATAAATAGAGTGAATATTATCAAAGTATATTATGTGCATGTATGGAAATGCAATGATGAAACCCCCTATGTATAATTTAATATACACTAAAAAAAAATAACAAACACTAGTATTTACACTTGCATAGTGAAGGCTCCCAGAACTAGTTTTCCAGGTAGGAAGAAAAGGCACTCTCTAGATGCCCCATTGTGTGTGTGGGGGGGGGGAGATCCACTTTTAGCATTTAGATAGTGAGGTACTTAAATGCCAATGCATCTGGGTTCCTGGGGAACCTAATAGGGCATGAGTACTGCAGGCCAATAGCAGGTTCTTTGTGCACAGGGGAGTTCTGGGCCTAGAGCAGGGAAATCGGAGCCCAGAGAATCTGCTTCCTCCAATGCTGCTTCGGCCTGCCCCGGAAAGCGTGGAGCCTGTAGTACCCCTGGATGTGAGTACCCCTCTGGCAAGGGCAGGGGCGTGGGACACGGTGGGGTCCAGCTGTCTGTGCAACCTGAGGGCACCAATGACCTGGAGCTCTCCCCAGGTGTTGGGCCCCAGCCTCCAAGGACGAGAATGGACCCTGATGGACTTGGACATGGAACTCGCCCTGGTAAGATGGAAGAAGGACTCTGTTCCTTTGGTCTGTGGTTGTTCTCAGGGAGCCAGAGCCAGGTCTGAGAATTGCCCTAATGATTCCCCAGTTCTCCTCAGCCACTGGGGCTTCCTCCCCAGTTGCTTGCCATGGTTCTCCTATGCAGATGCAGCCCTTGGTTCCAGAGAGGGGTGAGGCTGAGCTGGCAGACAAGGGGTTGAATTCTCCAGGTGCAGGTAATGGTGATGGGGACTTAGAACCTGGAAGGAAGCCATGATTGGGCTGAGCTACCTGATTGGATGGGTTGGGCAGCTTGAGTTTTGCTGGGGAAATCCTCTGTACCCACCCATCTCCTCACTGTTGGATGTGGGTTGGAGATAGTTAAGATGTTTCATCCTGAGTGAAAAAAGGCAGGGCTTTCCTCCCTGAAGAAAGGAGGGGAGAGGCTTCTTCTCTAGACTGAGCCCAGCCTCACCTCTCCTAGGAAAGGATTCTACTCTGGGAGCCCCACTCCTGCTGGATGTCCAGATGGACTTGGGAGGTGCAGCACTCTCCGTGCCAGGGGCTTTAGCCATTTATAATGCTCCTGAGAGCCGGGCCTCCTACCTGGGGCCAGGGACCAGTCCATCCCCCTAAAATCTGTACACCTCTAAAATGGCCTGGCTGAGGAACCAGCCTGCAACAGCACACCCGTTTAGGCTTACTGGCGCCCCCTGCAGGGGTGACCAATTCCCTACTGATTGTCCACCTCTCTCCACTACCCCCAGCAACCCCCTCACATAAACTGCATTTTTTTTTCTGTTTCTAGTCTCGTTTTTTATATCGACCAGGGAGCACATATCATGGGGGGGGGGGCAACTTGGCTTTTTTTGTCCAAACAACAAACGCGTCCAGATCCAGGGCTTTCATGAAGAATCTCCAGGGGTTGTTGAATTAGCTCAGTATAAGGGCACTTGCCTAGCAAGTGCAAGGCCCTGAATTCGGTGCTCAGCCGGTGTAAGGAAGGGACGCCTTCAGAGCCACATGCAGTTCTGCTGTATATGCACCCTGGACAACTCGGTCCCCTAAAAGTCATCTGTGACAGGCAGAGAGGACTGAGAGCACAAATGAAAAAGCGCCTGGGAATTTGGCAGACCTAGAGTTGACGCTGGACACGTGGGACCATGAGCCTAACTGTCCCCCCAACCTAGTCCACGTGCGCCCCGGTAGGAAAGGGAAAACCGATCTGTGCGGGTCCCCAGCCAGTGTAAGCCCTCAGCTGCCCTGTTCCCAGCGCCCAAGAAGCACGCCCCCCTCTCCCCCCCCCCATTCCCGGCAGCCCTGGCCGCCCCGCCCCTTCGCAGCTGCTGCACCGGTCCCCACCCCGCCCGGCCCTTTCTGCACTGTCATCTCCTGCCCGGCATAGGCTCCACCCGCGCCTGGGGCCTCTCCAAACGCTCCGGATCGTGACTCCCTCTCCACGCTGCAGAGGCAGGGGAGGGAAGGGAGACTGAGCCTGCGACCCGCGCCTCACCAGCAGCAGCCGCGCTCTCAGGTCTGTGGGCCCCACCCTTCCGCAGCTCCCAAGCTCTGGGACTGGGTGGAGGGGAGGAGGTCAGCATACCCTTTGCGGTCGCACATGCGCAATGCTACCACAGGCCCACGACCCTCAATTCCCCCGCGACAAACCTCATGCCTAAACTGGGGTCCTGGGCCAAACTGTTTTGCGCCTTGCTATCTAGCGCTCCCAAGAAGCATCTGGGCTTGTCCCTTGAACTGGGGGCAGCGCTGTTACTTCAGTATTCACCTTAGAGCTATGAGAACTTCCATGGGAGGGCTCAGTCCAGCCTAGATCTTTGCTCCCCCCGGCAGGACAAATGGCAAGACTTGGGGTAATGGAGGAGTCAGCTGATATGAAAACAACTTAGGATTCAGGGAAAAAGAGACCAATCCAGTCTGCACCTTCCCTCTCTGGCCACAGAAGAGGACCTTGTCTCCTCTCCCTTCCAGTGCCCCATAATAGAGGATGCGTTCCCTTTCTGGGCCTTATATTAGGGAAAGTCTTTGGAAGCCTCAGTGAGGAGAGCAACAAATCATACCCCAATGAATTGTCAAAGTCACTATATTAAGGGCGGAATGGAATGGAAAGAAGTCAGTGGTACTCAGAAGGACTGGTACAGGAGATAAGGTGAGAAGCAGGAACTGATTGGAAGTCACTCCTCACAGACATGAAGGAAATGGGGGCACAGGTGGTTTTGCTTTTTGCTCAGTGGCCTGGGACTGACATTGATATGAGAGGGTGGAGGGGGAACATTTGGGTATGAAGTGGCCAGGAGAAAGTGTGACATGAGGGTGTACTGGGAGAGACACACAGGCAACATGGGGGCTACCACCCAATGGATCAGGAAAAGAGGTAGAGGAGGGACTTGAGCAGCTTGGACATTAAAGGAATCTAGAAAGATGCCATGTGACCAAAAGCTAAGGCAAAGGGAATGGACAGAGGTTGTGAGTAGCCTGACACCTGAAAATAACCTCATTTATTTTTATTTTTTTAATTTCAATTTTATTTGGATTCAAGATCTTGCACTTACTAAGTGGGCACTCTACTGCTGAGCCACACCTCTAGACCTTTTTTGCACCGGTCATTTTTGAGATAAAGTCTAGCTTCCTGCACAAACCTTCTCCTGAACAGTGATCTGCCTATCTCTCCTTTCCGTGAAGCTAGTATGACAGGCATGTGCCAACCCATCTGGCTATTGGTAGAGAAGGATCTCAAGAACTATTTTTTTTTTTTGCCCAGGTTTGCCTTAACCTGCCACTTCTCTTTTCCTTTCAAGAAAGGATATAGGAAAAGGATATAGGATTATGTTATGAGTCACTGAAACCTGGCTTGACATTGTTTCTTTTCTTCCTTCCTTTCTTTCTCTTTCTTTCTTTCTTTCTCTCTCTTTCTCTTTCTTGCTCTCTCTTTTTTTTTGGGGGGGGGAGTCAGTCCTGAGGCATGAACTCTGGGTCTGGGTGCTATCCCTGAGCTCCTTTTGCTCAAGGAGAGCACTCTACCACTTGAGCAACAGCATCACTTCCAGCTTTTTCCTGTAATTTAATTGGGGATAAGAGTCTCAGAGATTTTCCTGCCCAGTCTAGCTTGGAACCACAATCCTCAGTCTCCTGAGTAGCTAGGATTATAAGCATGAGCCACTGGTGCCCGGTTCTGACATTGCGTCTTCATGCCAGGCGCCTTATTGCCTAAGCTAGCCCACCAAAGGGAATAGTGCTTAGTTGGTAATAAATGGATAATTCAAATTGATTTCTACCTACTTCCTACTTTTTTTTCATGGGGCTTAACCTCTAGGTCTGGGCACTGTCCCTGCGTTCTTCAGCTCAAGGTTAGTGTTCTTCCACTTGAGCCACAGCACCATTTTTGGTTTTCTGGTGGTTAATTGGAGATAAGATTCTCACAGACTTTCCTGCCCAGGCTGGCTTTGAACCACAATTCTTAGATCTCAGTCTTCTGAATAGCTAGGATTACAGGCATGAGCTACCAGCACCAGGCTCTACTACCTACTTCTACTATTATTTAGTAGAGACAGAACCAAAATGAGAACTCGTGAAAGGAAAACAAGTTCAGCAAGCATTTGTTGAGGCTTTCATGCGCTAGGCCCTGGGTATTTCTTTCTTTCTTTCTTTCTTTTTTTTGTTGGTCATGGGGCTTGAACTCTGGGCTTGGGCGCTGTCCTTGTGCGCTTCAGCTCAAGGTGAGCGCTCTACCGCTTGAGCCACAGCACCACTTCTGGTTTTCTATCAGTTTATTAGAGATAAGAGTCTCAAGATCTTTCCTGCCTGGGCTGGCTTTGACCCGATATCCTCAGATCTCAGCCTCCTGAGTAGATAGGATTACAGGCGTGAGCCACTGGCGCCTGGCTGGCCCTGGGTATTTCAAGATGAAGTATGAAATGACTTGAGTTTTTCCACCATCAGCCAGGAGACAGTTGAGTCTCTGGTGATGTCAGGAGGATTCAGGTATCCTGACTCAGGTGCAAAGGACCCAGGAAAGGCCATGAGACTACATTGGGTTTGCAACATGCGGTAGTAAGGATGCAGGGACTGGGCCTGTCCTAGAAAGTTAGATTTCAAGGTCAGGAGACCTTGAAGGTGAGAAGAGCTGCAGGAGGTTCTGGGCACTTTGTGCTCTGGGTCAGAGAGGAGGAGAGGAGAGGTTACAGAAGCTTTGATGATGGGTTCCCCAGGGTACAGACAAGAGGTTAAAGGTTAGACTAAGTGAGGGATATTCAGTAAACTAGAAGGGACTCGACATAAAACTGTAACCTCAGAATCACTCCTAGTTCCTTTTATTTCCACTCCAGTACTGGAGTTTGCATGTGTTAGGTACAGGATCTTGTACTTGCTGCGCAGGCACTCTACCACTTGAACCACACATTCAGTCTCACATTTTTCTTGTTAATTGGAGATGTTGTCTCTCAGATCTTTTTACTTAGGCTGGCTTCAAACTGTCATCATGTAGATTTCAGCCTGCAGGAGGGACCTTGGAGGAAGGGTTGACACTTTAATATTAAGGAGGAGGACCTGAGATGTGAAGTGACCAAGAAAAACAGCGTGACATGAGGGAGTGAGCTACCTGGTGTCCTGTTCCAACCCGGGGTTCTGCCTTTTTTGGGGGGGGGCCGGGGAGAGGAAGTGGGTTGGGGAAAGAGGAAATTGGTTTGGATAAACTGGGTCTGAACTGGTGGCTACTGGGATCTGCCGGCTACTGGGGTTCGGGAGAGAGGTCCTGATCTGTCAAAGACAGGAGGAGGAGCCTGAAGAGACTGGACAGAAGAGGAGGGAGGACAAGGAGATCTGTACTGCGGTTTCCACGTGGGGTTCTGCGGAGCCCTCTGGCTGCTGGGGTAGAAGTGAATTTAGATCACAGCTGCCGGTGATCAGGGCCCTGGGGTGAGGGAGCCCCAGCCCCACGGCTCCTCTACACCTCTCCCGTGCAGCCGGAAGGATGGGCAACGCACAGGAGCGGCCTTCGGAGACCATCGACCGCGAGCGGAAACGCCTGGTAGAGACGTTGCAAGCAGACTCCGGGCTGCTGCTGGACGCACTGGTAGCGCGGGGAGTGCTCACCGGGCCCGAGTACGAGGCGCTGGATGCACTGCCTGACGCCGAGCGCCGGGTGCGCCGCCTGCTGCTGCTGGTGCAGAGCAAGGGCGAGGCCGCCTGCCAGGAGCTGCTGCGTTGTGCCCAGCATGCCGTGCGCGCGCCGGATCCGGCCTGGGACTGGCAGCACGTGGGCCCCGGTGAGTGTGAGGGGCGGGGCCTTGTCAGTGCAAGGGCGTGGCCTGTGGGCGGAGCTATGACTATCTGGCGGGCGGAGTCGGGTCTAGCCAAGTGGTAAGGCAGGACCTTTCAACCGGTAAATTGAGATACCTCCATCCACTCCAGGCTACCGGGACCGCAGCTATGACCCTCCATGCCCAGGCCACTGGACACCAGAGGCACCCAGTTCGGGGACCACATGTCCTGGACTGCCCAGAGCTTCAGATCACTACGAGGATGGGGGTCCAGAGGGCTCAGAGGCGGTTCAATCCGGAACTCCAGAGGAACCAGAACCAAACTTGGAAGCTGAGGCCTCTGACAGTACTGAGCCTGAGCCAGAACCCCAAATGGATCCGGAACCAGAACCAGAGCCTGAATTGGAGCCAGAGCCTGAATTGGAGCCAGAGCCGGATCCAGAGCCCGAGCCAGGGCCTGAGCCTGAGGAGGGAGATGGGTCCGAAGGTGTGAGGCCACCCAGATCTCTTTCAGGGTTTGACTTGGGAAATGGAGAGCAGGCTCTGGTCTATTAACCATATCCTTTTTTTCTCTAGATTCCTGAAGGCCAGAGTGCTGACCTAGTGTTTTCCCATTAAGCCCAAGCCTGATAAGACCTGGAACCCAGCAGAGCTGGGCACCAAGGCGCCATCGAGCCTGTTGGAAGTGAATAAACTCCAGAGGGTAAGCCTGGACCTGGGCTTCCCAAGAGTCTGGCTGTTTTCACAGAACTGAGGGTGGGGGGGGGGGGGTATCTATGAGCCTACTGACCCTGACAGATCTATGCCCCACCCTCTCCCACCAAGTTTACAGTTACATTCCAGCCTCAATAAATTGCCCAAGCTTTGTCCTTGGAGATGCCAGATCTAGGCCCCTAGTTGGATGAGGGCCTGACTACTGGGCCTCACCAGCCCACTCCATGGTGTAGAGAATAGGGGAGACTATTGTTCACTTAGGGTCTTGAGAAATGAAATAACTTGGAAAGACCTTGAGGACACAGAGACCACACACATCATTACAATTGCTGTTTTAATTGATTTCTCTCCCTGAGAGCTCAGAGAGGGTTCTAACTAGCCACTGGCACACACAAGGCATTCTGTACATTTCCATTGACTAAGAACTTCCCAGCTGTGGTTTCCCAGTTCTACATAGGACAAGCCTATAGTAGGAGTGGGACTGACCAACTTCACACGGCTGAGTCTGCAGTGAAACTGGAAGCAACAACCAGCTCTGTACCTCTCCTGGTCCAAGAGGGGCTCAGGATTTAACAAACCCTAGGGGCCTGCCTTATAGGCTTGATTGTAGCTGCTCACAGACTAGCCCAACTTCTGCCAGAGACAAGCTGTGAGAGCATGAGACAGAAACATCAGAAACTGGTGGGGTGAGTGGGAACAGGGCCAGGTGAGCTCTTAGGCTAGACTCACAAGGCCTGACACCCAGTGATACGTATCTCTGTGTGTATGTAATGAGAGTGGGGCTTAGACTAATTGGAACCTTCCAGGAGTGGCCTGTCCTTCCAACCTCAGGAAGTAGAGCACATAAATATGGATATATACATGACCAGTGAGAGAAGCAAAATGCTGAAAGCAAGCCCCAGACCAGCTGGGTCACTACTACCAGAACTCCTGCCCTTCGAGGCTGTATACAAGCCAGGACCTCAGGCACAAGCAATAACCCTACTCCCAACCTCCACTAAGACCCAGTGAGAGGTAGGCAGCATGAATGCTGAATGAGCACCAAGGGGCCAGGTGGAGGAAGAGATTGGAGTACAGGATACCCAAAGCCATCTCATGCAAGAATTGAGTTTCTATTCCCAAACTACCCCATGTCCCCATGGATGCTCAGCTCCCTTCTGGCCCCCAGGCCTCTTCTCAGCTCAGTCGTATGCCTGCTGATACTGGCCCATAGGCCCCAGTAAAGCTAGTGAGACAAAAACTTTTAGACATTGTCTTGTCCTCCCAGGATGCTCCTTGGCCTCCCAATGCCCACAAGAAACATCTAGGCTGTGGAAACACAGAGCAGACAGCTTCGTGTTCTGGGGGCCAACCTAGAGACCTCTGTCCAGGGCTTCTGCTTGTTGCCCTCAACCAATATCACTCAGGCAGCAGACGACCTAGCTCTGCTTCATCCAGCCGGTTGGTAGTCATGATGTACTCTAGCTGCTGCCTGTAGCGTTCCAAGTCCTGCATGAAGTGAGGCACACGGGTCTTATCTAGTACTCCATAGGGCCGCAGATGGTCCACATCTTCATAGGAGACCTGTAAGGGAAAGAGCTACACCTCAGGGCTAACCAGAGCTCCCTGACTTTCTACCAGCTCATCCCAGTTCCACTCACGTAGAGCTCCCGGGACTCCTCCCTTCCTGATTCATATTTATGTTATGTATCTCTATGCTCAAACCTGGATTTTGAGCTCTCTCACTCTCTTCAGTACTGAGAAGTGAACCCAAGGGCTTGTGCTTACAAGCCAAGTGTTCTACCACGAGAGCTATACCACTAGCCCTTTTGTTTTTGAAACAGGATCTCACTACTTTTTTCAGGGCTGGTCCCCTGCATGCCTCCTTTCAACACCTATGTTTTCCCTACAACCCTACCATCCCAGCCTATCCATGAATCTTACTTCCCACTCTTGAGCCACAGTGCCACTTCCGGCTTTTTTCTTTTTGCTTATGTGCTGCTGAGGAATCAAACCCAGGGCCTCATGCATGCAAGGCAAGCACTCTACCACTGAGCCACCTTGAATCTTACTTCCCTACATCTAGCACTGGAAATGCCCGAATGCCAGCTTATGCCAGCCCACCTCTTCACAGTCACCCAGTCAGGTTCTAGGGAGTGGACCAGAACTCTCACCCTCGCTCCTACTCAGTGTAGCCACTGAGACAAGGAAATTCTACTCTTAAGAACTCTCCAGTTTGCCCCCTTCCTCGCCAACCATGGCCACTCACTTCCAGGCAAGGCCAGACTACCAGCTAGCTTCCTCCTCTTGCTTCTGTACTCCTCTCTGCAGGCCTCTCTTTAAATCTCCCTCCTAGCCTGGCTCCGGAGGTTCACGCCTATAATTCTAGCTACTCAGGAGGCTGAGATCTGAGGATCAAGGTTCAAAGCCAGCCCAGGCAGGAGGGTCCATGAGACTCATCTCCAATTAACCACCAGAAAACCGGAAGTGGCACTGTGGCTCTAGTGGTAGAGCGCTAGCCTTGAGCTGAAGAGCTCAGGGACAGCACCCAGGCTCAAAGTTCAAGATCCACAACCCACCAAAAAAACCAAAACCAAACAAAACAACAACTCTCTTGCATGACCTCCAGGGGGCGCCCTCTAAAGCATCCCTTACAGTTCTGCCTAAAGCTCTTCTAGCTAGCTGCACGTTCCACTTTCCCTCTCTATTCCAGTGTAGTATAAATGCTCAGTACCAGGGATTGGGTTCCTAGCCATTTCCCCAGGACCTTTCCCCAGACCCCTTCCCCAGACCTGCACTTGGTTTGGAATGCTCACCTCCTTTGAAATGCAGTATCTATACATACATCTGCAGGCTGCCAGGCAGTCATTTCCGCTCCTCCTCCACCCACACTCCGCCCACCATTCAGGCCTGGCATCCAGGCCTCAATGGAGCATGACTCCGACTCTGGGGAGCAGGAAGGGGAAAGCTGGCTAGGGCCTGGGAAGACCTGTGTAACTCCTCACCTTGCCCAAAATGGTCAGCAGCCGGAAATCAATGGTCTGGCGATGCCTCAGAATGCGCACAATGCCGTCCAGGTACACTTGGTCCTTGCTGAAGCAGCCTGTGAAGTGGGGATCAGGGAGAAATCCTTGCCTGGAGCACCATCCGACACCCCATCCCAGCTCAGGCATTCCCCGGGCTGCAGCACTCACCAGGCTGGGAGGTGTCGGTCTGGCCCCGCTTGGCACGCACGCAGTACTCCCAGCGCACATTGGTGTCCTGCACGTAGCGCGCCAGGTCCTGGAAGAGCTGGCGGAAGGACATGTGCGCGGCGCGGTGGATGGTGTAGTAGAGCAGGGCTGCGCGCCACAAGAACGGCTGCTTGCGGAACAGCACGCTGTGCAGGCTGGCCAGGCCCTCCTCCGTGGGGTTGGCTGGCCGAAGACCATACTGCAGCCGGCCCTCGGCACTACGCCAGGGCTGTCTAGCGTTGTTCACACCCCGCAGGTAGTGGGTACCTACGGGGAGAATGAGGGGGAAGCAGCACTGGGCGGGGTGTCTGGAGCACCCAGCCTACCTCGGGGACTCTTGTGTCCTCCTGTCCCCAAACTCAGAGCGTGCCCATGAACCCCGGACAAATGCATACTCACCCAACCCCGGGCCCTCGTCAGGTGAACTTGCATCCACATAGATGAATAGCCCCCCCACCCCACCCATCTAGAGCTTTCTCCCTCCTCTCTTCCTTTCTCTCCACCAAACACATGCTGCCCCCTAGACAAAAAGAACACAGCCAACGACACCCCAACATTCCCAGAGCCCAAACCAATCATTTTGACAGGCATGGAAATGCAGTCAGAAAAACCACCTCTTGCCCAGAGCAATGGGCATGCTTGAGCAAAAAGGAATAGTGGTTAGCCTGGCCTTATCCCCTCCTAAACTGGGCTTTGTGTGGTAAGCTATTCGTAGAGCTCAGCTTTCCCACCCTGTAGGGCCTACTTGCTGGCTGGGCTAGTCAGACTCTTACAAGTTGTCCTTCTGTCCCATTTGGGTCTCAGCAGCCTTGCCCCATTGTCAAGGGAAATGGAATAGAACTGGAGAGAAACCCAAAGAGCAAGAGTGGGAGTGAGGCCAGAGAGTGGGCAGGCATTTGCTGGCCTACCTCTGTGAGCAAGAGGGAGGGAGGGGAAAAGACCTGTCCTCCTCCTCCGGAGGGAAGAGGGAGAAACAAAAGAGGGGGTGACTGGGGCTTCCCTCACCCTCCCAACTCTCAGCCCCCTCTCATCCCAACCCACCCAACCTGCCACCCACAGCCTGACCTATCTCGTGTCGCAGCATGCCCTCCAACCAGTACTGGCGGGCTCCAGTCAAGTTGATGGCCAGGGTGGGTCGGCTGTTCTCCACCATCATCACTGCCTGGGATAGCAGGTCCTCACTCAGCTGTACCACAATCTGCAGGTGGCAGTGGTGACAGGCTGAGCCAAGGCTACCAGCCTCCGGGCTGATATACATGCAGTCCCTGTACCCCCATGCTTCAGGGCAACCAGGCTAGACATTGGCCACCCTTCCTTTTCCACTTCTCCATAGAGCCAGCTCCCACCTCCCTGGGGCAGGGGCAGACCTTCGAAGGCACAACTGATTAGGTGTGTAGTTGGGCCTAGTATCTTGAAGTAGCCCAATTTGTGCCATGTAGAAGAGGGGTCTTGAAAACAGGGCAAGCTCACCTCCCCAACACAGCCCTCCTTCTGCATGTATTTGCGCACAATGGACCAGATCTGGCACTTGGTCAACAGCTGGCCACCCGTGGAGGCCTCAAAGTGTTCATAGGTGCCAAACTTCTCCAGGACAGCCTCAATGATGCCAACAGCCTGCACACAGAGCCACAGTGGCTGGTCAGGCCAGACCCCGAGGGTGGTTAGGGCAAGGTGAAGTGGGCAGACTGGACTGACCTGTTGGATGAACTGTCCAGAGGCTTCGCGGTATTTTTCCAGCACAGCTGTGGGCATGGGCTCCTGGTACTGGAATTGTGGATTGTAGGTGTAATTGGACTGGAAGAACTTACTCCGCTCATGGTCCATATTGGTTGGCCGAAGAGCCACCAACATGCAAGGGCTCTTGGACGTACCATTGCTTGCATCTTTTCGAGTCTTAGCAATGTGGGGTAGGGAGGCTGCAGACCGCAGGGTGCCTCCACCTGGGTCCAGTCCTCGCCTGGATGAGGCCAGTCCCTGGGTGCCACGGCCTCGTCCACCAACACTATTTACAGTGCAGATACTCTCGCTACGACGCATGTGGCCACGGTGGTCCGAGTGCTGCTTTGAGAAGGTCTGCCACTCAGTCTGGGGCTGCAGTGCTGGGGGCACTGCCAGAGCCAGCGACTGAGGCCAGGAGCACAGGGGTGGCCCATCTTGGTCTGAGGGCTTCAGCCTATGGCTCTGGGACAAGGGACTGGGCAGGCTGAGGGGGGCCTGCTCATACACCTGAGCCCCTGAATCCAGCACCATTCTGTCCTGGGGGTTGCATCCAGCCGGGTTGTTCCAACTTCCCCACACTGCCAACCTCTGAGAACACAGAAGGCCATGTGGAGACCAGCATGAGTAGATGTAGTCAGAGGAACAGGACATTCTGTGCCCACCCCCTCCCCTTGTTAGGCCCCATGTGAGCCCAGGACCTGCTGCTACCCCAATCCAAACACTTGCCCCGGAGCAAACCAAAAAGAAGAGCTATTTCATATACCTACCTAGACAGTGCTTAATGCAATCCCTTAGCCTGGGAGCTTCAAGGAGCAAGGGCTGAGCCTCTAACCCATAGTTCTAATCTCTGTGCTCAGCCTTCACCCACTGTGGGAGCTCACAAATTGCAGCCTCAGCTACCTGGACTCATCAGTAACTGAGAGAACTCTAGGAGCTGCCTTCTACCTACAGTATCTTTTTGGCCCTGCCACCTGGCTTCACCCATAGCCTCCTGCCAAGGTGACCTCAGTTTGAATGCCATAGTGCCAGGCCCCACCTGAAATGCCCTCTCTCTCCTGTGGGCCATCTGTTCAAATGCAAATTAGAAGCTGCTTTTGGGAAGCAGAAGGAAACTTCAATAAATCCAAGCCAGTCCCTGCCTGGTGTGCCCTTTAGCTGAGGCATCTTTCCAGGGGTCATCTAAGGCCAGCGTCAGGGCACATATCCCTGATTCTGCAGAGACTGAGACTGACTGGAAGCTCCAGCCTTCCAGCTCCCTAGCCTGCTGGGGAACTGAAATTCAGCGTTTCTCCACTCCTACATCATCAATCACTTCCTCGTCATTGGATTCTTTCCAACAGCATAAACATATGTTATTTCTCTTTCTTAAACACAAAACAAAACAGAACCTTAACTTGAACCCACACCCCCTCCAATTACCATCCCACTGCGTCTCTCTCTAGGTGTTCCTTATAGCACAATGCCCTGACTCACATATACTCAGTCTCCAATTCCTTCTTTCCTGTTCTTTAAGTTTGCTCTTGTTAGGCATGTTTTCCCCCCACACTCCATTCACATTGACCCAATCAAGGTCATCTATGATCTTCATATTGATCAGCAGTGCTTGGCTCAATCCCTTTAACGTACTGTCCATTTCACATTTCAAACACACTAGAAGTTAGTTCTCCTCCCACCCCACTGGCTGTTCCTTTTTGGTCTTCCTTGCCAGTTACCTGTCATTCCCATCTGACTGATCTCCCAACATTAATGCATCAAGATGTGTCTGTGAGAATCTGTTGATCCTCAATTCATAGTGATCTCATCCATGATCATAGATTTTTTGCTCTGTTGCTGGGGATCAAACCCAGGTCTTTGCAAAGTAAGCATGCTCTCTACCATGAAGACATACCCCTAGCCTTCTCGTGGCTTTAAGTATATTAAACACATTGTTTTAAAATCTATTTTAAAAAATTAAATACTTAAAAAAAAAGCAATTCTGGTGTTTGATCTTAGGACCTTGTACTTGTTAAGCAGTCACTGTAACGCTTGACTCATTCAACCAGCCCCTTTTTACATTGTTATTCTCAAGATAGGGTTTTCCTTTATGCCAGGGCCAACCTCATCTGCAATAGTCTATTTGTGCTTCTCTTTGTTATTAGGATGACAGATGCATGCCACACTGCTCAGCCACTTATTTAGATGGACTCTCACCAACTTTTCTTCCCAGGCTTGTCTTGAACTTGATCTCCAATCTCTGCCTCCCAAATAGATGGTATTACTGGTTTGAACCACCATGCCTTCCATAAATTTTAGACCAGTGTTGCCAGTCTTAATACAACATTTTTACTTGACTAAGGGACATCTCAAACTGAAACATGTTCCTTATCCAAAAAGGGTCTACCTCCTAAAATGACATGAATCACTGTTTCACTTTCTTCAAGTTTCTGCACAGATACTATATTATCAGAAAAGTCCTGTACACACCTCTGTAGAATAGTAAACTTCCTCTCCCCTCCCACTTTTCACAGAATTATTATTCTGGGAAGCAGTTTTCACTCTGAAGAATAGTTCCATAAATGTTCTCTGCATGGTATATTTGAATGGTATATTTGTGTTCTTTCCAGGGATCCAGACAGGGCTTATCCCATTGTAGGGCTCATAAATAATGAATCTGAACCAAGGGCCTGTGGCTCACACTTATAATCTTAGCTATTCAAGGAGGGTAAGATCCAGAGGATCGCAATTTGAAGCCAGTCCTGGCAGAAAAGTCCTCTTGACTACATCTCCAAAATAACCAGCCAAAAGCAGGGTTGGGGGTGTGTCTCAAGTGACAGAACACCAGCCTAGCAATTGTTAGCCCCTGATTTCAATCTCCAGTATCTCTCTCTCTCTCCCTCTCCCTCCATCCCTCTCCCTCTCCCTTCCTCTCTCTCTCTCTCTCTCTCTCTCTCACACACACACACACACACACACACAGTGCTTTTCAGAACTGGAATCATTCCTTCCAGCACTGTTTCTCCATTTCCATCTAATCTTCCTTCACCCCCACCCACCTTCCACTCTGACTAGTGTCCAGGTGCTTGAAAAAAAATTTAGGTCTTATTGTTTTAGGAAGGGGATAGGAAGGGAAGGGAGAGTAATACAGGGGGTGAGATTAATTGAAATGCATTGCTTACATAAGCGGAAATGTCTCAATGAAATTCCCCTCCCGTATAACTAATGTATATTAATAAAAAGAATCAGTATGAGTATTGCAAAAAATATATTTAAGATATAGATCAGTATGAATACTGCTAAAAACAAAACAAAACATTTCAGGCCTCAGGCTTAATTCCCTCGGCTAGCTACACACATTCCTGGACTCCTTACTGGTCTCCAGGCTGCATCTGAACCAGTTCCTACCATCTCCCCTTCTTTCCCTCCGCCTACCTCCACAAAATTACCAGAAATATCCTTGCACCAAGGAAACCATGGCAATATCTCCTTGGGGGAAAACTCTTAAGCATTTTTCAGGGTTTGGTTTAGGCCTCACCTCCTCCGGGAAGCCTTCCTGGCGTTTAGGGGGTCCCAGTTTCTCGATGGCTTCTTTGCTTCCCTAGGCTGTCATTGTCGGAGCCTAGGTACCTGTCCTCCAACATGACTCAAACTCCCCAAGGGCAGGGACGGGTCCGATTCACCCTAAATTCCAAGCACCCAGCCCTGGATGCAGAATGAATGAAGGCTAGAGGAGGCGCCCCAGCCTGCTGAAGGCGGGGTCTGGTGACGAATGGGAGGGTGTGGCCTGCACCAATAAGAAACCCCGGGAGAAGTTAACGTAAAAGAGCTGCCAATGGGAACCAAGAGACCCGGGAGGGGCGAGACCTGCAGCCAATAGATGGCGGGAAATAGGGTGAAGGGCGTGCCCAATGGAGGGTGGGGCAAGAGGACAATGGAGTTGGGAGGGGGAATTCTTTGATAGACCAAAAGGGGTCGCGTCGCGCGCCTTGTCTTAGCCTTTAGAGTGGAGGGATGGTTTGGTCCGCGAGCCGCACTCCCACCTGTTTCCTCCTCTTCTTATCGTCCGCGTTTTCCGCTCTGCAAAGCCGGTAGCCGGCAACCCAGCCTGCGAGAGCCAACACTGAGGACGCACGCCCTCGGGCGCGCGCACGCTCCCGGGAGGGCGCGCGGACACCGTCTGTGCCACAGCCAGCGCCTAAAACCACTGTGGGCGGAGCCAGTCGGAGCCAAGAGGGCGGAGTCCACCACACTACGTCCATGGGCGGGGTTTGTTCTAGACACGCCCCCTCCACGGGTTTCTAGGTTTCCAATGCTACTGTAAGATGGGAGTCAGGGCCGGTGAAGCACCAGCTCTTTGCCCAGGCATGGACACGTAGAGGAGCAGTTTGGGTACTCAATGATAGCGCAGGCGGATGTCTGGGTAGACAGGGCGCTGCCGGTGTACTAGGCCTGCAGCCTGGATAATTAAGTGATGTCTCTGTGCAAGGACCCTTTGACCTTCACAGTCGCCTTCATTTCACCACCACCTTCACACAACTTTCCCCAACACACAGAGATTCAGGCATATGGAGGAGGACATGGCTTTATTCTGCTGATTGAGGAGCCTCAGGAGCAAGGGCCGGAGGGAAGGCAGGAGGAGAGCGAGGGCGCAGGCGCCGGCACCAGGCTGAAGAGTACTCGACGGCCGGTGGAGGGCGAGGGCGGCGGACCGGCCTGCAGGGAGCTGAGCGCAGCCTGGCGCTGCTCCCGGGACACGTCCCCGCGCAGGTCCAAGAGGGCGGAGATGTGATCCTCGCTGCAGGGTCGCCACCGGGAAGCATCAGGCCCCGCCCCTTCTCTCTGGGACTTAATTCCTCACATCCCCCACCCCCCTCCTTCCCAGCTCCGTACCTCACGTCGGGAAATTGTTGCCGAAGGCCTGCCACCTCGAGGCCAAGCAGGGTAGGGTCGCTGAGATTCAGCAGTTCTCTCAGCGCGAGCAGCACGGGCGCGCAATGCACGCTCTCTTCCAGGCCCTAGACACGTGTGAGCAGGGTTTCACGATGGCCCCCTGGGTTCCCAGCCGAGAGTCATCCCATTGTCTGCCCGGCCCATCGAGTTCTCACCAAACCGAGGAAAAGCTCCTTGAGCTGAGCGGCGTCGTGCAGCAGGCGCTCGGCCGCCTGGGTGCGCTCGTCCGCGCCGCGGCACACTAGACGGCCCTGCATCAGCGCGCGCAAGTACTGCAGCACCACGGTGCGCTCTGCCTCCGCCAGCAGCAGCTGCAGGTGACAGCGGGTGGTGATGGCGGTGTCCAGATCGCCTTTCCCATCCGAATTGTCCCCTCCGCGGGCTTTCCTCTCGCCGCCCCTCTTCCCCTCTCCGCCCCCCCCCTGCCCCGCAACACACACCTGAGCTGCGGGTTTCCTCACTCGCCAGAAGTCTTGGCAGAAGCGCGACGTCTGCTCGCACACACGGTCCAACAATTCAGAGCTCGACAGCCACCGGCGCGAGGGCAAAGCCGCAAACATGGGCTGGAAAACGTACAGGGCGGAGATGAAGCTGTAGAAATGATCCGGATGCAGCAGTCCCCAGAGATCCTGCCATACAGTCTGATTCTCCACCTCCCATCCCCACCCATCCCGACTGGAAGGAAGCCTCACCTGCAACTCCACCTGCAACTCCTCCAACACTAGACGGCAGATCCTCCTCTGCAACTCGTCCAGTGCGCCTTCTACCGGAGCCAAGATCCCTGAAGCGACTCCATCGGGCAGCAGGACAGACAGTGAAGAGCTGGACAGACCAAAAAGTAAGACTTCAGGACCAAGGCCAAGGCCCGCGCTGTCTTCAGGGTAAGACCGCTCTGGCGCCACCTTGTGGCGCAAGTGTGTGGCGGAAGCGGGGCGAGAAAGGTGGTTCCGAAGGCTTAGGGTACTACTGGTTAGAGCTTAGGCTAGGCGATGCGTGATCTATGAACTAGAAAGGGACCTGCCTCTAATACGCATTTGACTCTATTCACTTAAGTCATTATTTCGGTTTCTGTTTCCTCATAAGAAAGGGAAGGGCCGGGCGCTGGTGGCTCACGCCTGTAATCCTAGCTACTCAGGAGGCTGAGATCTGAGGATCGCGGTTCAAAGCCAGCCCGGGCAGGAGAGACCGTTGAGACTCTTATCTCCAATAAACCACCAGAAAACCGGAAGTGGAGCTGTAGCTCAAGTGGTAGAGCGCTCGCCTTGAGCTGAAGAGCTGAGGGACAGCGCCCAGGCCCAGAGTTCAAGCCCCACAACCGACAAAAAAAAAAAAGAAAGGGAAGGGTGCTAATCTCTGTCAGGAGGAAGTGGGGAAAAAAAATCAAGAACATGACTCCCAAGAAAGGAATTTTTTTCTTATTTTCTTTAAATCTATAACCTCAGATATTACCTGGCACAGAGTAGGGCCTGTGAACATTTGTGAAGGTACTAGTAATTGGCATCATGTGTCACTGTGATAGATATTTCACATGCATTATTTCATGTGATTTTCAGACTATTACATTATTGCCCACATAATATTAAAGAAAAAAAAGCGAGGCTGGGGGGGGGCAGGTGGATCACACCTGTAATCCTAGCTATTCAAGAAGCTGAGGTCTGAGGATGGTGATTCAAAGCCAATTCAGGCTGGAAAATCTATGAGATTCTTATCTTTTATTAAATAAAAACACAAACAAAAACAGAAGTAGAGCTGTGGCTCAAGTGGTAAACGGTAAGCCTGAGAACAAGAGCTCAGTGACAGTGCCCAGGCCCTGAGTTCAAGTCCTAGGATTGGCAACAACAAAAAAGGGGGGAAGGGGAGTGAGATGTAGGTAACTCATCCAAAGTCATACAACTAGGAATTAGCAGAATTAGAATTGGATTCTCCCATCAACTGTGTACCCACAGGTGCCCCCAATGTGAGCAGGATCCATACACAATAGGAAATCAGTCCTTGGGGACTTTGGGTACCTCAGTGCTGATTGGTGGTTGAAGGCAGCCAGTAGGTAAGGCACAAAGTGAGGAGCCAGGCCTTCACCCCGAAGGTGGTCTCGCGAGAAGCGGATCAGAGCGTCACTGAAGCTGAAATGAGCAGAGGAGCTTCCTGGACTTTCTGCTTCTGTGGTGTATCCACCACCCCAGCCCTGGAAGGTTTACCCCACTTCCAAGTCCTCGTCTGAATAAGCCCTTTCCCACTGGTTATACTATCCATTCAACACCCCCACTTTGAGTTGCTGGGGAGCAGGCTTGGGAATTGTGAGTGGGTCCTTGCGTGGCAGACAGACCTCCTCAGGAATGTGCCCAGTTCTGACACGGCCATGCTGTGCACCCGCTGCTGCAGTGATTCACTGACCATGTTGGTCACACGAATGTTCTCAGCCAAGATCTACAAGCAGGGATGGACAATCATCAGCAAAGTCCCAAGTCCTGCTCACCTCCCTGTTCTCTGTGAGAGTTGCCCTCTTGCCTGGCTATTCCTCACTTACCTGGAGTACAATGGCTGGCATTGGTGAGTGGTAGAAGCCAGATGAATCTGTATTGGGTTCCTGCTCCCGGCCCCACTCAGCAACCTCCCCATCCAGAGCTTTCTGTAGCCACTGGGCCACACTTGCCTAAGAGAAAGGGTGATGGATAGCAAGATGTAGCAGGGTACTTGCTGAGATGGGTAGACATTCAACTCTGCAGATAAAGGACAGAGCCGATCAAGGGCAGAGCATCTATATCCTGAACCAACGACTTACCTGGACTTTGGCCACAAATGTTGCCTCCAGCTGCTCAATGTTCTCCAAGGTCAGGAGGGGCTCCAGCTGGGACACATCAGCCTCCGGCCCCAACTCTAGGTTCCCCATCATTTCCTTTCTGCAGTGGGTGACTAGGTGTCACATGGAGGCCCAGCCTCTCATCCTCCCACTTCTCCCACTTCCAAAGACACTGACCCGGGGTAGACGTGCAGTGCCCAGTGCAGCAAGGCGAAGGCGTCAGCAGCTCCCAGCTCAGGCCCTGCCAGGAGTTGCTGCAGGCTGCGGCGCAGGCCACTGTGCAGGGTGTGGGTCCAGAGCTGGACTATATTGTAGTGTGGTGGACAGCAGGGGGCTACTAGTGCCTCTGCAATGGCCAGCTCAGCAGGCAGGGCCACCTGCAGACCCTCCAGCCACCCTGCAAGGCCCCCTGGCTCTGGCAAGACAGTTGTACCAAAGTGGATCTGCTCTAGGCCTGTCTGTAGTGCCTGGAGACATCGCTGCCGCCAGTCTCGGGGAGCCTGCCCCAGGGGGGTGGTGCGTCTAGCTTCCACTTCTGCCACACGAACAGCAGCCACCAGCAGGGCTGGGTCCTCTTGTGCCAGCTGCCCTGCAGCCCCAGCAGCTGCCTCCACAGCCTGGCCCAGTGCTTCAGACAGAAGGCCTAGCCCCTGGAAGACTGGTAACTCCAGCCCCCCAAGCGCTCCCCATGTCTCCTCTTGCAGCTGCTCCAGCTCCCGCAGGCTCACATATGCCTCCAAAAGCCGTTGGGCATCAATCAGGGTCTGTGTATGGGCCACTGCAGCTGGCACTAATGAGGGAGAGAAGACAGACTTGGGTCTCAGCAATGCAGAGACTCTGAGGCTGGGTGATATAGAAAATATTTAATAACTACTACAGCATTGGCCAATCTGGAAGCATCCAGACAAAAGCCTGGTGGGCCAGGTGTCAACCTTTGAGCTGATAGAACATGAAGAAGTCAAAGATGGTGGAGAGAAGGCAGAAGCATGGCTCTAATTGCTGTTTACCCACTCTGTTAGGAGACGATTCACATACACACATTTATGGCCAGTCAGCAATAGAATGTGTGTGTGTGCATGTGTGTGTGTGTATGTTAGGGATTGAAGTCAAGGTCCTAAATGAGCTTGAGCATGTGTTCTACCACTGAGTCACATCCCAGCCCTTTCAAAATATAACAGCCACTGGGCAGGAAAGTCCGTGAGACTCATCTCCAATTAACAACCAGAAAACTGGAAGTGGTGCTGTGGCTCCAAGTGGTAGAGCACTAGCCTTGAGCAAAAAGAGCTCAAGGACAGCACCCTGAGTTCAAGCCCCACAACAGGAAAAAACAATTAACAATCAGTATGTGTTCAATAGCCATACTAATGGCCCATCATGATGACTCAAAGGAACCCAGGATGAGCGGGTTTTTCACCCTGCTAAATGTGCCACTTGAAGCTTGGATTCTCTCTGGGAAGTCTGGTGCATCTCTCCATGCAATTCCATATCTAGTATTTTTCTTCCTAAGAAGAATACTGGGGAAGATTGACTGTTGGAATCAGAGGTCTAACCAACGTTCCTAGACACTCACCTGCCTGCAGCCTGGGAAGCAACTGAGACAGGACCTGCAGTTGCTTGTGCTGAGCAACTCGCTCCCGAAGGGGCTGGAGGATCTTGGAGGCCTGGGCCAAGCTCTGGAGCAGCTCATGGGCCTGACTCAGGGCCTCATGAGTTTCCTGTACAGCCTCTAGTGCCCGAGCCAACTGCCACACTCCAGTCTGCACACCTTCCAGGTAAGACTGCACCACTGACTGGGGAAAGAAGTAACCAGTGAGGCCTGGCCTGCAGCTCACCCCACCCTGCCACCCTGCTGCTCCATGCCCACCTTGATGCGTGCTTCCAGGGAACAGGTACGTTGCACCTCACGGCTACGGTACTGGCTCAGCCTAGCCAGCTGCTCTGGCCGGTAGAAGATGCCTGAGGCCCACTTTAGCGCTGCACCCCTGGCCAGCTGCTCCGCCCTCTCCTGCTCCGGCCATTCGGGCCACGGACAGGAAAAGCCTGGGCAGCCATGTCAGTCAGGGAGAGACCCCGGCCAGGAAAACTGCTACCCTTCTGGATCCTCAGCCCTTCCCCCAGACCTGGCAGGGAAGGACCCAAGCCCACCATTCCCAACTTTCTCGCCATCATCTCTCTCCCTGTCCCTGCCATTAGGCTCATACCAGGGGGAAGTGTGGGCTGCGTTTCATTTTTGGCTTCTGAGTCCATGGCTGGCCTGGAGGAATGGAGACGAGGTGGGATGGTAGTGAAGCTAGAGTAGGCAGAGTAGATGCTCCTGTGGGCTGCGGCTTCTGTCTAGGTTCCTTTGAGAAAGAGGAGGGAGGTTCTTGCCCAGCCCCCTGCTCAGGAAATGAGAGGGAGGCCTTGGCCTACTAGGGTTCAGGGCTGTGTCCCTGCAAGATAGAAGTGAGGCAGGTTGGGGGTTGGGGGCACAGGCCGTTCCTGCTCTGAGATGCCCAGAGACAGTTTGATACAGAACTTACCAGACTTGACTAGATGTCCAGCCCTCTGTTCTCTGCAGAGATCCTTAGCCTTGAGAAGGGCCCTGTCCCTCAGCAGAGCGGGGCACGCCCTCACAGATCACAGGGCCAGGGTGACTCCAGCCACACTGGCATACAGAAGCAGAATTCTTCTCCCCAAGGAAGCCTCTCTCCCTCTTCCCAACCCAGAAATCCCTTCCTTCCTCCCTCCCCCCTCACTCCAAGCAAGAAAGGAAGGAAGCCGGAATCTCTGGCACTTTATTCCCAACAGGAAAGAGCATCTGGATTGAGGTGGGGAGGGTTGGACGCCACTTCCCGATGAGTGGGGGCAGGGTCATATTCCCTGTGATCACCCAAGTCCTGACTGGCCCACCCAGGACCTCTTAGTACTGAGAACACAGACATAAGCGCGTCTGGCCTCAACTGGGGTAAAGGGCAAAGTGTTCAGATGCGGAGGTAGACATAACAGTATGAAGACTGTGCCAATGGGCTCCTCAGAGGAGGTGTGAACCTCTGCAGAGGTGAAGAGGGGGAGTGGTGGCTGATGGCAGGCCAAGGGTCATGGAAGTTGTTGATCCTGAGAGTGATAGGGAGCCATGGAAGGGACTATAAGGGAGCAAAAATATCTCAGACACTTGGTACACTACTTAAACCACTCTTTAGGACAGAGGCCCTCATTTCCTAGCTTTCAGAAGTATTAAGTTTCTGAGATCTCACAGCTGAGGCTCTGAGTTGATACTGGAGTTCAAAGACCCAATACAAAAAGCTTTCCCAATTGCAGATCTACTGATACAGGCTGAGGGCCCTGTTGTAACTACGTCTGCCCAGTTCTGCTTGTCTGATTCCCTTACAAGTATGGACTCTCATTAGACTCGTTGCTGGTCTCAACATCTATTTTTCATAGAATCTAACCTAAAACAATATAAGTAACAATAGTAAGTAAGAGTGTTTTAACAGTGTTAAAAAATAAAATAAAGGGTCTGGGAAGATGGCTCAGTGGTAGAGTGCTTGCCTTGAATGCCTGAGGCCCTGGGTTCGATTCCTCAGCACCACATAAGCAAAAAAAGAAAAAAACCGGAAGTGGTGCTGTGGCTCAAGTGGTAGAGCGCTAGCCTTGAGCTGAAGAGCTGAGAGATAGCACCCAGGCCCAGAGTTCAGGCCCCATGACCGGACCCAAAAAATAAAAATAAATAAAATGAAGCCCAGCACCAGTGGCTCATTCCTGTAATCTTAGCTATTCAAGGCGCTGAGATGTGAGCATCATGGCTTGAAGCCAGCCCAGGCAGGAATGTCTATGAGACACTTTCCTCCAGTAAACTACTCAGAAAAGGCTGGAAGTGGCTCTGTGGTTCAAGTGGTAGAGTGCTAACCTTGAGCACAGACAGGCTCAAGGGCAGAGTCTACAACCTAAGTTCAATCCCCAGGACTGGAAAAAATAAAGTGACACCAGCAAACTACAATCCTTCCTACATGCTGGGACTTGCTCTAGAAACTTATATTCACATATAAGAAACACCAACTTTGCCAGGCGCTGGTGGCTCACGCCTGTAACCCTAGCTACCCAGGAGGCTGAGATCTGAGGATCGTGGTTCAAAGCCAGCCCGGGCAGAAAAGTCGTAAGACTCTGATCTCCAATAAAAACCACTAGAAAACCGGAGGTGGTGCTGTGGTTCAAGAGGTAGAGCACTTGCTTTGAGCTGAAGAGCGCAGAGACAGCGTTCAGGCCCAGAGTTCAAGCCTCACGATCGACAAACAAGCAAAAAAGCAAAAAAAAAAAAAACAACTTTTGCAAGAAATTGACAAATGGTTGTAAGGCAGATACATAGCCTCAGCACTGTACTGTGAAGACAGTAGAAAGATAATTACTGGGAACAAGAAAGGGTATTTAAGGATGGAAAAAAAATGGACAGTTTCACTGTATTTAGTGCAAGCTGGAAAGGCAAGTTCGGGAGATTTTTCTCCGTTGACGGAGCTGCTCGATGACTTCCTTCTCCAATTTGTTTGCCCTTCTCGAGTTTCCAGCGATTATTTTTCGTCTTATTCGGCACCTGGGTATTTGTTAACGGTCCCTGACGTTTTACGTCGACACCCGGGGATACGAATTGCACCAGATTCCTTGGCAGGACTCAGAGCGGAAGCGGAAGCAACGACAAGGCTCTAGCGGCCCGGCGTCCCAGAACGGAAGCGGAAGTGGTGGCGGCGCCGGCCTAGCCTGGCCTGGCTGAGGGGAGGCGGCGGGTGTCCACGATGGCGGAGGCCGGGCCGCAGGCGCCGCCACCCCCGGGCACCCCAAGCCGTCACGAGAAGAGCCTGGGCCTGCTCACCACCAAGTTCGTGTCGCTCCTGCAGGAGGCGAAGGACGGCGTGCTTGACCTCAAGCTGGTGCGGCTCGGGCTGCGGGGCGCTGGGGGCGGGGGGGGGGTGAGCCGGGCCCGAGCCGGTAGCGGGAACCGGCCGGTCCTCCGCCAGCCAGCCGCCATCAGCATGCTTTCCCACCGGAGAGAACCTGGGGGCTTTGTCATTCATTTAGCAGACACCGCTGAGCGTCAGCTCGGGGCTGCAGGTGTTTGGCCCTCGTGGCCCTCCCTGGATGGCTGGCATGGGGGGAAAAGAGCGTCAGAGCATCACTACGCGACTGTGACAGGTCTCTTTCTACCGCATGGTCCTGAGCTGCTAAGAGTGCCTGGAAGCCAACGACGCGCTTAGGGGGACTCAGCCTACCCTCCCCTCCACCCCCCCTTCCCAGACCTAATCTCCAGGTCACTGGACGTCCATCTAAAGAGTGGGACCGAGCATTTTGCACTCTGTTCTGTCTGCCAGGCAGCGGACACTCTAGCTGTGCGCCAGAAGCGGCGGATATACGACATCACCAACGTATTGGAAGGTATTGGGCTGATCGAGAAAAAATCCAAGAACAGCATCCAGTGGAAGTAAGTGGGGATATCCTGGAGGGCCGGTGGGTCTCCAACCCGGAGGTGTCAAGGGGCCATGGGGCAGAGGGAAGAGATCAGGGGGCAGTGGGACAGTCCCTACTCAGCCTCACTCCCTGGACTCAGGGGTGTGGGGCCAGGCTGCAATACCCGGGAGATCGCCGACAAGCTGATTGAGCTCAAGGCAGAGATCGAGGAGCTGCAGCAGCGAGAGCAAGAACTTGACCAGCACAAGGTGTGGGTGCAGCAGAGCATCCGGAATGTCACAGAGGATGTGCAGAACAGCTGATATCCTCCTAGTGGTCTCTAACTGGGGGAGAGGGCAAGGGGCACTCTGATCCAGCTGGGTTTATTTTGTGGTGCCGGGGGCCCTGTTCCTCCTGCAAGGTTGGTCCTGTAGCCCTTGGCCATGTCCTAGCCCTACAAGTATTGTTTATGGTTCCTCTTCCTCTGTCAGCTTTGGATTGTGATCCCTCTGCAGTAGACCCTAGGGCCTAGAACTTTTTCTGAGGGCTGTATCAGACCTCTGCTAAAAAGTTTGGTTTCTTCTGTGGCCTGCTGACACCACAGGCAAGGCATCAACTGTTCTCCTTAACCTTCACACCTTGGCTTACGTGACGCATGAGGACATCTGCAGATGCTTTGCTGGTGAGCAGAGCCTAGGTGAAGGGGGGTGGGCCCTAAGCATTCACCTCAGTGCCTTCATAAGAGGGTTCCTCAAGCTTGCCTAAATAGAAACCAGGCAGGGTGAAATCCTAAGTTTGAGGGTCATTGGGAGCCTGGAAGACAACTATATTGAGGAGGTACATGAATCCTGGGATGGGTTCTTGGATTCACTCGATCAGTGTTGTCCTCTGGGTATGGTTTCTTGGGTATGACTGAGACACAGGGAAGAGAGTATGTGTGCACAGTCTCACATGCTTGTATGCAGAGAGCAAGGGTGCCTCCTTCCAACCAACCTGTATTTGGTTCACCTGCATTGTGGATACAGATGTTGGTCCTTCCCCATCTTGTACCTCAGACCAGTCCTGAGAAAGGGACATTAGTCTTGGGCAGAACACCTGTAACTAGAGATTGGGATCATCATCTGAAGAGTGAGGTTTCCATGGCCAGCCATATCTCTACAAATGTGTTTGATCCTAGATTTTCTGGTTACTGTGCTTGGCTGTAAGGGAAACAAGCACTTTAGCTCTGCCCCAGCTGCTATGGTGATAGTTAAGGCTTCCTTTTTAGTATCTTTGTTAATGGAGCAGGTACCTCTATGCTCAGCTCAGATTGAACCCATGGGCCCCGACCCATTCTCCTTATCATTCTAGGAGATACCCTTCTGGCCATCCGGGCCCCATCGGGCACCAGCCTGGAGGTGCCCATCCCAGAGGTGGGTGCTTGGCCCTGGCAGGCGGTGTCAACTAAGGGTGGGTGCTGACTGGGGAGCCTGATAAGTCCTGGGTGGGGCATGGGGGAGGCCTGGAGATTCGGGTTATCTAGGAGGATGGGCAGCCTGAGTGGGAGAGGACACTGGCCCCGACCCAGGGTTGGATAGAAGCCATACATGCTTGCAATTCTGTCTACCTACTACCAATCTCTAGGGTCTCAATGGGCAGAAGAAGTACCAGATTCACCTGAAGAGTGTGAGTGGTCCCATTGAAGTGCTGCTGGTGAACAAGGAGGCATGGAGTTCACCACCTGTGGCTGTGCCTGTGCCACCCCCGGAGGATCTGCTCCAGAGCCCACCTGCTGTTTCTACTCCTCCCCCTCTGCCCAAACCTACCTTAGCACAGCCCCAGGAAGCTTCACGCCCAAGCAGCCCCCAGCTGACTGCCCCCACTCCTGTTCCTGGCAGCACTGAAGTCCCTGGGGTGGCCAGCCTGGCAGCTGAGATTACAGGTGAGGCACAATGGTGATAGGCCACCTTTTGCATCCCTAGAAGTATTACCTGTGTTGGGGAGTGCCATCCTGAGCATCAGAAGAGATATAGGGGTCTGTCTTTCCTTGGTTCCTGCTAGTCTTCCTTGCTGCAGCAGTAAATGCACCCTTCTTAATGGGGAAGGTCTGTGTGAAGGGACAGTAGGTGACAGTTTCCCGCAGATTAATATGCCAGTTTCTGGCAGCTCCCTTGGACCCATGTTTTCTTTGCATCTTCCTCCTACAGACTTTAGGCCCCTGTCTCTTTCAGTGACTGGTTTCTAGGTTCTCTCTTCTGGGGTAATTGATAGTGCCTACTCCACCTTGGGTCTGGACACCAGAACAGTGATCATCCTGACCATGGGGTCGAGTCCGCCAGGTTCAACCACCCGTTTCCTACCACCATGTGATTGGGTTTGGTGGATGTGGTTGCAGTGAGTGGCGGCCCTGGGACTGAAAGCAAGGACAATGATGAGCTCAGCTCACTCCCACTGGGCCCGACAGCGCTGGATACCAGGCCACTGCAGTCTTCTGCCCTGCTGGACAGCAGCAGCAGCAGTAGCAGCAGCAGTAGCAGCAGCAGCAGTTTATCCGGACCCAACTCTTCTACCTCCTTTGAGCCCATCAAGGTGGACCCCACAGGTGGTGAGTTTACCTGCTGACCAAGAGGCAGCAGGGAGAGTCCAGTCTCAGCCCAGTCCTTGATCAGAAACAAGAACCTAGCTCCCCTAACAACCCCCACCTGATAGCAGAGCTCTCTACCAGCCAGGGGAGGCTGCCTGGTACCCAGGCCAGCACTGGTGCCCTTTCGTCTCCTTCCTGGGCTAATGCAAAGTTCCCTGGCTATCTCTCAAGCCCCATCTGTCATTCTTGGAGCACACTGAGATTCCCTAATCCACACTTGATCCTCTGTGTCTCTGTCTTACCTACCCTGTCTCCTATGTGTGGACCTCTTGAAAAAGAAACCCTTGCTGCACTCCATGTCTCCATCTTACAGTCACTCCCAGGTGGCAGCTGGCAGGACCCCACCCCACCACAGCAGTTTAGCTGGTCTTCCCCTCCCTCCCTCCCTCTCTCCCTCCTTCCCTTTTTCCCTCCCTCCCTCACTCCCTCTTCCTTTTCTCTCTCTCTCTCTCTCTCTCTTTTTTTGTCAGTTGTGGGGCTTGAACTCTGGGCCTGGGCACTGTCCCTGAGCTCTTCAGCTCAAGGCAAATGCTCTATCTACCACTTGAGCCACAGTGCCACTTCTGGTTTTCTGGTGGCTAATTGGAGATAAGAGTCTCAGGGACTTTCCTGCCTAGGCTGGCTTTGAACTGTGATCCTCATATCTCAGCCTCCTCATTAGCTAGGATTACAGGCATGAGCCACTGGTGCCTGAGTCTTTCTTTTCTTGTTTGTTTGGTGGTACTGGAGTTTGAAAGGGCCTTATGCTTGTGCTATACTACCTGAGCCAGGCCTCCAGCTCAGGGCTAGTCTTGATGAGGTACCAGGTATCTTAAGGGGCTTGGCTCTGCTACTCTTGTTCCTTGCTGATGCTTTTTCCTCATTTGGCTTTAGTGATGCCAGTTTCTTGACTTGGTACTTTTTTAAATACAGCTGCTTGGGAGGATTCCAGACCTGGGGAAATAAAATCCAGTCTTTTCCTGGTTTAGATCTTTTGCCTGCTCTCCATGTCTACCTTCTCCAGAGAGCACCTCATTTTTAAATGTCTTTAACTTAATTCATTTTTCTCCTTAATATCTATCTGCTTCTATGGGCTTATGTCCACTGGCTGCCCTGCTCATCTAGGCATGGTACCTGGATGTCCAGGTCTCCCTGCTCACCCCACACTGGCTAAGTACGGTCTGTTTAACACCTTTCCCCTTATCCCTTACATCTTCAGCACTCAGGATGACTACTGGACACCTGGATTCTGGATTTGTTGGCATCTGTCTCTTTATCCTTGATGACAAAAATGATCTCTGAAATGCTAACCTGACTGAGCTTTATCCAGCTCGGGAGTAGAGCCTGTACTAAGCATTTGTGAGGCCCTAGGTTCAATCTCCAGCATGCACACATACACATACAAAACAAAACAAAACATCCTTTCAGTGGCTCCCTAATTCCCATTCGGGAAAACCTCAAGCTCCTAATCCCAGCATAGACTCCTCTTGTGGTCCTTCCATCTTTTCTTCTGTTTCCTGTCTCCTCCCAGTCAACTTTATAGTAGCTTCATCATCCTGTAGTTCCCACCAAAGTGTCTTCCATCTTTGCCAGGTGGCCCAGCTCAGGGTATATCACAGAATACATGCTTGGTAAAGGTGGGAGTGCATAAAACATACTGGGCTCAGGGTACCAAACTTCAGTCAGCAGAATAGACTGACAGAGACAGTATCAGCTATACCTGGGGCAGGGCTTGCATTTCCTCAGCCATGTAGAATCCAAGAGTTGATAGTATAGGATCCAAGGAAGGTGGGGGCTGAGGTGACCTCTCCCTTCTAGCATGGCTTTCTTGTCTTTCAGTTCTGGAACTCCCCAAAGAGCTGTCAGAAATCTTTGATCCTACACGAGGTAGGCAGTGTTCCCCCCTGGGTCTGGGGATAGGGACATGGCTCATCAAGTGCTGCTTTCTTGCTCTTCTGAGCACCTTATGATTGTGCTTGGTATTCCCAGGCAAAAAGTAAACTATCCAATGAGCATGTGGGGGTTCCTTTCATGGGCTTTAGTGGATGGAAAGGTGGGGGTCAGAATATAAATGAGTTCTCTCCATTCCCAGAGTGCATGAGCTCAGACCTGCTGGAGGAGTTGATGTCCTCAGAAGGTGGGTGGTCTAGGAAGGTAGGGGGTGGCTGTGGGCAGTGGTTGGGTGGCTGTTGGGTGGGGCCATTGATTGCCCAGGGCCTCAGCCTAGTACTCTCTGCAGTGTTTGCCCCCCTCCTCCGCCTTTCTCCACCCCCTGGAGACCACGATTACATCTACAACCTGGATGAAAGTGAAGGTGTCTGTGATCTCTTTGACGTGCCTGTTCTCCACCTCTGACTGACAGACATGCCCCAGTGTCTGGGATCCAGACTGAGCTGGGGGCTGCCTGGGAACCTTCCCCACCCCTACCCCTACACAGCTTGAGGGTCACAGACTGCAAGCTTGTCCTACTGCACAGTTCTAGCCAGGCCTTCCTCTTCTGCTTTGGCGTTTGTTCTGTGTGAGCAGAGCAGGGGAAAAGGCTCAGCCCCCTCCACATGGAGCCAAAGTGTTTGCTTCCCTTTTTCTGGAGCCCCCCACCCCATAGCCCAGGCTCAGCTGCCATCCAGTGGCACAGGCCCGCCATTGCCCCCATAGGGCAGTTTGTCCAGCCCCTCTCCCCCAGGAAGGAAGGATGGAATAGAGCTGAGTACTTTGCCAGCCTCATCCTAGCTTCCTTCCCTGCCTACTCATCCTACAGCTTCTGGATCTCTCATGTACCCCCTTCTGCTGAGGCCCCAGCTCTGAGTATTGGGGAGGGAGTTGCTAGTAAGAAGGAATTGAGGTGTCTAGGAATCTGGATGGGTTGGTCCCAACCTCCTGATGCTCCATAGTTCCCCCACCCCCCTTCATTTCCATTTATCTTTGTTTAGAGCCATTTGCAGAGATTTAGAAAGATTTACAGTAACGAATGGATTCCTATATAAAGATTATTTTTATACTTTTTGCAGCAAAAGGAAATTGTAATATTTGTACAGTGTCCAAGTGAATAAAGACCTTGCCTAAGGCTATTTCTGATCTGGTTCTTTGGGGCCCCTCCCTGAGACTGCTGGCTAGGCGAGACAGGGTGGGTCACCTTGCTGGAATGGGAGGTGTGGCCGCATTAGGCAGCCGGTCCTCCCTGCCCCCACCGGCCGCACCTCGGTGTGGGGAGGGGCGGGGCCACCTCCGCGGGGCGGGGCGGGGCGGGCAGGGCCATCCTACCCTCCTACCCCCAGACTCCAACCCGGAACTAGCCGAGGCTCCCTTGGGAAGGCCTTGGTGCCTGGCAGGGAGTGGGAACCTGGGCTAGGAGTGCAGGCCACCGGGGCCGGGTCGTGGGCGAAGGGCCACCCTTCTAGCACCCAAAGGGCTCCAGGCCAGGTACGCGCTCGACGGGAGCGGCAGAGTCGGGAAGGTGCAGGCGCCCGCCGCCGGCTGGACTATGGCTCCCCCGCGGAACGTGGTGAAGATTGCTGTCCAGATGCGTGACGCCATCCCGCAGCTCATCCAGCTGGACCAGGTCACTGGCCTGTCCGACCTCCACCTGCCCCGTTGCCCACCGCTGGTTGATCCCCTTCCCTTGGGACAGGCACCCCACCTTTTCCCCAGATCCTTCCCCTCCCACCCCCGTTTCCACCCCTTCCCAGCTCCTGAGTGACAGCTCCCACTTACTGTAGGCAAAGCCCCTGGCCACTGTGCTGAAGGAGCTGTGCGACGCGTGAGTGACTGACGGCCAGCGGGGTGGGGGAGGGGCGGGCGAGAAGAGGGGCCCCTACCTGCCTCGCTGAGCTGTGTGCCTCGCAGGTGGAACCTGACTCACTCCGAACGCTTTGCCCTGCAGTTTGCTGATGGGCACAGGAGATACATCACCGAGAATGTGAGTCCCCAGCCCCCAGCCTTCACCCTATGGCCCTTCTGATCCACCTGGCTCTGATAGAACAGACTCATTCCCCATATCTAAGAGCTTTCTTTTACTGACCCCCAAATCCTCCCTCACTGAGGATTCAGTTGACCTTGAGTCCTCCTTGACTTTGCTCCTCTTTCTATTTTCCTCCAGAATCGGGCGGAGATCAAGAATGGCAGCATCCTATGTCTCAGCACTGCCCCAGTAATGTCCCTCCTGGCCCCATCCCCATCCCCTCTGCCCGGCCCCTTTGCCTCTTTTCTGCCGGATGGCCTCAGCCCCAGATCTGGAAACCCTCTCCAGCAGTGCTCCACCTAGTGGCCACCAGTATCTGTACACTTTCAATTCATGTCCTAACCTCTGTCCAGCCTCATCCATTTTTATTCTGCCCCTGCCAGGATCTGAAGGCTGAGCAACTGTTGGGGGAACTGCAGAATTCCAGTCGTGAACGGCGCCGAGAAGCTCTAAGACACCTCGTCCTGCTGGCCTCAGACATGACCTTTGCCCAGGAAGTCATCAGCCGTGATGGGCTTCAGAGACTGGGCACCATTATTGAGGATGGGGATGAGTGAGCACAGGGTTATGATGGGGTGGGGGAATGTGGTAGGGCTTGTAGAATTTGGTCTGGTTCTGCTCAGCTCCAGGGATCTCCTCTAGCCTAGGTGAGATGCTGGCTCTTGGGCTGAGGGCCTTCTTGGAGTTCATGGAACACGGCGTGGTGTCCTGGGAGACACTGGGCATCCCCTTTGTGAGGAAGGTAGGTGGACTTTTCCCAGGACAGCAGGTGGGGGCAGTGAGGTAGTGCCAGGGTCTGGCCTTCTGTGGTGGCGAGGTGGCGATCACCTCTACCCCTCTTACAGGTCGTGTCCTATGTGAACATGAACCTGATGGATGCCTCTGTGCCGCCCCTGGCCCTTGGGTTACTGGAAAGTGTGACCTTGAGCAGCCCTGCTATGGGCCAATTGGTTAAGAGTGAGGTGCCACTGGATAGGCTGCTGGTTCACCTGCAAGTGTAAGCCTCAGGGATGGGATATAGGTGGGAGAGCAGTACTAGACCTGGACCCAGTATGTGCAACTGAGCCCACCCCTCCTCTTGCCATAGGATGAACCAACAGCTGCAAACCAAGGCCATGGCACTGCTGACAGCCTTGCTGCAGGGAGCCAGCCCTGCTGAACGTAAGGTGAGCGTCACTGGTGGCTGGGTGGGGATTATCAGCTGATGGCTACAGTGTTCCAACCTGAGGATCAATCACGGAACCCCCTTCACACTTCCTGCAGCAAATGCTTGACTACCTATGGCAGAGGAACCTTCGCCAGTTCATCTACAAGGTAGGAACGGTCGGACCAGGGAGGGCCCTCCCTCCTTATTCCTCTTCTCCCAGTGAGTCACAGCCTGCCTATCTTCCAGAATATCATTCATAGTGCTGTGCCGCTGGGCGATGAGATGGCTCATCACTTATATGTGCTGCAGGCCCTTACACTGGGGCTGCTGGAGCCACGTATGCGGACACCACTCGACCCCTACAGTCAGGTGTGTGTCCTGGGAGAAGCAGTCTGGGGATGGCTTGGAGATTGGCCTTGAATCTCCGATTTTAATACTTATCCAACAATAACCCCAGGAACAGCGGGAGCAGCTGCAGGCCCTGCGCCAGGCTGCCTTTGAGTCAGAGGGGGAATCTCTGGGCACTGGGCTGAGTGCAGACCGCCGCCGTTCCCTCTGTGCCCGAGAATTTCGCAAACTGGGCTTCTCTGTGAGTAACCTCTACCCAAGTCCCCACCCAAGGCTTCTATAAGGGCTGTTGTGGCCCTTCCTGAGCTGCCTGTGCTCCCATCTCCAGAACAGCAACCCAGCCCAGGACCTGGAGCGCGTGCCCCCTGGCCTGCTGGCTCTGGACAACATGCTCTACTTCTCCAGACATGCCCCTAGTGCATATAGCCGGGTCAGTGACAGGGTGGCAGGGATGGCACTAGTCCCACCTTGGCAGGATCCCCATGGGCTTAGCTGAGACTCTCTCCCACTCCCTGTGCCCACTCTCCCAGTTCGTGCTGGAGAACAGCAGCCGGGAGGATAAGCACGAGTGCCCCTTTGCCCGGAGCAGCATCCAGCTGACGGTGCTGCTGTGCGAACTGCTCCATGTCGGGGAGCCTTGTGAGTGGTGCTGGGTCCAGCATGTCCGGGGACAGGGGACGGAAGGGCAGAGAGGGCCAGGGGTTATACACACTTTCTCCCTGAGCCCCTCCTGCCCCCCTGCTCCAGGCTCCGAAACGGCCCAGGACTTCTTTCCCATGTTCTTCAGCCAAGACCAGAGCTTCCATGAGCTCTTCTGCGTGTCCATCCAGCTGCTGAATAAGACCTGGAAGGAGATGCGGGCGACACAGGAGGATTTTGACAAGGTGGGGATGGGGGGGGGCGGGGAGAAAGAGCTGGGAGGCCAAGCAGGGGTCTGTTCTGGAAGGAGGCCCAGAGGTCAGGCTCCATATTGTGCTTGGGGTGGCCTCAGGTCATGCAGGTGGTACGGGAGCAGTTGGCCCGTACACTGGCCCTGAAGCCCACATCCCTGGAGCTTTTCCGGACCAAGGTGAACACACTCACCTATGGGGAGGTGCTGCGGCTGCGGCAGACGGAGCGGCTGCACCAGGAGGGCACCCTCGCCCCTCCCATTCTGTGAGTTGTCAGGGACAGATTCCTCAGTAGCAGTTCCCATCTTCCCAAGTACCCTGTGGACTGTGCCCTAGGTCAGTCCTGGTCACTGACTGCCACCCCTCTATCCCAGGGAGCTGCGGGAGAAGCTGAAGCCAGAGCTCTTGGGCCTGATCCGCCAGCAGCGTCTGCTCCGCCTATGCGAAGGGACACTCTTCCGCAAGATCAGCAGCCGGAGACGTCAGGGTCTCTGAGTGGGTCAAGGAGGGGCACAGGGTGTGTAGGTTGGGGTCAGAGCCTTTCTCATCACTCCTTCCCTCTTCCCCTTCTCTGCACAGACAAGCTGTGGTTCTGCTGCCTATCACCCAACCACAAGGTGCTGCAGTATGGAGATGTGGAGGAGGGTGCCAACCCCCCTGCCCCAGAAAGCCTGCCAGAACAGGGTAAGGAGGGCAGGGCCAGGGTTCTGACAGCTGCTTTACTCAGATGCCCTGTGCCCTGGGGCTGCCTACGGCCCCAATGGTCAGCCTGGTTTTCTTCCTGCAGTCGCTGTAGCTGACATCAGGGCACTCCTAACTGGCAAGGACTGCCCCCACATCCGGGAGAAGGGCTCTGGGAAGCAGAACAAGGTGAATGCAGTGGGACCGTGGGCCTCTTCCCACCTGCCCCTGCCTGTCTGTTCCTAGCTCAGTGCTCTTGCCCTCTGGTTCCTTAGGACCTCTGTGAGTTGGCATTCTCCATCAGCTACGACCATGGGGAAGAAGAGGCGTACCTCAACTTCATTGCCCCCTCCAAGCGGGATGTGAGTCTCTGGGCTTGGTTGAATTGGGCAGATGGCTGAGGGGTCAGATGGGCAGACCTTCATTGAGCTGGCCCTATCTGTCCCAAGTTCTATTTGTGGACGGATGGGCTGTGCGCCCTGCTGGGTAGCCCCATGGGCAGTGAGCAAACCCGGCTGGACCTGGAGCAGCTACTGACCATGGAGACCAAGCTGCGATTGTTGGAGCTGGAGAACATACCCATCCCAGAGCAGCCACCTCCCGTGCCTCCACCCCCCACCAACTTCAACTTCTGCTATGACTGCAGCATCACTGAACCTTGACAATGAGGTTGAGCGAGGGCCACAGTTGCTGCAACTGCAGCAACCACAAATTGGGTAGAGCAGAATGGGGCCCCTAGCCAGCAGAAGCTGCAGCAGAAATAAAGTGTATCAAGCAAGCACTGAACCTTGTGGGCCAAGCCTGTGACAAATATGGATAGTCATCCCTCTTTTGTCTTCAAACTTAGCTCATGAATAAGACATCAGGCAGGACCACAAACTTAGCAGCCACACGTGGGGGTCTGGTGTTCATGGGAGGCAGGGACTGTGGGGATTATTCTCATTCTCCTTTAGTGCTGAACTCACAGAAGCATGACCTATTGTCTCGTTGGCACCTGCCAAGTAGCAGGACAGGAGGCATTGCTCCATTGAGATGCTTTCTGGGCAACATTACAGGGGCCTAGTCTGGGAGCAATGCTTCTAGAATGCTGTTTACAATCCTCAGAACTCAGTCTTCTTCTCTGCTGGTCCTGGCTGGTCCTTTTTGCAGTTTGGAGGCCTCTGGTGAGAGGCATGAAAGGAGAGGTGTATAATGGGACCTACTTTCTGCTGAGGAACCAAACCCCTAGTTCCAAAGAGCATCCCGAGGCCGGTGGAGTTTCTAAGCAGATTTGGACAAATGGGAATTCTGTACCGAAAGCTCTGCATGCCATTAAAACCTAATTCAGAGCTGAGCACCAGTGACTCATGCCTATAGTCCTAGCTACTCAGGAGGCTAAGATCTGAGGACTGAAGTTTAAAGCCAGCCTGGATAAACCCATGAGACTCTCTTAACTTGAAAAAAGCCAGACTGGAGACGTGGTTCAAGTAGCAGTGCACCAAGCTGTGAGTAAAAAAGCCAAGCAGGAGTGCAAGGTTCTGAGTTCAAGCCCTTGTGCCAGCACCAAAATCCAACTCAGGAGTATTATGAGGTACAGGCCACAGACAGGACAGACATTTTAAAGGCTGAAGAAGGGGTGTTGGGTCTGGCAGGTCAGGCTTGGAGGAATGGAGGCTCCAAGTCCCTGAGGCACAGAAGAGCACGAGGCAGGCTGAGTGCTGCTACCTACCTTCCTTATCCACTCCACTCACTATTTCTTACCTAGTGCCTCCTCAAGTAGTTTACCTTAAAGACAGATGAAACAGCATCTCATTTGGAGAATGTACTTGTCTTTTCCCCCATCCCAGCCAGCACTTCTTATCCTTAGGCATCCAGTGTGCCAGGCTTGGGTTGAGAGACTTCCCATCACACTTAGAGTGGTTTGTTATTGAGTTCAAGGTGGAAACAGGAGGCAGGGATCCCAGATGTAGTTAGTCTGCCCATACTGTCCATTCTTCCTTTTCAATGTCTTCAGTCCATTGTCCATGCTACTGTCATCTCAGCAACAATCTCCTGACTTCTGACCTCTAGTTGTGCTCCTCCAATCGTCTCAATACCTGTTATTCCACCTTCCTTGTAAATCATAAATCATGTGATTACACACTCATATACACTCTATATTCTTAAGTGTCTCCCTATTTATTGTCTATGAACTAATGGTCATGGTTACCATGATTGAGCAGAGTTGAGATACGTAGGCTGCAGACATGTAGTTTAGTTACTGTACCTGTAGTCTGCAGCCATTCTTGAATGGCTCTAGTTGGAATCTTCTCTGTACCTGATCAGAGCCTACTCTTATTGGCTCAGCAACAGCTCTGGACTGCTTATGTGTATCCCCATAGTCCCCCTGTCTATCTTGCCCCTCTCTCATTTTTCACTGCTTTTATTCCTTCCTTGACCCTCCAAGTTCATTGCTGCCCTGGAATTCTGGTTTCTCTACCACACACACTCATCACTTTAGATCACCCCTGACAGTTGGCTTATTTGTCTTTCCAGCCGGCCTGGGGACTAGCAGTGTTGGCACTCAACCCCTACATGAAGCACCATCTAAGTACTTCTAGAATTGATGGATAGATGGACAAAGTGTGGGGACATCTCATAGATGTTGTTGAGAAGTCACTGACACTGTTTAGAGGGTTGGGCTAGAAGGCCTATAATGACTGTTCTACCCAGAGATGCTGTCCTATTTTTCTTTTCCCGTCCCCTACCCTCTATGAAAACAGTACATTGAATCAGCCATCATTAACCAGTTGTTCCTGGGTTCTGGCTGGGCCCAGTACCATTGCAGCAAGGCATGTCCAGGGTACTGTGCTGGGAATGGCTTTAATGTCTCCTGATTGAGTTAGGCTAGTGTGGACCAGCCCTGAAGGTCTTAGGGGTCAACTGAGGTAGGAGATGAAGGGCCCTTTAGTCTGGGAACTTCAGAACAGGTAAGATCTGGAACTTTTAATTCTGTTTGGGTTTACAAGAAGAAGGTAGTTTGGCTGTTAAAGCTCAGTGCATATGAGGGCTAGGAGAGCACTCAGAGGGAGCAAGTACAAAGAATACTGGCCTTACGTGTGAGATGTTGGGGGCGGGGGGCAGGGAAGTACAGGGTCTACTCTGTCCCGGCACCAGACTGAGCCTGCCTGTGGGCCTGGCCTCCCAAACAGGGTGAATGGAAAGTGACTGTTGCCTGCAGGGAAGCCCAGGGCAGGAAGTTTCCTGGGATGACCTAGATTGAGTCCTAGACAAACTGAAGCAGGAGGCAAGGGGCCCTACAGCAAACTCCTAAGTCCTTAGACCTGGGCTGGAACCAAAGGTTATGGTAAAGACTAAGCTGTAGGGCTGGTTACTGACCTGGTCTTACAGTGTGAGAGTCAGGTCAGCCCCTCCAACGAAGCGGGACTGGATGCAGGTCACCTGAGGTAGCTGTTCTTGAAAGCGCCTGATGGCCGCCATGTTAATACCAGGACACATGGCCACATCCAACACCTGGAGCTGCTTGCATGCCCGAGTAATGGCATCCAGTGTTCTGTAGAAAGGCCACTGGATGAGTGCCTAGCCCAACCCAAGGCCCCAGCCCGTCCCCTGCACTGTGGCTCCATTTGCTCAGTGCTGTCACACACTCACTGCTCTGTGAGTTGACTACAGCTGGATAGGTTGATGTGCTGCAGCCTTGGCCAGGACCTGGCTGCCTGGGCCCAGCCCTCATCACTAAGATGGCTGCAGTGACTCAGCACCAAACGCTCCAGACTGGGGCAGCCCCTGGCCACAGCCACCAAACCCATGTCTGTGAGTGCTGGCAATAGGCTCAGTGACAACCGCCTCAGCTGGGGGAACTGAAGCACCTGTAAAGGAGATGGCATTGGAACTCAGAGCCTGGGCCCCTTCCCACCTCAGGGGTGTGACAGGAACTCAATAAGAAAGGCATGCCATGTAAAAAGTGGGTTGGCCCAGGCCCCTGGCTCCAGCCCCAAGATCCTCAGCCTACCCACACCTTGGCCAAACTGGCATCGGTCAGCTTGCTGCAGGCTGTGAGGTCCAACTCCTGGAGGGCCTGAAGCTTGAGCAGGGAGGGGCCCTGTGGTTGGGGAGAAGGGTCTGTAGAGTCGGAGGCCTGATGTTTCAGCTCTGCATGTGACTGTGGAAAGAAACCCCTGCTTCTCAGGTTCTTTCTGAGTTTGGCCTCACATGTTTCTAAAGAGAAACTTGGGAAGGGTTTAGGAGGGCAGCTGAGCCCAGAAGTCACCCCACTCTCCCTGGCCTTAAGATCTCCCACCTGGGGGCCTAATGCAGGCTCCTCATTTGGTTCCTCCAGCCCCAGAAGCCCCCAGTCACAGAGCTCCTTGCACCAAGCCAGGCGCAGGACTGAGAGGTGGGTGAGGTAGGAGCAGATGGCCTGCATGGTCCGGTTGGTGAGAGTCACACAAGATGACAAGTCTAGCACCCTCAAGCTCGAGCTCAGCACTGGAATCATGGAGAGCACAGATGCGTCCTAGAAGGTAGGGAGAAGAAGCCGGAGTAGAGGTCCCCAGCAAGGGTCTGCCCAAGGTTCCTGGAACAAGACAACAGGGAGCTAGCTGCCAGAGGAGCCAGCAGCACCCAGGCTGCATGGCCCACGCTGGCTATACAAGTTTGAAGTGGACAGGGTAGCCCATGGGGGTGAGAACCGTGAAGAGGCTGCTGATGGACAAAAGTTGACTGCAAATGATGCAGAAAGAATGTAGGTAGAAATTTCCAAGATATCTGCCCTGCTTGTGTTCCCAACTCTTGATAAAGGATGGGATGACCCTCAGCCCATTGGGCCAGGGGTGAACAGGTGACTAAGCAGAGCCAATCAGAAGTGCTCCCTCTAGAACTTGAACCACAAGTGTGAGGCTGTGGTCAGAACTGAGACTGTCACCTGCAGAGAAAAAGAGACGGAGCAGCAGGATCCGAGGGCCTGGGCGGAGGATGCTGGCTTTTAGAGAGATATAGAGGGGCTTGGGAGGCACAGGGATGGTGAGGCCCAGGAGAACAGTAAGAGACACTAACATCCAAAGGAATAAATAGGCCCAGGAAAGGGGCACTTACAGCAAAACAAGGTTAAGAGACAGGTAATGCCCACATCACAGTAATAGGTTGAAAGAATAACCCGGTAAGGAGAGACTGTGTGACATTCTCAGAAGACAGAAATGCCATCCAGAGGAACAAGAATGAGCCATACGAAAGGACTCACTTTTGCTAGGAAGCAACTCTACTACCATGTGAAATTCTCTCTGGAGGTCCTGCTTGAGTGCCTTCTTAAGAGCCCCCTTCCCTGCCATTCTCTTCCCTCACCCTTTCTTCAGCCTTCCTGCTTCCAGAATACGTATGTAAGATATTGGGATACACTTAATGTCTTGGGACTTTCTTTGCCTGGGCCTAGAGTGGAGATTCTGGGGAGGCATGCCAACAGCCTATCTGTCTGGGTTTCTGTTTTCTTCCAGACCATGGCTATGCTCTAACTACTTTGCCTGGGTCATCCCTCCCTGGGGCTACAGGCAAGCCCTTCATCCCCACCCTCCAAGCTGCCCTAGAGAGGAAGAGAGGGTTGCTCACCTTTAGTGAAGAGCAGTAGGCCAGCCTGAGAGAGGTCAATGGGGGTGGAGTTCCACGTGCTGTTCCCAGGGCCTGGGCCAGCTCCCGCCCGCTCACCAAGCAGCACTCAGCCATGTCCAGGCTCTGCAATTCCCGCAGGCCCCCGAGGGCTGTACACCCTGCATCTGTCAGCCGTTGCAGCTTCCCAAGGCTCAGGTGCCGCAGATGCCGTAGGCCCCTGCTCACAGCCAAAAGTGCCCCATCAGTCAGTTCTGAGCAGCCGCTGAGGTTCAGGGAAGTGAGGCCAGGTTGCTGACGGCACAGAGTGGCCACAGCCTCTGTAGAGAGGTCCCGGCAGCTGTGCAGGTTCAGCTCCTGCAGCTGCAGCCCAGCCACCTGGCCGAGGGCCCGCAGGGCTTCAGGTGGTAAGCCAGTGCCACTTAGGTCTAGGGAGCGTAAGCTGCCAGCCCGTTCCTTCACGAATTTCAGCAGGTTTTGGAAGGATAGTTCAAAGGGTGGGGAGCCCTGGGGACCCCAAGCTGGGGCTGACTCGAAGGTAAGGTGGCAGTAAGCCAAAGAGAGGCGCTCCAAGCTGGGGACACAGTTGCTGAGCTGGTTGAAGCTGAGGTCGGTCAGGTCTCGCAGGCCGGCCAGGTTGAGCTCACGGAGACCACTTAGCGCCTGCCGGACACACTGTGCTGTCTCAGGCTGAGCCAGTAGCGTGCCTGATGTAAAGAGGCTGTTGCAGCCACTGAGATCAAGGGTGCGCAAGGCTGGGCATCGCAGGACCAGAGCCACAAAGGAGGCCTCTGTGGGACTGCCCCCACCCAGGCACAAGCTCTGCAGGTGTGGGCCTAGGTGGTAGGCAATGGACTGGAGCACCTGGTGGGAGGCTGGTGAGCCATCCAGGTTGACTAAGCTGATGCAGGAGATGCCCCGGAGGCCCAAGCTCTTGATAGCCGAGAGTGAGGCAGAGGACACAGGGATGTTGTACCGCACTTTTCTCTATAGAGTAGCAGTAGGCCTAAGGTTAGTTCTCTGGCCAGAGGTTGAGGGCAGGTGAGGAAGGGTTCCTCCACAATGAAGATCCACTGTGATGTGTGGTTGAAGGGTGTGGGGGAGGAAATGGGAGTTGGGACAACAAATCATGTTGGGATTTGAAGGGTGCTGACTATCGGAGGAGGCAAGAAGATTAGTGAAAGGACAGGACTAGATGCCTAAGGAAGGGCAGGCACAGAGCAGGGAGTTGGCTGAGCACAGGAGGGCTGAGATGTGACCTGAAGGAAGCTCAATGAAACCCTATTGGGGGGGCTGGGAAGATGGCTCAGTGGCAGAGCGTTTGCCTTGCATGCCTGAGGCCCTGGGTTCGATTCCTCAGCACCACATAAGCACAAAGAAAAAAGCCGGAGGTGGTGCTGTGGCTCAAGTGGTAGAGCGCTAGCCTTGAGCTGAAGAGCTGAGGGACAGTGCCCAGGCCCAGAGTTCAGGCCCCACGACCGGACCCAAAAACAAAACAAAACAAAACCCTATTGGGTAAGAGGACAAAGTATGCTGGACCCCAACCTTGCAAACTCTCAGAAGGAGGCCCTGACCTCCATGTTCCCAGTCTCCTGCTCTAGGAACTTGGTATTAGCTAAGCAGACAGCTCTTTTTTGCTGAAGGCTAATGCTCTACCACTTCTTCCCTCCCATTTTTGTAGATTATTTATAGCCTTTTTAGAAGAAGTGAAAGCTGGGCGCCTGGTGCTCACACCTGTAATCCTAGCAACTCAGAAGGCTGAGATCTGAGGATCACAGCTCAAAGCCAGCTCAGCAAGTCCATGAGAATCTTATCTCTAATAAACCACTCAGAAAACTGGAAGTGGCACTATGGCTCAAGAGGTAGAGGGCTAGCCTTGAGCTGAAGAGCTGAGGGATAGCGTCCAGGCCCAGAGTTCAAGCCCCACAACCGACAAAAATAAATAAATAAATAGAAGAAGTGAAGCAGTGTTTACAACTTTCTGTGGCCCAGGTGCCAGAAGTCTGCAGTAGGCAGTGAAGTGTGGAGCCCCTGGTGGCCTCAAAGTGCCCTAGGCATATGAATGTTTGCAAAAATAGTTTTGTGTGTAAAGGAAAGACCATGTGCCTGAGCATGTATGTGTACCTATAAGCACACATGAACAAACACATGTGGGACTGCCCCAAGTCAGGAGAATCCCTGTAGCACATCTAGATAAGGAAGGAGAAGCCAGGTGTCCGTAGCTCACACCTGTAATCTTAGTTACTCAGGAGGCTGAGAGCTGAGGATCGCAGTTCAAAGCTAGTTTGGGTGGGAAAGTCTGTGAGACTCATCTCTAATTAACTAGCAAAAAGCCAAAATGGAGATATGGTTCAAGTGGTAGGGCATCAGCATTGAGCAAAAAAAGCTAAAGGATAGCCCTCAGGCCCTGAGTTAAAGCACCAGTACCATCACCACCACCACCCTACCCCTAGAAGGAAAAAAAAAAAAAAGGTAAGGAAGAAGCCTTCTCAGAGGAGGTGCTAAGGAAGTTGAGCTGGCCCTGTTTAGGAGAGCAAGAATAAGGAATGCATGGTGAGAGTAGGGTATGACCCAGGAGGCACATTCATCACTAAGTTGTATAAGCTGCCTGGTGCAAGAGTATAGGAGCCTCCACCTAAGAAAATTATTTTCATTAAATCTTCCTAGCTCTTATGTAGCCAAGAAGAAGTCAGTATAATTTGTATGCAAGAGGCCTGTAGGAGAAGGAAAACCTACTTGGCTTCTAAAATCCTAGACCCTGGGTTAGGGATATGGCTCAGTGGTAGAGTGCTCACTTAGCATGTTCAAGGCTGTTCCCTTCTTACATAGATTGTAAAAATTGTAGTGAAATAAGACCCTTGGTTTAGCATCCTAATGCAGGAAAGCAAGCTCCCTGAAACCTTATCAATGACTGCAAAAGAAGCCACTGTTTTTGCTTGTGTATCTCACTGACAGCACCAAAAGGGAAAGGGAAATGTAATAGTGACATGCAGGATGGGCTCCTACAAAATTTTATCAGCAGGACTCTCCCAGGCAGAGATGGGGGTAGAAATCAGCCTAGCTTTTGCCTCCGACAGAAGTGGCCACCATTGCTGTTACGTTGGCAAGCAGAGTGTGTGTAAGAACTGGCACCAGCTTCTCACAGCAATCAGTGGTTGGTTAGGTTTCCTTTCTGGACCCCACCTCCAAATCATGGCCTTTCCCAGTGACAGCACTCACAGAAGATCTCTTGAGATAGGGCATCAGGGACTCCCAAGAGTCTGGGTCCCTCTCAGATGTAAGGAGAGCTAAGGCTGGGGAGGGAGATGAAAAGGTCAGAAAGAGAAAGGTGTGGAAAGGAAAGAATTATGCCTCTTGCTACTGCCAAGCCTTGCAGGATGGATGAGTCAGTCTATGAGGAATAAACTAGTGTTGGGGGATCTGAGAGCTGAGAGCTGGTTGCCCAGGCAGCACCCGCCCCCACCACTCTTATGTGAAGCCTGAAAGTCTCAAAGGCCTCAACTGGCAGCAGAAGCTACAGGTGCGCATTCTCATCCTCTTCCTGAGAGCCTGAACAGCAGGCTAACTCCTTATGTGCAAGGTAGACACAGTGCCAAGGGAAAATACTAACGGTTACACTGGGCCCAGTCCAGGGCTGACAACTGTCAGCCAAAAGGTACTGGACAAACAGGCAGGGCCTAGCTTGCAGGACTTTTGATACTAGGATAAGACCACTTATCACCCAGTGGCCTATCCTGCTCCTGAGGTCAAGTGGTCTTAACTTAAGGAGCCTAGAGAAGCTTTTTAGAGCTTTTTGTTTATGAATTCCTGTTCCAGGCTAGGTGTTGGTAGCTCACACCTGTAATCCTAGCTACTCAGGAGGCTGAGATCTGAGGATCACGGTTAATTGCTAGCCTGGGCAGCAAAGTCCGTGAGACTCTTATCTCCAATAAACCACTAGAAAACCGGAAGTGGCACTGTGGCTCAAGTGGTAGAGCACTCGCCTTGAGCTGAAGAGCACAGTGCCCAAGCCCAGAGTTCAAGCCCCACGGCCAACCAAAAAAAAAAAAAAAAAAAAAGATTCAAAGCCAGCCCAGGCAGGGAAGTCTGTGAGACTCATCTCCAATTAACTAGCAACAACAAAAATAACAACAAAAAGCCAAAAGTGGAGCTGTGGCTCAAGCGATAGAGTGCTAGCCTGAGTACAAAATCTCAGAGACAGTTCCCAAGTTCTGAGTTCAAGCCCCAGGACTAGCACATACACAAAAAAGTTCATCTTCCAGTTTTAGGGACCAGCCAATCATCCTGGTCTCCTCCTTTTTCCATGCCAGCATCTTTTTTTTTTTTTTTTTTGATTGTGGGGCTTGAACTCGGGGCCTGGGTGCTGTCCTTGCTATCCCTGAGCTCTTTTGCTCAAGGTTTGTGCTCTACCACTTTGAGCTACAGTCCCACTTCTGGTTTTTGAGTGGTTAACTGGAAATAAAAGTCTCACAGGGACTTTTCTACCTGAGCTGGCTTCGAACCACAATCCTCAGATCTCAGGCCCCTGAGTAGCTAGTTTTACAGGTGTGAGCCACAGGTGCCCGGCCATTCCAGCGTCTCAGAAGCAATTACAAAGTCATTTGAGAAGCAGCTAAATGCCTACTTTTATTTTATTTTATTTTATTTTTTTGTCAGTCATGGGCCTGAACTCTGGGCCTGGGCGCTATCCCTCAGCTCTTCAGCTCAAGGCTAGCGCTTGACCACTTGAGCTACAGTACCACTTCCGGCTTTTTCTGCTTATGTGGTGCTGAGGAATTGAACCCAGGGCTTCATGTGCAAGACAAGCACTCTACCACTGAGCCACCTTCCCAGCCCCACTGCCTACTTTTAAAAGTGACAACAATTGGGGGCAGGGGGAGACACAGCACAAGTGGAACCAAATGCAAGGCCCTAAGTTCAAACCTGAGTTTGTTTAAGTAAGTATGCTAAGCAGACAAACAAATGTAACAAATGCGCACTGACCATGGGAGACCAGGGTTTTGTGGTTCCCTAGTGAAGCCCTGCATTGAAACTATAGGCCTGAGTACAAACTCAGAGACCTGATGGAGAAAAGGCCTCCCTGTATTCTGTACTAGAAGCAAGGCTAAAGTGTCTGTTTCAACAGAAGAATGTGGGGAAATGCAGGCCTGGTACTCTGGAGAGGAGCTAAACTCCTCTCAGGTTGGGGTAGGGGGAGGCAGTGGAGGGCAGAGTCTTCTGCTCTTTCTCTACAATGAACAACCCAACAATGGACAGTCAGTGCTTCTCAGTAGCGCCTAGGTTTGTTGGAGAGCACTGCCACTGCCTGCATCCTTATTTGAGATTGGGATTATGTGAACAGTAGAGGTAGGTTAGGGAAATAAGAAGTTACCAAATCCAGCATCCTAGGCTGGTTAGACCTAGGCCAGCTTGTCTTTGGCAATCCATAGCTGTTCCATACCATCAGTGACTGAGGACACTGCTTCCTCTTCTACTTGCCCACACCTGGGCCCTGGGAGATGGTTCCTGCCCATAGAGCCCTGCAGATTCCTCTCTGGGATATGTGGTTAGCTGGAGAGCAGCTTCAGCTCTATAATGGTAGCCTCTAAGACCACAGTCACTGATGCTACCCTCCTTTCCTCTTCCTCTTCGCTCCTCCTCACCCCACCTATACCCAAAGCCCTGCCTCCACTCTCTCTCCTCAGAACTTGCTGTCTTGCTTCCCTCATGCTGCTGTGTCTATTCTCCTTGCCCAGCCAGGGATAATGAAATCAGCTGCCTCTTCAGAGGATAATGAATACTGCCAAGGAAGCCAGGGTCTCTCCTCTTTCCTATTCCAAAATTGGCCTCTCCTATCCTGACTCCTTCTTACCTTTCTACCCCTTCCCACCCTCCAGAAACTCTCTCCTAACCCACCATTTTCTCCAGCTCTGAGCCTATGCAGTGCTTCGCCTCATCTGCCTTCTTAGGGAAGACCTGTTCTGCTTCTAATAGAAACCAGGTGAGAAGTCTCCTCTTTCCTTGCTCATATCTGACAACTGGTTCCTGGCTGGACCCCAACCTCCTTCCCACTCTCGCTCTTTGGGTTTTGCTTGCCCTTTTCTCTTGGCCCCAGGAAGAGGTATCCCAAGTTCTTCAGGGAGTTGTATTGTTTCTGTTTTACTCCCATTCTTCCCACAAACAACAAATCAAGCTCCCTTCATCCTGCAGCCCCTCTTTTCTCCTCTCTGATTTCTCCTCTTCCAGCTGCACCTTTGAAAGCACAAGGCTACACCCACATCTACTGTCTGGCTTTACAATCACTCCTCCAGCCCCACCCCAGCAGATTCACTCATTCATGGTGTCAGCTTCTCTCCAATAAGGTTCTTCTTCCTTCCCTCCCTCCCTCCCTCCCTTCCTTCCTCCCTCCTCCCCCCTTTCCTTCTTCCCAGTCCTAGGGAATGAACTCAGTGTCTGGGGTCTGTCTCTGAGCATCTCTGAGCTTAAGACTAGCACTCTACCACTTGAGCCACAGTGTCACTGGCTCTTTCTGTTTATGTGGTACTGAGGAATCACACCCAGGGCTTTCTGCATGCTAGGCAAGCACTCTTATCACTAAGCCACATCCCCAGCCTTCCAGTAAGGTTCTCTCTACTACCAACATGTAGGGGTTTCTTTCCAATCTCCCACAATGTCCTGTCCAACATGCCACTTGCTAGGGACAATCAGTTTCCTAGCTATTGTCCTTGGTGGTATTTCTCACTGGGGGGTCTGAGACTGCCCCCCCTGGCTCTTCTCTTACCTGCTACCCTGCTCCTCACTGGTCTCTTTTGGGGCTACCAAAGAAGAGAGACCCAGTCAAGAGATGATGGCTTCCTCCTGATTTATTCTACCTGGAGACAAAGATATGCATGCACATACACACAATCTTTGTCTATTTCCATGTACCCCCTGGCATGCCATACTTTATCTTATTGGGCAATCTTTTCTTTCCAATTGCTTTCTTTCTGGCCCATATAATTCTCCTAAACAACAGGCCCAAGGAGTTTCAAGGACCTCTCTCCAGATAGCCCCAATATAACATACTCAGATCTGAGTTTGCCATCTGTCCCTAACTGTGCTCCTTCTAATCTCTTGGCAGCCTCTACCAAGTCATCCTCACTGCTCACATCCACAATGGCCAAAGTCTTATCTGCTCCAATTCCTTGATATATTGAAATTATGTCTCTCTGCTTCAACTTCACTGCTTCTGGCTTCGTTCAGGTCCTTCTATTATCTGCCAGAAATATGTCACAGCACTTTCCTCCTCAAGGTTCTAGTCTCTATTTTCTCTGCCTCCAATCCATGCCTGATCTTATCATCTAAGGCAAATCTGGTGATGCTCTTCAGGCCCTCTGACAAGTCTCCGCAACTACAAGAGAGAGGCTAAGCTTGCCAGCCCCCATGCAATCATTTCTACATTGGATTGCAGTTTATTTCTTCAGCCTACCTCTTATCAGGTCCAGTCAGCTTACTTATTACTTCATAACATTTAAAAATAAATCTTCTGTCTGTTGTGGGGCCTGAACTCTGGGCCTGGGCGCTATCCCTCAGATCTTTAGCTCAAGCCTAGTGCTCTACCACTTGAGCCATAGTGCCACTTCTGGTTTTTTCTGCTTATGTGATTTGTGGGGCCTGAACTCTGGGCCTGGGCGCTATCCCTCAGATCTTTAGCTCAAGCCTAGTGCTCTACCACTTGAGCCATAGTGCCACTTCTGGTTTTTTCTGCTTATGTGATGCTGAGGAATTGAACCCAGGGCCTCATGCATGCAAGGCAATCACTCTACCACTGAGCCACCTTCCCAACCCCAATAAAAGTAAATCCTACCAAGTAAAAATCAGAAGAAATAATTTTGCTGTGAATCTACAACATCTCTAACTTACATTAAAAAAGAAAAATGTATATTTATTAAAATCTCTGAAGGGGTTCTAAACAACAATGAAGGAAATAAAAAAGGAACTCTTTAAACAACAATGAAGGAAATAAAGAAAATGGATATTCAGAATCAACAACATAGAGGCTCGGTGTCTCAAAAACAAAAATGCCTACCAATCTTATGAAGAGGCAAACATATCAGGAATATATTTCAATAAATATATAAAAATCAATCTCTTGATAGATATAAAAAGTTCATACAAATGGGTAAAAAAAATACTAACACCTAGATAGTTAAATGCATAGAAATCACAAAGGAAGAACCAACAGTCAGCTACTGAAAAAAAAAACTATTCAACTTCACTAATAAAGAAACTAAACTTAAAACATTGTGACATTGTGACATTGTGACATTGTCTTTCAAACTAGCATAAATGTCAAGATGTCTGCATTCATCTTCCTGCTAGGCTGTCTTCTTATACTCCTGTCCACTCTGCACTGCGGAGTTCCATGACACAAATCATATATTGTCACTAGGCTGCCTTAACATTCCTCACAGACTCCACAACAGTGATTAGGAGAAAGCCCAAGCTCTGCTCTCTGGCACATCTGCCAACTTGCAGTCTGATCCTATTCTAGTCTCATTTCCTACTACTTCTCTCACATGTATCTCAGTTCCAGTTATCTGGATGGTTCCAGTTAACTATACCACACCCTGATGCCTCCACCTGTGCTGTTACCAGTTCTAGGAGATCAACCTGAATTCTCGTCCTATTCCTTCAGGAGGTCTTCCCTGCACTGTTGGTTGATAGCCTTTGGATGTCCTTCATGTCCCTGTTGCCATGTCACAGCACTGAGCCATGGTAAGCCAAGAGCATTCATACTGCTTGTCTTTTTCCTTCACTGGACTATGTACTCCTTATGTGGACCACACATTATTCATCTTGATTGCCTCAGCTCTGTACCCATAGCAAAGTATGCATGAGTATATAAATGTATATGAATGGATAGTAAATAGATGATAGATGAGCAGAGATAGGAGCAAGCTGAAGTGAGACAATACAGAATGGGCAAGATAGGATGAGAACTTACCTCTCGGAGGGCATTCTGGGCTGCACAGTACCAAGCCCGGTTCACCAGGGAGGCCTCTTTCTGATCTGACAGAGGCAGGAAACTCAGAATATATGTGAGCATCTGAGGGGAAAAGACAGAGCATTTACCAACTATTAGTGCTGAGGGGCCTTTGGCATCTACTCCAGCTGATAGCACTGTGGATCTGAGGGTACCAGAGCTCTGTACCCTCAGAGCATTAGATGGAGGCTTCATGGAGTATTTGCTTACTCTCTCCAATCTCCAAATATCTTTACTGTGAATAAACCTTTCCTGAGCACCATTCGAGCTCAGGCTTGTACCACCTAGTAACAATCAAACTTTCTGACTAGTTTGGTAGAAAAAATGTGAGGTTTTTTTTTTGGGGGGGGTAGATAAACCTAGTCTAAACACCCTACTCTTCCAACTTATCCCTCTAAGCCCTATCTGTGAAACAGAAATTGTAGCGAGCTTTAAAGGGCTGCTATGAGAATTAAGTTATACAGCATAGTGTCTTGCATAGATCTAGTAGGTGGAGCACTCCTTCTCTGATCTTCTGAAGTCCTACTTCTTCCTTCTGCCCTCACAGGCCAGTTCAAAACCGATTCCAGTTTCAGTATATCCCTGATTTAAAACAAACAAACCTTCAGGGCTGGAAAGTTGGCTCAGTGGTAGAGTGCTTGCCTCTCACGTATGAGGCCCTGGGTTTGATTCCTCAGCACCACATAAGTAGAAAAAAGCTGGAAGTAGGGCCGTGGCTGAAATGCTAGGGCGCTAGCCTTGAGCTAAAGAGCTGAGGGACAGTGCCCAGGCCGAGTTCAGCCCCCATGACTGACAAAAAAAAAAACCTTTAGGGTTTCATAGTTCTCTTAGGACCAAGTCTTCACACTGAGTACTGCCAGATCTCCATGCCTATTTGAGCCAGCTGGTCCCAGAACCTCCATAATCTATCCTCCATACTGTCATAAAGACAGCATATCTATTTCCTTGCCTACACAGACCTCTTTCCTTGATGTCTTTTTTTTTCTAATGTCTTTCTTTAAGCTTGACTTTACCAGGCTCATTCTGATTTCTCCTTCTCTCCTCAGATGCTAAGCACTTTGGAAGTCCTCACCACAATACTTACTGGATTAAACTGAGGATGGAAAGGGGTATAGAAGGGGAAGGAACAGGGTGAGGAAGATAAAACTGTTTATTTCTCAGAGGAGGATGACTAGTAAGTAGAGCCAGGACCAGGGAGAAGAGGCATGGGGAAGAGAGATCTGATGGGAGCCAGCACTGACCAGACAGGCCCCCTAACCACAGGGAGAGGCAGGAAAATGTCTCCAGTAAGATACCACATGTGTTCTGGGCTGAGCAACCAATCCCAGGAGCAAAGGGAGAGGGAAACAAACATAGCATTGTGGGGGAGGGGCACCATTCATTTAGCTAAGAAGGTGTCCTTTCTAGAGGGACTAAAGGAGGGAGTGATAAGAGTGGCTATTCTACAAACCCCATCCCAAGGGGCTACTGTAGAGACTCAAGTGGTTATCTATGGAATCTACAGAGATGTATGGACAGCCTCTGGGGTCAAGCAGAGAAGAGATCATTGCAGGGACTCATAGAAGGAGGAACAGGCTTATTTTTGCGAGGGAGAGAAAGCATTCCAGGACTGATGGCAAAGAATGCCCTGTCTCCCTTGGGCAATGGGAGGGAACGGCCAACCCTCAGAGCAAAAAGGATGGAGAAGCCATTAGGAACAAAACCTGTTATCTCCTGTCCCCACGAGGACAGAAGGAGAATGAACAAACATCCCATGGGGTGAAAAAGATAAAGGAGGACATCACTAGGGGACCTAGAGATTGAGGAGCAGGCTTGGCCTCCTTGCTAAAGGACCTCAGAAAACCCATTTCCAGAACAGTCGGCTTCCCACTTCCAGGGAGGGGGAGGAGGTAGAATGACCATTAGGGAGCCTTTAGGGACGATGGGATGGAGCAGACATCTTCCAGAACAGAGAGGAAGAGGAGGGTCATCTAAAGGAAAGGGATGGAAAGAGGATCTAATTCTCGCTGAGACGACAGAGCAGCTGCCTCCTGGGTCCGATGGGGAGGAAGAGGATGGTCCCCCAAGACAAGCCAAAGGGGACAGATGGCCCCCAGAGCGGGGCCGTTACCCAGAAATAGCAGGTCCTAGCGTCCTCCGGGCGGGTCATTTTTGTCAAGCAGAAAGTGCCGGGTGAGCTGTCAGACAACCCCTCCCCAAAGCTGGGGTCCCTGAGGGCGGGGCCTGTCCGGAGCTAGGCCTGAGGACCGCTTCCTCTCACCTCCAGGGGCAGCGACTCCGCCATCGCATCCCTGCCGTCTCCGCCCCCGCGCAAGGTTTTCTGGGAAGTGTAGTCTCGCTCACGCTGGGGGTGGGGCTTGGGAAGGAAGTGGACTCCACTTCCGTCCAAGATCCTGACGGCGTTGGTCTGCACCGGAAGTGCATGGTCTGCCGATGTGGTATCCAGTGACTGTGGTGTCAGCCTCCCGCTCTTGTTTCTCTGACTGGGTATTTGCTTTGCACCATGGCGGTAAGGAGTGAAATTAGGGAGGGGTTCACATCAGCAAAACGCTCCCGGGGCTAGGAGAGTGAAGAGGAATTTGGAGTGGGCCAGAAGGGGCGCCATGCAATGGCCGATTGTAGTAGAGTGAGGGTGTTGGGGAACGGAGATGGCGGCGAAAGACCAGAGTAGAGCTACTCCAGCCTCGGCTGGAGAGGGGCGCCGTTCACCTCCACCCAGGGAGTGCCTCCAGCCAAAAGCTGGACTTTACCAGGGTAGCTAGAGAAGGTATTAGCCCAAATTGGATTGTTTCAGGGTGAGCAGGAGGCGATCATAGCAGAGTGCTGTAAAGATGGATGTCAGCTCTAGACACGCTTGGAAGAAGGGTGGACATCCTGGGGACCGTTTGAGCATGAGGAGGATCTCGCTGAGGTGCAGGTGGAACTTGGTAGCTAGCCAAGTTGGTACGGGGAGTGAGGAGGACTATGGCTGAGAATAGCCCTGACAGCATTTTATCATCCCTCTACAGCCCAAAGGCAAGGTGGGCACTAGGGGGAAGAAGCAGATATATGAAGAGAATAGAGAAACCCTAAAGTTCTACCTGCGGATCATTCTAGGGGCCAATGTAAGTAATTGCCTCCTTTCTTCTATATTTATTCATAGCCCCACAGTCATCAGCCTGTTTGATGAGTATGGACACCATCTAATAGCTGTACCATAATAGAACGGAGAGATAGTTCTATTCTATTTCTTCCTACAGGCCTAGCCTAGTGGCGACCTTGAAAGAGGAAAAGGCCCTTGGATTAGCTAGGAAAACTATTTTGCCCCAAGAAGGGAGCTCCCAGGTGCACTTGAACGCAAATACTCTTATATGGCCAAAGCTCCAGCAAAGAACATTTAAAAAAAAAAAAAGTATGGAGGAGAGGCTAGTTGTGATGGTGCCTGCCTGTAATAGCTGTTTGGGAGTCTGAAGCAGGATGATCAAGAGTTTTCTGACATCCTGGGCAGCAAAGGCTCTTCTCTTGTCTCAAAAAAAAAAAAAAAAGAAAGAAAAGCAGGGCTTTAGTTCAGTAGTGTGTCACTTACCCTGATTCAATTCAGGATACTCCTCTCATCCCAAAAAACACAGGAATGAGAAAGGATTCAGGCACAGAGAAAGTGCTAATTAGTGAAAGTAAATCCCAACAAAAAATAAAAATTAAAAAAATGTGTCGGGTACCAGTGGCTCACACCTGTAATCCTAGCTACCAAGGAGGCTGAGATCTGAGGATCATGATGAAAAGCCAGCCCAAGCAGGAAAGTCCGAGACTCTTATCTCCAATTAACCACCAAAAAATCGCAAGTGGTGCTTTGGCTCAAATGGTAGAGCACTTGCCTTGAGATCAAGAGCTGAGGGACAGTGCCAGGCCCCAGAATTCAAGCCCCACGACTAACAAAAAAAAAAAGAAAATGGTTGCCCTTACCACCCCAGGTACACAGGCAGACTTGGCTTTGAGAGTCAAATCTGATTATTTAAAGTCAGGAAGCAGGACCCTTCCTTCTACCCCAGAACTACCTAGCTTTTCCCAAAGCCTGGCTTAATTCATGGTCAGAGTTGAGAGAATCTTGAAAGAATTCTGTAGTTTGGAGATAAGCTTTCAACTCAAACCTGACTCTCTCTTTGTTTGCAGGCCATTTACTGCCTTGTAACCTTGGTCTTCTTCTATTCATCTGCCTCATTTTGGGCTTGGGTAAGTGTTTGCATCCCTGGAAGGTAATTGAGTGTAGGGTCAGTGGCTGCCCTTTGATACCCCTGTTTTTGGTCTGCAGATGGCCCTGGGCTTTAGTCTGGCAGTATATGGGGCCAGCTACCACTCTATGAGCTCAATGGCTCGGGCAGCCTTCTCTGAGGATGGGGCCTTGATGGATGGTGGCATGGACCTCAACATGGAGCAGGGCATGGCAGAGTGAGTGTCCCCCACCGCCAGCCCAGGTGAGCGGCCCCAGGACTGGGGCTCTGGAACCTGAGGGCCCAAGACCACAGCTACTTACAACTTGAGTAGAGTGGAAGGGAGCCAAATGGGCCCACCTACTGTCTTTGGCAGCCTCTCTTCTATCCACAGGCACCTTAAAGATGTGATTCTACTGACAGCCATTGTGCAGGTTCTCAGCTGCTTCTCCCTGTACATCTGGTCCTTCTGGCTTCTGGTGCGTAGTCTGGAGGAGCCTCTAAGCATGTAACCCTTCCCAGTCTTCCTTCTTTGTACCTAGCTTCAAGTTACCTTTTCTCCCCTAGGCTCCTGGCCGGGCCCTTTACCTTTTGTGGGTAAATGTGTTGGGACCCTGGTTCACAGCAGACAGTGGCTCACCAGCACCAGAGCAAAATGAGAAACGGCAGCGCCGACAGGAGCGGCGGCAGATGAAACGGCTATAGCCATTGATGTGGCCACAGGCTGCTAGGCACTGGCTAGCTCTCTCAGGATATATGCCTCTCATGCCTGGAGCTATGAGGGCCTAGTCCAAGGGCCATAAGCGGCCTACAGCATAGGATTGTTAAATAAATGACTTACAATATGGCTAATGGCTGTGTGGCAATGATGAAGGACAAGGCTACAGGCCCAGCTTTGTGAGAAACTTGAAAGAAGAAAGTACTCTTGACTAAGTAGGAAAACTTTATTTTTCTCCCTGAGTAGGGAAATGGACACACATACACACACACACACACACACACACACACACACACACATCTCCACATACATCCTAATACTGCTCAAGGCACTGGCCCATGGACACAGGGTTCTGGGACCAGATTGCTGCGCAGAGCCCTTTTCACTCTAGTATCTCATACTGCAAGAGCATCCAGACACGTATCCTGAAGTCAGCCCCTTCACACCTCCAGGCCAGGAGCTTTGCTCAGTCCCAGTGCCTGCACCAGTTCGTCTCCAAGCCCACTCTTCAGCGTCCTTCTCACTGCAGGGACAAAGCAGGGTTGGAGTGATCTATGGGTCTAAGGTGGTGGGCTTGGGTTGGGGGCTGGGGTACTCACAAGACTTGCGGTTGCCACGGGAACGTTTCCTTTCCCGAGCAGTTAAGGCACGAGGACTGCTCTTGGTTACTGACTGCACCAGCAGGTCCATAATCTCATCGGATGTGTCACTGGGTAAACTGGAGCCTGAGGGCTCTTCAGGAGGTGCAGTAGAGGACCCCACTGCTGGGTGTGTGATTGGGGAACTGTTCTGGACCATGCCTGAGGGAGACCAGATAGCAAAGTGAGGTCAGGGTGGCCCAAGAACCCATTTCCCCCAGCAGCTATGAATCGTACCTCTGCTGCGGCGGTTATGTGTGGTGTCCTCAGGCCTGCTGATCAGCAGACTCTTCATACTGGCGTGACTGTCAGCATCACCCCGGCCTGGCCCACTGCCCACTGCCACTGGAACAGATGGGTTGCTGGGGGCTTCCCCAGCCACCCCTGAGAACTTCTCTGTCTGGAGAAGGGAGAAAGATGAGCTGGGATCAGGGAAGGGGAACTGTGGGAATGGCAGTCAAGACCTAAAAAGACATCCACCTCTGTGATCATGCGTCCCCGGGTCTTGTTGCGTTCCCGGTACGTGGCCCGCTTCTGCTGCTGCTGTAGAACCCGTTCTCGGCAAGTCCGATACTCAAGTGCAAACTCTCGCAGCGTGTGGCAGAACTGCATGATGCGCACTTCCTGAGCTGCCTGTGCAGTGTAGCCCAAGTAGAGCAGGAAGGCATGGAACCTAGGTGAGTTGAGGTGACCATGAATCCTGCTTGGTGTCTGAGAGATGGCGGCAGCCGTCCTCTCTTACTGGGCCCATGCCTTACCTGTTACAGACTCGGCGGTGCACAACCCTCAGCATGGCAACACGGCGGGCACACTGGGCCAGGAAATGGGTGAGGCGGGCACGTAGAGCTGGGGCTAGTTCATGTTTAGCCAAGCTCCGTAGACTCTCCTCAGCTGCCTTGCTCCGGCGCTCCAGCTGCCCCAGGTTCTCTGTCAGTTGCTCAAAATCCACCTGGAAAAGAAAGTAGGTATATATGCTGTCCCCCCATAGATGAGACATTGCCTGGCATCAAGATAGCTTGTATGGAGCTGACCAGCCTGGGCCCTAGAGACACAGCTGAGGTTCAGCCTATGCTTTTGGCTGGGAGGGAGGCTGAGGCAAGAGTGAAACCTGAGCAACATACTGAGACACATCTCAAAACAAAAAGCTCACAGTTTGACATAAGAAACATACAAGTCCATTGGATCCACTAGTGAACAGAGAAGTCTTCTTGGAGGAAATGGCAGCTAAACAGACCCCAAGACTGTAGGCATGGCTATGCCAAGAAAAAAAACATTTGTGGCAGGAATACAATTGACACACCTGTAGCCTGAGCAAGCCCTGGCACATTCAGAGCAAATGAGAAGAGGAGGAGCCAGCCCAGGGAGCTGTGCTCCCTCAAGCCTTGGCTAGTCTTGGAATCTCTGGCTGATGCTAACCTTGGCACAGCGGGTCAGGGCAGGGATTTCTGAGTAGAGGTCGGAGGAATCAGGCCGTGTCTGGATCACCAGGGAGCAGAGATGGTATAGCAGGGACTGCCGGCGTACTGTGTCTTTTACCTCTGATACCTTCTCCAGGTAGCTCAGCTCAAAGCCACTGCTCTGAAAGGACACTGTATGAGCCTGGGGCTGGCTCACTCTGGAGCCCTGATCCCTCGTCTCTGTGTTCTTTCACTCACCTGGGAGCCATTGAGGAAGTTGCCCACAGCCAGCAGGGTAGCTAGGATGCAGTGGAAGGTGGCATTTTGCACCAGCTGTTCCATGCCCACTTTCAGGTCAAACAGTGGCTCTGCGATTTCCTGTTATGGGAGACCCGGGGTGCTTAGAATACATGGTTATCATTCACCTATCCCCACCACCTATCCCACTCCACAATCCAGATACCCGTTCCATGCCGTCATAGTCTAGCTTGAAAGCCCAGAGTTGTAGGCGGGCAGCCAGGCCCCCAATGGAGGCAAGTGTCATCAAGAAATTCTCAGCTGGGCCCAGCGGTAGATCAGGGTTGGCCAACTGGGCTTCCTCAATCTTTTGCCTTTCCTCCTCCGTGGGCATCATGGTCAGTAGTTTCTGAAGAGCAACCATCACCCCTTATTACTGGCCTGAGGCTTTGGGCATTAGCTCAGGCATCTGGGAGATGCCTCAGGTTCTAGGGGAATCCCAGCAGAAATGGCAGGCCCATGTTCACCAATGCTGATCGGAAACACTGACCAAAGGACAGGGCCAGGCTTTCCATCTCCCTTTTCACATCTGAAGGGTCATGTGTCCTTACCTCAATGCCATCCTTGCTGACTGCAAACTCATCAAAGTTTTGCAGGGCAGCCTTAATGACATGTACAGGTGGTAACGTGGTTAGACCAATGTTGATGGCGTTGCTGCGTTTGGGGTCTAGTACTGTGGTCATTGTCCGGCGGCCCTCACCAGCTTTCTGCAAGGTTAGGGGAAGGGCAGAGCAAAATGAAGGGACTGGCCGGGCGCTGGTGGCTCACGCCTGTAATCCTAGCTACTCAGGAGGCTGAGATCTAAGGATCACGGTTCAAAGCCAGCCCGGGCAGGAGAGACCGTGAGACTCCTATCTCCAATAAACCACCAGAAAACCAGAAGTGGCGCTGTAGCTCAAGTGGTAGAGCGCTCGCCTTGAGCTGAAGAGCTGAGGGACAGTGCCCAGGCCCAGAGTTCAAGCCCCAAGGCCAACAAAAAAAAAATGAAGGGACTAGCTGGGGCAATAATCTCAACAAGCAACTCCAACATCCTCTAAATGGCCCAGTGATCCCAGAACTGGTGATATAGGACAGGTAAGGTACTGAGCTGCCTTGAGCTTCTAGTGAAGGCTCTTACTGAACCTCTTAGATAAGTTCCTTTCCATTGTTGACCTCAGCTCTTCCCCATATGGAGAAACTAGGGACTAGCTCCAAGAGCTCAGTCCTTTGAGCTCATTCCTCCCACTTTTAGTACGTATACCTTGGAGGGTAGTATGTCCTTGGCTCGAGACTCGAACAGATGTTCCAGCCGGGCTGTATCCACAGTGACAGGCTCCAGGGAGGCCCACAGGGTAGAGCAGGGTCCAAAGCGGCTTCCAGAGCCCCCTTGTCCCCCAGCCAGCTTTAGCTCCCGCCAGAAAAGTTTTACTGTCTTCCTCTTGGTGGGGATGGCTGGACCATCAAGTGCTGAGTGGGGAGGAGGGGCAGCCAGCGGTGGGGGGGGTGGGCAGGGTCCTTTGATGGGTGGGAGAGGTGGTGGAGGAGGAGGTGGCGGGCCTCCAGAGATTAAGGGAGGTGGGGGTGGGATCCCTTTTCCAGCTTCCACAGGCTCCACATTTAGCATGTCCTGGTCTTCATCTTCCCCCAGGTCTGAGAAGTCTAGGTCCCCAATGCACAGCTTGGGTACACGGGTAGGGAGATCATGGATGGGCTCAGCCTTGGGGCTTGATGGAATCAGTGGCTCCGTGATCTCTGGCTCAAGACTCCGCTGAGCCTGGAGTAGGATTCGGGACACAGGGCTCTGGGGTGTTCTGGGTACAGGGGCTGGCTCTGGGGAATCCCATAGTTCCCGGGTGCCTAGCAAGAAGAAAGCAGCTGTCAGCCTCATGCCTTCTGTGGGGCAAGAAAGAACAGGGCATTGTACCTACAAACTACTCACCTGAGGACCCATCAGCCTCATCCACCATGGCCCCAGCCAGTGCCTCTGCCCGGCCCTGGGCCAGTGCAGCCTGCTTCTCAGTTTCTGCTGCTGCCACATTCTCCAGGAACCGGGCTCTGAGGGGAAGTACTTGTCAGTGACAGTGTCTGACATAAGCCTAGCCCAAGGTGATGCACATGCCTTGCTGAATTCCTAGGCACTGCCCTCAATTGCAGGCACACACAGGCACAGGGAACAGTCCATGCACTGAGCAGACCCCTGCCACCCCAAGCCAGCCTCTGTTCAGTCTTCTTATGGGGAGAATTAACTACCAATCCAGCAATCCTAGGCCAAAGTACAGGGAGATGTACTTAGCATCTACTTGCAACCTTTGTGTTTACTGTCCTGATTCTAGACAAGAGCCATTAGACCATAGGAAGGGGACAGCTATCACAATGGGCACATCATACTCTCTCCCTCTTGGCCTGTCTGGCAGCTTCTGGAAGCTATGTCTAGAAGCATACCTGGGAAGTGGCAGGGACTGTTTATGTTGAAATAATGAATGTGATCCAGTGTTTCTTTCTGGCCTCTCTAACCTCTGCTGGCCTTCAGTCTCTGCCTTTCTTTTCGCCTTAGGTTGCTCTATTGCCCCCCACACCACACAGCACCCTAGATCACCTCCCTGCCCTATTCCCAACTCCCCATCTCTGCCTAAGTTGTTAAATTATTATTAGAAGCATAAGGACCTCTATGACCACAGTGGGATGCTTCTTAGTGCTTAGTTTGGGGGTTACTAAAGACTGGAAGAGGGAGGAGCCAAGAGGCTGCCCCCACCTCCTCTCTCCTCCACCCCCCCAGCTATGGTAGTAGAGGACATATGAAATCCCTGTTGGAGCAGCAATGCTGAAGCCCTGAGCACAAGGCAGGTTTGGCAGGCTGGCTTCTGTACTTACTCTAGCCTGACCTGCCCCATAGGGGACTGAGGGACAGGTGGGCTCTCAGGGGCACTGGGTAAGGGGATAAGAGGAAGAGATGGTAACTATGGTGCTGGTTCCAGCCCAAGGCCCATTTGTTTGATCCCACACAGAGCTGGAAAGGGTTCCTTCCCAGCCATAGGGAGGGAGAGGAGGAATGAGGGTGGCAGGATATGGGGAAACTGGAAATGGAAGACTGACATGAAGCTGGAAAGAGTGCAGCAGTGATCAGGAGTGAGAGAGAAACAGAGATGAGAGGCTACAGGGAGACAGATGACAAGAGGCAAAGGCAGGTGGAACAATGGAAGGAGATAAAGAAAAGCCACAGGAGGAGGTTCAGTCAGAGCCGAACCTCACCCCCTAGCAGTCACTTACCAAATGGGAGCAGTTTGGTGAAGTCTGGAAAGAGAGAAAGCACGCGTTTGGGCAGAGGAGGCTGAGGGCCCATGGAGGGGCACAAAGTGGAGGGACAGCTGGAGATAGGACATTGGGGGTCACCCCTTTCTCCCTCCTTACTTGTAGATGCTTCTCTCACAGGAGCTGTCCACTGAGGACGCCATGGAAATGGAAGGAAAGAGGTTCACCGAGGTGATAACAGAAGCAGGGCTTGCAGAGCTGGAGGTGGGGCTTGTGCGTGGAGCAGGGCCAGTTGAGATGGGGCCAGTTGGGGAGGCAGGGCCTGTGGAGCTAGAGGCAAGGCCTGTCAGCAGATAGGGCCAAACCTGGCCATTCACTCCTCATCCACCCAGGCCCTTACTTACCTAGCTTCTGGAGCACGCACAGGACAGCCACCCCCTTCCAGAGATCTGCGGCTCCTCTTCCCCTCCTCTGAAGATGGCTTTCGCCGCTCCCGCCGGCCACCTGCTGCAGCTGCTGCTGCTGCTTCCTCCATGTCCCCATCCTCCAACCGAAGGGCACTCTAATGGAGGTGGCCAGAATGTAAGCAAGCATCTGAGGTTAGACTGGGTGCTGGGGAAATGCACTTTTTTACATCTGGCCTACCTCATAGAGCATAAGCTGTGTACGCAGGTCCACATCTGTACCAGGGGTGCCCAAATGACGCTGGACCAGCGTCTCCATCCCCTGCTGCTCTAGAGCATCTGTCACATCGTAGAAGGAGTCTTGGTCAGGCAGTGCAGCCAGCGTCTGAAGGGAGAGCACAGGAAGCCAAGGTTAAGGTTCGTAGGGGCCACAGGTCAGGACCCACAGGTACTCAGTCGGCACCTGGTCGCCAGCCCACACCTTATTGATGAGGGTGATGGTGTACACCAACAGCTCTGGGTCAGCACCATTCTTCTCCTCTAGGATGGACACCAGATTGGCCCAGGGAAGAGCACCTACCACATAGAAATGGGAGCAGTCAGGGGGCAGGCAGGGAGGAGAGAGGGCTCTCAATCGGAGGAGGAGAGATGGATAGACAGGCTCTGACCGGTGGTGCTGGCCACAGAGTTGACTGCCCGGATGAAAAGAGGCGCGTTGTTCTCAGAGTATTCCACAAACACCAGCAGCAGCTTCAGGGCGGTCTTCACCACTAAGCGGGACTTGGAGGGAAGGGAGAGAAGTCACCACATGTGAGAGGGGCTTAAGCCAGACCATGTCTGTGGAAGAGCTTGTGAGGCGAGACCAAGAGAGAAATCTAGGTAGAAAGACTTGGGCTCCAGCCCCAGGCCTGGGAGAGTTTTTTTAGGCTGAGGGGCCTCAGACTCAGTCCATTCCAGCCCACAGAAGAAACAGGCTCAGGAGGAAGCAATGAGAAAAGCATGCATGACTGGGTGTGCAAGGGCCACTTACCAGGCTGGCACACAGTGTATACAGCCACTGCACTGTCTCACTATGGGCCACCACCCCCAGCATCCCATCCACGAAAAGCATCAGCTGGCCCAGTGCTGGGAACACAGGAATAAGAAGAGGTCAGTTGGGAATGGGGAGGCAAAGGTGTAGAGGGGAGCAGGACAGTGGGGCGAACCTCGAAGGATGTAGCTCTGGTAGTTGTGGTCAGCAGCAGCACCCACGCGGATCAGGCAGCTCAGCCCCTCTGAGTGTACAAATTCAGGTACCAGGTCCTTGTCTTCCTAAAGGTACCATGAGGGAGTTTAGGACACCCACTGTGGGACACCCACCCTCAGCCTACCTCTGGGGCCTCACCTGGAAAATCTGCTTCAGTGAGAAAAGGGAGCGGCGGAGCTCAGGGCCACTGGAGCCGTACAACTTTTCTGCAAGAAGTGAGTGAGCATGAAACCCTCAAGGGGACACAGATACCTTCTTCCAGTGATACACAACCATAAAGAAGATTCTAGTAATCTCAAACTTCTCTCTCCTCCATTCCCTGACTTTGGACTCCCCCCACCCCCCACCTCCACTACCAGCATCATTACATACTAGCTAAGGCATCAGCTCTGGCTCTAGGAAGAGCTGTCAGGGGAGAGCATGAGGGCAGCATGCGGGGGGGGGGGTCATCTGGGCTCTGATTGATTCTGTCCATGTCTAGCATAGGCCTCAAAGAAACTAGGCCATCTACGTTAATGGGGGGGCTGGGGGATGGATAGTGGGGACTGCTGAACACTGAAGCCTTCACATACTCACCCAAGATAGCATTGACCCTCACAGAGAGCTGGGTTCTCAGGATCAGGGTGGGTTTCCTCCCTTTGCTGAAATCAAGCAGCCAGGTCAGCAGCTCATTCATTCTTCAGAGTCCCACCCTGCAAGCCACCCCTGGCCCCACTCCTTCCTTCCGAACAGCTATTCCAAGGGCCCAAGGGTTGGTCAGACAGGAGGGCTTGTGCAAGCACAGGTATCTCAGGTATGTGAGAGCCCCTACTTCCATCCTGGGCAGTAGATTATACTGGCCAGGCTTGGGGATTTCCCTGGCACTGTTCTCTGGGAAAGCAGGTGACCCATAGCCCAGGCTGTAGATCAAATGTCTCAGCTCCTGACACTTGAGCTGGTGGGGCAAGGATAGGGCTTTGCCCAAACCCTTTCAAGGGGAGGGGAAAGGGCTCCCTGGCCCTATCAGCTCTGACCTGATCTCCTCATAGAAGCCCTCCAGCATCTCTCGCTGCTCTTCTAGCGACAGCTCAGCGTCCAGGTAGTATCCAGAGGGAGATACTTGTAGGGCACAGTCCTCCAGCTGGAGACAAAAGGCAGAGGTGAGGGCTGGGACTAGAGTTGGATGTTGAATGTCTCCTAACAATTCATGCATTAAAGGCTTGATCCACAGGGTGGCGCTATTGGGAGGTAGTGGAACCTTTGTGATGTGGGTTTTTGGTTTTATTTTTGGTAGTCATGGGGCTTGAACTCTGGGCCTGGGTGCTGTCCCTCAACTCTTCAGCTCAAGGCATCACTTCCAGTTTTCTGATGGTTAATTGGAGATAAGAGTCTCACAGATCTTTTTGCCCAGGCTAGCTTTGCACTTCAATTCTCAGATCTCAGCCTCCTGAGTAGCTAGGATTACAAGCGTGAGCCACCAGCACCCAGCCATGTGGGGATTCATAGGAGGCTCTTAGGTGCCCTTGAAAGGAAATAGGGGACCCCAACCACTTCAGTCTTGCTCTTTACTTCCTGGTTCACAAGATTTAATAGTCTGTAATGAACTCTGGCCATGATGTGGCAGCCTCACCAGAGGCCCAAAGAAATGAAACCACCTGATATGGGACTCAAACTTGATAGCCACACACACACACACACACACACACACACACACACACACGCCCCTGAGTATGGCAGAGAGGCTGTGTATTACTCCAGCAGTTGTTTCTCAAGCTCCTACTATGTGCAGGGCCCACCTGTCTCTTGCCATCTCCTCTCCCAGCTAACATTCTCCTACTGTTTAGTGTTCAGATTGGATGCCATTTTTGCAAAGCCCTCCTGAATCATATCTCTGGTTTGTGCATCCTCTTCATAGGTCTTATGGCATTATAACAATACTAGTCTCATTCCTCCTTAACTGGGTTCTCTTAATTCGGGCACCCTGCCTGTCTAGCTTGTATACCACCTGGTACAGAGTAGGTGTCACCAAGTGTTTGTTAGTGAATATAAATGAGGAAGGGGCATGGAGAGGAAGTTGCTATCTCTGAGGAAGCTTACAGTTGGGTGGGGTGATAAGCTGCAGCCAAGAAGTATTAAAGCCTGGAGAAGGTGCAGGGAGGAGCAAAATCCAGTGAGTCCACGTGTCTGAGAGTAGAACTGATTTGTAGACTCCCCTGTCCCTCCAGGCCTCAGAGGCTTTGATCTCTCCCCAAGGGGGCTGCCAGTTACAATGCTCCATGGTCCTACCAAGTCCTCAGATTTTGGGGTCTGATCCAGTTAGTCTTCAGTGGAATCCTAAAACCTGCATTTGTTGTTGGTTTGGGGTTTTTTTGTTTTGTTTTTGTAAGCACTGGGGTTTGAACTCAAGGCTACATGCTTGCCTGGCTAGTGTTCTATCATTTGAGCCACACCCCCAGCCTGGCTTTTTGCTGGTTATTTTGGAGATGGAGTCTGGAGGACTTTTCTGTGAGGGCTGGCTTCAAACCATGATCCTCTAGATCTCAGCCTCCTAAGTAACAAGGATTACAGATGTAAGGCACTAGCACCATGGCTTGAAACCTACAATTGTAAGAGGAGGGTACATACTCCATCCATATGTACACTTCTGATGTTTCCCTCCCTCAAGGCTGGTTCCACTGCACCCCTACCAGGTATGGTGCTTGGCCCCTTGTGAAGCACTTATAAAGAAGTGACTCCAGACACTCTAGGCAGCGCAGCTTCCAGACATTTCCCCCATGACACAGGGCTGCCGTGCAGGGAGGGCTAAGCAAAGTCTCTTCTGCTTGAGTGACTGACCCTTAAGGTGCCCACCTCTGGGGTGGCGAGGGAGGGGGGAAGGGAGGAGGGTCTTCTGGTCTCCCTATCAGGCAAGTCATTTGTCTTATTATTTTATCAGCTCTGTCCTGCTATAGACTTTACCCAAGGGATTCCAACTACTCTTGTTCCCCAGGGAGAAAGAGTGCAGCTCTTACCCTTGTGTCTATAGAACACCCCTGCTCAGGCCTCCGAGCCTGACCTGGCTCCTTCCTGGCAGTTTATAGGGCCCTTGGGTGACTCCCCTCCCCCCTTGCCCTGGGACATGGGACACAGGACAAACACTCCAGCCTGTTCTCTGTCCCACTTCCTGCCTGGCTGCCTGCCCTTCCCTGGGCGCCTTGGGCGGGCCTGGCCTCTTTCCCCTCCCAGGGAGCAGAGTCATCTTCTCCGGGGCCCTACTAGTCACAGGCAACAGTGCCTCAAAATTAGTGCGTCTTACTCAGCGCAGCTGAGGGCATCCTCACATTTCTCCGGATCCCTTTACCCACAGAGTGACTCAACAGCCTACCCATCTCACCCCCCTCGCGCTCCAGCTGCGTCTCCTTGTGCCTTGGACTGGAGAATTTGGGGACCCTAGAAGAACAAACTTGCAGCAGAGTTACAACTTCCTCCTCAGAGATCACATATAAAACAGCTCGTTTATCTGAACATTCACGAACCAGGCTGGTTTTAGGTGCAGAAGACATAGCAGGAACCATAATGTCTTGCCTTCCACTCCTTTTACCACACAGAAGACAGAAACTTCAAGAGCAGGACACCAGTGGCTCACGCCTGTAATCCTACTACTCAGGAGGCTGAGATCTGAGTATTGCAGTTAGAAGCCAGCACAGGCAGAAAAGTCCCTGTGAGACGCTTATCTCCAATAAACTACTCAAAGTCAGAAGTCACACAGTGGCTCAAGTGGTAGAGCACTAGCCTTGAGCACAAAGAGGCTCAAGGACAATACGGACACCCTAAGTTCAAGCCCCAGGACCAGCAAAAATAAATAAAAACAAAAACAAAAACAACTCTGTTCAAGCCCCAAAATGGCACAAAAAAGAAAGAAGGAATAAAAGAGAGAGAGGGGGGAAGAAAGAAAGAAAGAAAGAAAGAGAAAGGAAGGAAGAAAGAAAGAAAGAGAAAGGAAGGAAGGAAGAAAGGAAGAGAAAGAAAGAAAGAAAGAGAAAGAAAGAAAAAGAAAGAAAGAAAGATTCTGAAACAGTCATGTACTGGTGATTCATGCTGGTAACCTTGGCTACTCAGGAGGCTGAGTTTTAGTGGATGAAGTTTGAAGCTAGCCAGAGAGAAGTGTTTACTAGACTCCATCTCCAAAGTAACCAGCAAAAAGCAGGGCTGGAGCTGGGCACTAGTGGCTCACGCCTGTAATCCTAGCTACTCAGGAGGCTGAGATCTGAGGATCACAGTTCAAAGCCAGCCAGGGCAAGAAAGTCCATGAGACTCTTATCTCCAATTAATCACCAGAAAACTGGAAGTGGTGCTGTGGCTCAAGTGGTAGAGTGCTAGCCTTGAGCTGAAGAGCTGAGGGACAGCACCCAGGCCCAGAGTTCAAGACCCACAACTGACAAAAAAAAAAAAAAAAGCAGGGTTGGAAGTGTGGCTTAGGAGGTAGAGTACTAGCCAAGATAAGCAAGTACAAGGACCTATGTTCAAATCCCAGTACTGAAAAGAAACAGAAAAAGCTAACAAGTACATGTAGTCACAGCTTTCATGGGCTCTAGGAATGGGGAGAGGTGGACTGCTATAAACACTGTAAACACTAGAACTTGACCAAATTACATCTGGTAACCACTCACACACCAAGGTATAAGATCAAATATGGCTGCACCAGCCAAAGCTGTACATGCGCATAGAGAGGGCTCCTGCTCCATCCCTGCTGAGTCAAGAATGGCTTTCTCCTTCCAGGATACCATTTAGGCAGGGAGTCTGAAAGCTCAGTGTCTACCTCTCCAGCCTCTTCAGCCTCTACCTCTCCAGGCTCCTCAGCTGAGCAAGTTAAGTCCTTTCCTCTTCATCACTTCTCCTGACCAGTCCTGGCAGTCCATTTACAGTGAGGAGGTCCAGGGATAGCATCCAGCTTAGTGCCTCCAAAGTAGAGAGTGGAGGCTAGGGCCTGGACAACAGCCAAAAAAGGAGACTTCCTGCCAGCAAGATGGTGCTTATCCCTCACACTCCTGTCCCCCTCCTGGGGTCATCATTTTGAGAGCCAAATTTCTGGTCCTTGTTTCTCACACCCTGGGGCTGGGCCAGGCCTGAGCAAGCACAAATCTCTGTCTCTGCGATTAGCTCCATCCTGCTCTTGTCTTCCTCACTTCTCTGGTCTCTGTCATGGGATACAGCCATTCCACATTCCCATTCTTCCCAGGCTCAGCCTCTGGTCCACTACTCTCACACTCAGGCTCTTCTGAAAGCCTAAACTCATTAGTTATGATTATGATTATTTTTTATTCAAGGCTGGGACATAGTACAAGAACTAGCTTGTGAAGCCCTGAGTTCTAACTCCAATACTACCCCCCAATTTTTTTTCTTTTTACTTAGTGCAAGGGATCAAACTCAGAGCATTGTGTGTAGGAGACAAGCATTATACCACTGAACCATTATCTGTCCCCTCCCGTATAGATTCATGTGTTTTATTTTATGTTGAAGACAGAGTCTTGTTATGTAGCCCTGACCAGCCTCAAATTCATGATCACAGTGGCTCATGCCTTTACCTTTAATCCCAGCTATGAGCCTTCTGAGGTTCAAAGGCCAGTGGGGAACAAAGAAAAAGTTATCCTGAGCCAAAACAAGTAGAAACACTTGTGAGTGTGGGTCATCCCGGCCAGCAAGAGTCTTGCCCCAGGCAAAAAGCCAAATCCTATGTGAAAAATAACCTAAAGCAAAAAGGACCGGAAGTGTGGTTCAAGTGCAGGCAATCCCAAGGCCCTGAGTAACGACACCAGTACTACCATAAATAAATAAATAAAATAAATCCAGGGTCTTCTGCCTTTGCACCACCATGCTTTGCTTTCATACAGTTTAATATTGGACCATGGCATGTACTCACCAGTTTTTTTCCCCCTAGCAGTGTAATCTGGTGAGAATGAGTATGCAAGGTGCAAGGGAGATGGGGAAAGAATTACATGCTTAAAGATTCTTATTTTAGGAAATAATTACTGCCTTTCCCTTGGCTCAGAAGGCCATCCTTTCTTGCTATCAAGTGTCTCCATCTCCAGCTAGACCACATCTTCCTGGATGAGATGAAATGGAAATCAGAATTTGTTATGCCTCCTCAGTACCAGATAACTAGACTCCTAATATCTAGATCTTTTTTACAGGTGAGAAAACCAAGGCTCAGAAATTCAGTGAATTGCCCCAGGCAGCATACCCTTGAGTGGAATCGGGGCTAACTGATTCAGATCTTGGGTGCTTGGGTCTTGGAAGTACACCACGGAACCCTGAAGGGGAGGTGGAGTTAGGGCTGGCTCTTCAGTGTTTCCAAAGGCTGGAGACAGCCACCACTCAGCTTCCCCAACTCTGCAAATACCCCAAACTGGTCCTCCCAGTTCAGCAAAGGAACTTGCACACTCTTAACAGTGTCTACCTCTTGCAGCACCTAGGTCATGGGGTCCCTCGCCAGGGTGCTGCCCAGAAGGACCAGTAGGTGGAATGTGCTGGCTGGTGGAATGTGGGGGGCTTAGAGACCCCCTATTCTCATTCCTAATCTTGCACAGTCTTTCTAGAGATTCTAATAGCAGAAAACCAGAGAGTTCCGTTCATCCCCTTACGAGTCCTTAGGAGTGGGGAAAGCAGCTCAGTGACAGAGCACACTTGGTCTTGGGCTTGATCCTTGACACAGAAAAAAAAAATTCTATGGGAAACCTTCAGTTGGTATCTATTTCTGGAGCTCAGGAATAGATGCACATTACAAGAGCCCCTGAGGGTAAACAGAGGCTAAAGTGGGTTGGAGTAGGGTCAGGATATCGGGCATAGCACCATCTTTGTCCTATTCTGATCTTTAGCCTCAGGTGTCTGGGGAAACAAAGTTGCTGAAATGGCAGGATATGTAAGGGTCATCTTTACAGTCAAAGGTTGCTCTGGCTTTTGCTCTAAGGTCAGAGAAGCACTTCAGGTTCCTCTGCCCAAAGCTAGGGAGAAGTCAGAGTTGGCCAGACTAGACAAGGACTGATTCTCAGGGGAGGCTTCCGAGGCCCTTCCCCAAAGGCAAGGTGGATCAATAGCTCTGAAAAGATGCCAGAGGGTTACCTCTCCCTAGGGTGAGGAGCACGTTCTGGGACTAGAAAAACCTTTAGCATAGACAGGAGAAAGACACTCTTGAGTTCTCCTGGGGACACTAGGCCTGGCCCAGGGCACTGCCAGGCTCCCCTCATCAACCAGGCCAGGAGATGAGTCAGGCTGTGGCTAGGAGCTTCCTCTTAGACTTGGAGGAAATGAGCAAGTCTTTCTCAGGCAGACAAGCTCTGAATGGTTTCAAAAGGGAGCTCCCAAGGGGAACTCTAGGCCCAATAGGGATTGGGAGAGGAACTCCAGGGAGAGAGTGGGCCAGCCGCTGCACATACCCAGGAAGAGTGCAGGGTCTGCAGGAAAGATGGAAGCCAGTATCCAGCATGGGAGAGCAGAGGTTTCTCGATTGTGACCTCTCCTCTACTGGATACCCATACACAGGATGAAGCATTATTTATTTCTGTCCCACAGCCTGCCTGGGTTTCCCTTCTAGAAGCCTAGAAAGGCGGACCTGAGTCATATAAGTGCTTTTGGGGCACCCACTTAATAGTACTAGGGGAAGAACCAGCTGCTGGCATTTCCTGCAGGAAGAGCCCTGCACCCCTTTCCTCAATTTACTGATGTCCCTGCTACTGCCCTATTCTCAGTCTCTCTTCGTTTAGCCTTCTATTCTGGGTCTGTGGTCACAGTTTATATTTGGGACAAGCACATCACAGTACATCTGACCATTACTGGCAAAGCTGTCAGCCCTAGGGAGTTCTGGCTCCAAGAACTAGTGTTCTTTAGTGTGCCTTCCACAAATCCTCCCAGGGGGGGGGAGGGGGCAATCCTAGGTGCTCTAGGTGGGAGATCTCAAATTTGGTCACACCAAAAAATACAGAGTTGGGGTGGTAAACTTAAACACATTCTCTATGGAGCTCTATAATGTCCTTAGTTAGGGGTCAGAGAATAGGGTAAGGCACCTGTGTGTGTGTGTGTGTGTGTGTAAGTTTTCTTTCTCTTTCTAAATTGCTGGACAAGGCCTGGAGCAGGCCAGGCAAGTGCCAGACCAATGATAGCCATGCTCCCAGCCCAAGCTTGCCTGATTTTTCTTTCTCTATCTGTGTGTGTTGCCAGGGATCCTAATCCGGGGCCTTGTGCAAACTAAGCACATGCAGGTTTCTAAATGAGGAAGAAGGGATGATTCTGAGCTCTTTACTTCAGTTTATCTACCAGGCCTGCTTCAGTAGGAAAAGAAGGGAGTTCTAGAGCAGGGGGTTGGGAAGAAAACGGTCTTCTCACTAGAGCTCCAAACTTTATTTTTGCACAGAGTTCCAGGGGCCTGGAGGCAAAACTATCTCAGTGCAGCACCTTTCTGTTTAGCACACCTTCTCTACCGAATGAGACAGGTGGGTGACCTCTGGCTGGACACGATACCAGGCCCTACTGAACTGAACAGGACAAGAGGGGGCTGCACCAAAACTTTGGAGGTGTGTTGCATCTTTCCAGCTGTGGCTTGAAAGCAGGGGCTCTGACAGGACGCTCGCCACTCCCCAGGATAATAGTCTCCCGAGCCCTTCCGCCCGCGCTCGGAGGCGGGGCTGGCCGCAGCGCGAGGAATGCGGGCTGGGGGGCCCGGCTCCCAGGGCACATTCCAGGGGAGACCCCGAGCTCAGGGGGCATGTTTGCGCAACTCGGCGCCCAGCTGAGGCTGCAGCCCCAAGTCCCACCCTTCTTCACCTCGGGTCGCAGCAGGCGGGGAACCCGGGGCAGGGAGGAGGAGGGGTGCTCGCCTCTCAGTCTTAGCCCGGAAACAGCGCGCCGGAAAGGGCTGCCTGCGGGGGGCTGAGGGCGGCGAGCAGGAGGGGAGGGGAGAGGAGGTCCGGCAGGCCATCTGGAAAAGGGCCTCTCCATACGGTGCAAAGTCGGCCTCGGGGCGCCAGCAAACTAGGGCAGGCTGGTATTTCAAAATTAGCCGGGCCCGCCCCCCTGATTTCCACCGGCGGCGGTGATGGGGGTGGTGACTCAAAGGGCTTTTCCACTGATGCAGTCTGCCGTGCTCGGCGTAGCCCGGGGCTATGGGGGTTGGCGGATTCCGGGGGATGCCCCTCACCCTGAGTAGTCTCCGCGGCTCGCTCTGTCAGGCCGAGTCCCCACCTGCAGAGGAGCCACGCCTCCCGTCCCCCCTCCCCCGCCCTCCGCCAAGCACCCAACTCAGCCTCCAGACACCATTCCCAGCCCACACCTCCAGCGCCTGGCTCCGCCCTTCCCCCAAGTCCCGCCCCTCACCTTCACCTGAAGCAGGTGGAAGCTGGTATCTCGGCTTCGCCTCCGGGGTCCGCTATAGCCTACACAGCAGCCGCCCTGGCAATCAAGGGTGAGCCTCGAGCCCCTCTTGGGGCCGGGAGAAGGCTCACTTCCAGGGGCAGCCAGGGTGGGCAGACCACAAACTGCCCGGTCCCTTCAACGTGAGAGCGGAACGGCGGAGCGGACCCAGCCCAAGACTTTCCGGCAGGAGAGCACCCGCTCTAGCCTCTCCCGGAGAGGCACCTCCCACTGTAAGGCGCGGTACCTGAACCCAGATCACCCCAACTTTTCTTCGCAATCTCCTCACCTTGAGTGGTGCCCCCAGCAGGCGGTGCAGCGCAGGTATCTGCGCACTCAGAGGCAGCGCCCCGTCCAGGCTGCACGTAGGGGCCCGGCGCGGCTCCGGGAAGTTGGCACATGCGAAAGGGTCGGTGTCTTCCAGGTACTGCACCCTCACGGTCACCACGGATACTGGCTCCCCGTCACTGTGCTCCTCCCCGCCCGCCATGGATCCTGCACCCGCTAGCTCCGCGCGCCGGGGTCGTCCAGCCTCGCAGGGGCTTCAGCTTAGCTGAACTACAATGTTTGGGCCGGGCCGGGCCGGGCCGGACGCCGCTGGAGAGGCGGAGCCAGACGTGGGCGGGGCCGAGGAAGGGGGTGGGGCCAAGACTAGGCCCGAGCGCGCACAGTGGGGGGCCAAGGGGTGGAGCTTGCGCCAGCCATTCAGAGTGCCTGGTTGGTGATCCCGTTAGTTCCCTGGTTTGGAGAGCGGGAAAACCCGAGCTGGCGCCCCGCCTTGGAGAGCGCGGAAGGCCGGGAAAGCTTTCTTTGGGTTTGTGATAGAAGAGGTTGAGTTTTGGGGGGGAGAGGGAGATAATTTGGGGGTAGATGGGGCGAAGTTTCTCCTGATGGTCTTTCTCTGCTGAGTCTTCCTTGGTTTAGGGATGGGATGATCCTAATTTCTTGTAGAGATCAGTGCAAGTTTTTCTCTTACTTAAGGAAAGCAATGGAGAGGGATCCCTTTCAGCTGAGAGTAAGAAGTGAAAATAGATTTCACTGAAGGAAGAGGCGGGATCAGTTCCTTTTCGATGTGGGAAGAAAAGATGGGTGCCCTTTCTCGAAAAAGACTGGGATGAGTCAGTTTGAGGAGGCAGGTAGCACATGTTTAGGGAAAGAAGTGGGACGCGATGCCCCTAGGTTTTAATTGAAAAGTGGGGCGAGTTGATCCCAGTGCCCCCAAAGTTGAGTGGGTCGCCCCTTGTTAAAGGGGAAATCTACAGGTTCCCTTGGTGTCGTGAATAAAGGCGAGGTTGAGAGGAGGGCGGTGCCCCTCCTTCACAGCCTGGAATGCGTCGGGGCCAGTCCCGGCCTAGGGGTTCCTGAGGACGTTGCCCGCAGTGTTGTCCATCTGGGCTTTCTGGGAGGGCCCAGCGCGCGTGCGCAGGTTTGGTCAGGGCGGGGGCCAGAAAAGGGTCTGAGGTTTGGAAGAGCTGCGTGGAAGGCGGCGTCACACCGCCCCCTACCGGCGCCAGCGCGCGGCCTGGGCGCCTGGAGCTGCTGGCGGCTCGCTGCAATCTTCTGATCCCGGGTCCCAGGTTCCTCCCACCAGACGCCTGTCCCCCCACCCGGAGGCGGTGGCTGCTCACCCCTCTGAATCCGGGCGAAGGGAGGTTGGGGGGAGGTTGGGGAGCGGGCTCGGACGAGGAGATCTGGGGACTTGGGAAGGACTGGGCTGGGGGATTTCCGAAGCTGGGACTAGTCTAGAGGGGATGGAGGAAGAGCTGACGACGACGCGAGTCCCAGGCAGGGTCTCGGAGTCTGGACCTGGCCTGAGGGTGTCGGAGCCAGGATTGGGGGGAGTGAGCCCCACGTGCCTGTGACGCGGGGGCGCCCGGTAGGCGGCGGCGGCGGCGACGCGGGGCCGGCGGCTGTGCGCAGCCGGGCGGACTGCGAGGCCGGCTGCAGGATGCTGCGCGCCGCGCTGCCCCTGCTCGGGCTGCCCCTGGCGGGGGCGGGAACAACCCCAGAGCCTACCCCGGAGCCGGGGTCGCCGGGAGAGCCTCCTCCAGGTTTGGCGCTTTTCCGCTGGCAGTGGCACGAGGTGGAGGCGCCTTACCTGGTGGCCCTGTGGATCCTGGTGGCTAGCCTAGCCAAAATCGGTGAGTGTGAGTGTGTGTGTGTGTGTGTGCACGCGCGCGCGCGACCCGCCCCCTGACTCCCCACTTCCCCGCTCCCCCAGTACCCCTGGTCACCAGATCCGGACCGCTTTCATACACAGTGCCGGGACTAGGCTCATCTACCTTAAATCCTGGCTGCTCTCTTGCGGGTCTCCTTGCTAGCCTTCTCTGTGGTTGCTCCAACAATGTGCCTTCCTTTAAGGCTGCCCCCGCCTTTCTCCACCTCCATCTTTGGGTGTCTTTGCCCTCTTCTTCCTGCAGTGAGCCTTCTCCTCCACTAAGGCCCAGCATTTCACAAACCTCAGACAACGGTGAGGACGCGTGGGGACACTGAGGTGGTGGCACCTACCCCCCAAACTGCCTTCCCTGGAGGCCACATCCAAGTGTCCATCCACTTGAGATACTAAACTGCCACTTTTTCTTTACCTCATCCTTGTTCCCCACTTAAAAGATGCCACCCATTTGCCCCTAGGTGTAGGATCCCCTCCTCCTCCTCCCATTCAAATCCACACTTTTCCCTCTCTAAGGTATAAGAAACTTCCGTTTATGCTTTCCTGCATGTTGCCGGCTCTCAAGTGCTTTTATGCATCTGACCTCCTTCGGTCCTCACCCCATTGAAGGAGGTGCTTCAGAATCCCCACTGATCCCCACAGCCCCCAATAAAGCCGCTGCCTTCTGAGCAGCCAGTGGTTCCTCCTCCCAACAGAGACCCTCCTCCTTTCTCCCTGCTGTGCAGGCTCTGCTGTGGGGGTGACTAATTATAGCTGAGTGTTGCTACTCACTCCCCATCTATGCTGGCACAGCCTGTACTCCAGTCTCACCAAGACAGCCTTCATGTAGGAACCCCACTGTCTAGAATCTGTCCCCTTCTCCCCCTGGGACACTGCTGGAGGGAGAAAACTGGGAAAAGGAACAGAATTCTCTGCTTTGGCAGCCTGAGATTAATAATGGGAAGTGGAACTCAAAATGACTTCAGGGAGCCTCATTCTGCCAGAGAAATGGCTTTTGTGATGGGTCTTGGATTGCAGGGCTGGTGCATGCTGAGGAAATTAGGACAGAATAGGGTCCCTGAAGGAGAGGAGAGGGGTGGGAGGGCTGTGACTGAGGTCATCCTAGAGGCCCAGCAATAGTATCATCAACGTGGGAACAGCCTGAGATTGGGTTTGTTGTAAATTTTGTGAGTTGTGGAAGAGTTCCTGTCTTAGGGGTTATAACCACTGTAGTTTGCCATAGTACTTTTCTCCTTTGGATGACACCTCCTATGAAGAAAGGAGAAAGCCTCCTTCCCATTAGCTGTCTCCATCCCCTAAGTTCTCAGAAAGGAGAAATCTAGGCAGAGCACCTCCCAGTTTCATCCTTTTTTATTCAATAAATATTTAGGTGTTGTTGCCTCAGGCACTGTCTTAGGCCCTTTAGGACACTGTCTTGGCATAGGGCTAACAAGAAGGCCTCCTCACCATTCATATCGCATGTATCATTTTGATTTTACCCTTTATGATGAGTGTTTTCCCCATATTACAGAGAAGAAATGGAAATCCAGATTCTGTGATGCACAGAAAATGATGAGCTAGGCACTGGTAGCTCATGCCTGTAATCCTAACTACTAAGGTGCTCAGTTCAAAGCTAAGCCTGGCAGGAAGGCCTGTGAGACTCCTATCTCCAATTAACTACCCAAAAGCCCAGAAGTGGAGCTGTGGCTCAAGTGGTAAAGCACTAGCCTTCAGCAAAAACCTCAGGAGTAGTGCTCAGGCCCTGAGTTTAAACCCCAGAATCAACACACACACACACACACACACACACACACACACTAAGCCTGAAGACAAGGAACTCTGACTGCTAAACCCAGAATTCTTTAAACTGGTGGCCATATCATGAAATACCAGGTTGGGAGGCCTACAATGCTCCTTAGGAGGTATAACATACTTTTTAGTGAGGGATCTCTTGCTATAATAGATCTTAAAAATATAGTGATGTATTAAGATTCATCATAGTATAATAGGTAACACTAATTGAGTGTTAACTGAAGTATACTAAGTAACTTTATGGTGATGGTCTTATTTAATCCTATGAGACCATTATTGTTTTTCTCCCATATTTGGATGAGAAAATTAAGGATCAGAGATATATTTTTTGCTCCTAAATCACAGATCCAGTACATGGAGGACCTAGCCCTTGAAACCAAACAACTTGACACTGGAAGCCCTGCTTTTTACAGCTATGTTGTACATAAAAAGAGACAAGTTAGCATTTTCTGAGTTTCAAATGATGTTTATGAATAAGAGAGATCAGAGAAAGATGAGGTCAATCCCTGAGGATGAGAGTAGACAGGAAGGGGTATTTACAGAAAGGAAAAACAAAAACAGCAAAAGGTTGATAGCCCTGAAGTTTCTACTAGAATTTCTGTATTTCTTTTTCCTCCCTTAGTCCTAAGGTCTGGATTCTGATTTTGGCTAAGCTAAGATGGGGAGGTTATATAAATATATAGTGGGTGGTAGGGTGTTCCCTAACTCACCCCTGCCCTCTTCTTACATTGCAGTGTTTCACCTGTCTCGGAAGGTAACATCTCTGGTCCCTGAGAGCTGCCTGCTGATTTTGCTGGGCCTGGTTCTAGGGGGCATTGTGTTGGCTGTGGCCAAGAAAGCAGAGTACCAGTTGGAACCAGGCACCTTCTTCCTCTTCCTGCTGCCTCCTATTGTGCTGGACTCGGGCTATTTCATGCCTAGCAGGCTGTTCTTTGATAACTTGGGTGCCATCCTCACCTATGCTGTGGTTGGCACACTGTGGAATGCCTTCACAACAGGAGCTGCCCTCTGGGGCCTGCAGCAGGCTGGACTTGTGGGTGAGTGACCCTAAGACTTGGGCTGGCACAGGGAAATTTTGCAAGATGCAACCCCCAACTCCCTTCTCCTCTGGCTCTGAAGGTTACATGCTGGTGACCTTCCTACCTGGATTGCAAGGCAATACTCCAGAGGGACTTCTCCCTCATTTAGCCTCTGCCAGTTGAATCTGCACTTCTGCAGCATGACAACTGAGCAGGGGCTGGATACCAGCTGTGTGTGGGCTGCTGAGGCTGGGGTGCCTGCATTACCACTCTGTTGTCTCCTACCCTGTTATCACACTGCTCCTTGCCAACTTTGCTCCCCGGAGGCATAGCTTACCATCCTTGCAAGGATGTCTTGACTCTGCTTAGGCCATGTCCAGATAGTTTCCAGATGTTCATTTTCCTGAACTCAGAGCACAGGTGTTGTCCCTGAGCTTTTGTGCTCTACTACTTGAGTTACAGCTCCACTTCAGGCTTTTTGGTAGTTAAGTGGAGATAAGAATCTTATGGGCTTTTCTGCCTGGGTTGGCTGTGACTGTAACCCTCTGATCAGCCTCCTGAGTAGCTAGGGTTATAGACACGAGCCTCTGATGCCCAGCTTTCCTATTATTTTTAATAATCACACATTTTATATCCATGGCACTCTCCTTACTTACCCCATTTACCTGTTGGGATATGGCTTGTCCCATTTAATGGATCAGAAAGTTGACACCTAATGTTCATTTGATACCTAGTTCAAAGTTAGCAGAAGTCCAAGGAAGGCCTCTATTTTCCTGAGGCTCTTTGCCTTTAGACCCCTTCTGAATGCTTCTTTTCCTGATCCAAAAAATCCATCTAATCCTGATGTTGCTAATTCAGACTTCTACCAAGGTAAAAGGAGAAACTTCTAATTCCAAGTTGGGGGTCTCCATCCTGTTTTACTTAATAAGATATTGGGGCAGGGAGCGAAGGGAGGATATCAGACCCAGACCAAAGTAGAATTGTGATTTTAATAATAAGATATATATTAGGTGCTTACATCAGGCACTGACTAAATAAATAACTTTTTTAGATGGATATTATTATTAGTCCCAATTTGTCCATAGGAAATGGAGGCTCACAGTTTTGTGTGTTGCCCCCCAACCCCAGTCATTGGGCTTGAATGCAGGACCTGGATTCTGTCCCTGAGCTTTTTTGCTCAAGGCTAGTGCACTATCACTTGAGCCACACATAGTTCTACTTCTGATTTTCTGTTAGTTAATTGGAGATTAAGAGTCTCATGGACTTTCCTGCCTGGGCTGGCTTTGTACTGGGTTCTTCAGATTTCAGCCTCCTGAGTAGCTATTACAGGCACAAGCCACCAGCACACACACACACACACACACACACACACACACACACACACACACACACCAGGTTATTTGACATATCTGCAGTGTTTTTCATTTTGTGCTCAGTCCTCCCCTTCCTGGTAAGAATTGTGTGTCAGCATGAAGCCCTGGGTTCAGTTCCTTAGTACCACATGAACAGAAAAAGGCAGAAGTGGTAGAGTGCTAGCCTTGAGCAAAAAGAAGCTTGGGGACAGTGCCCAGGCCCTGAGTTCAATCTCCAGGACTGGCAATCAATCAATCAGTCAATCATGCCTTTAGGGGCTGGGAATGTGGCTTAGTAGTAGAGTGCTTGCCAAGCATTCATGAAGTCCTAGATTCTATTACTCAGTACCACATACACAGAAAAAGCCAAAAATGGCACTGTGGCTCAAGTGGTAGAGTCCTAGCCTTGAGCAAAAGAAGCTCAGGGATAGTGTCCAGACCCTGAGTTCAAGCCCCAGGACTGGCAAAAAAAAAAACAAAAGAAAAACCCCACAGCTCTTACCTGTTATTCTCTAAGAAAGCCAGTCAGCAGCCAATGCCCACCTGCTCATAGCATATACTGTTTGCTGCCATTTATATTATCAGTGCCACATTACCTTTCCAGTTATGCATGTAGAACTTTCTGATCCATCTCCTGGGTTGGGTCTTGCAGCCATTTTATGAGGTATGCAGATGAGGAGGCATGGCTAGAACAGTGACAGAGTCTGTATTGTGAGGCTGGTGAATGCAAAGCCAGACCCTTGGCATTTTGCAGCTCAGCTCAAGTCTGACCTGCAGGCTTAATGCTCTCCTTACCTTCCCATGGCCTTTTTGGGTTTGCTTGTTTTATCAGTGAGAGTAGCGTGTTGGCTTGTCCCAAGATGATAGGAGGGAGGGTCATCTTCACCAATTCCTGGCCTGTCTGTCTCTCCTTCAATAGCCCCTAGGGTGCAGGCTGGCCTGCTGGACTTCCTGCTGTTTGGGAGCCTCATCTCAGCAGTGGACCCTGTGGCTGTGCTGGCTGTCTTTGAGGAGGTGCACGTCAATGAGACTCTCTTTATCATCGTCTTTGGAGAGTCCCTGCTCAATGATGCAGTCACTGTGGTAAGATTGCTCAGCAACTGCCATCCCCTAATCCTAGGCTGTGATGGGCATCTGAACAGGCTCAGACCTTCTCTTTTAGCCCCTTGGAGAAAAAGTAAAATCTGAGCTTTGCCCCACTCCAGGGGCCCCAGGAATCATCTCCCCTCACTCCTGACTCTTCTTACCCAGGTGCTGTACAAGGTCTGCAACTCCTTTGTGGAGATGGGCTCTGCCAATGTGCAGGCCACTGACTACCTGAAGGGAGTCGGTCAGTATTTCCCCCTCAGTCATCATTGAAGGTCTGCCTCCCTTGGGGTTGCTGTGTCCCAGCCACTCAGCATTAGGACCAAGGAGGTTGATTGGGTTGCCTCTTTTCTTATTCTCCTCTATGGAGAACTGAGTCTGGGAGGGGCTTGTCCTGGGGATCCTGAGCTCCAGGGAGTGTGGTGGGCATCCCCCTAACTTCTTCCTGCCAGGCAGAAGTCTTGTCAGCCCCAGGAGGGTCCAGGCCAGGGGTTATGCTGACAACCCACTCCTCCCCCAGCCTCCCTGTTTGTGGTCAGTTTGGGCGGGGCAGCCGTGGGCTTAGTCTTTGCCTTCCTCCTGGCCCTGACCACACGCTTCACCAAGCGGGTCCGAATCATCGAGCCACTGCTGGTCTTCCTCCTCGCCTATGCAGCCTACCTCACTGCTGAAATGGCCTCACTCTCCGCCATTCTTGCGTGAGTTCTGGGGGTTTTGCAGACAGGGAGCTGGGAGGGGGTACTGGAGAGTTGCTTCTTATAGGGCCAGAATCAGGACCTTAAGGAGTCCATAGACTTCCCTGAGCCCTTGTGGTAGTGGGCACCTCAAACTCCTTGGGGAGACAATAAACCTCAGCTAATCTTCCAAGAAAACTGGGTACCCAGGTCTCAGTATGGGCTGAGCTAGCAGTAGGACCTGGGGCCACTGACAATGATGGCCACAGCATAGCAAACGGTGCCTTGGAGTCTGCTAATCAGAGCAAGCCCAATTAGCAGTCTTCCTCAGACTATGGTTCTGAGAATCTGACATCTGGGATGGGCAACTCCCCCTCCCTCCCTCCCTGACCTTTGAGCACAACATGCTCAAACTGCAGAGGCTGAGACCTCCCCTTACTTGCTTTTTTTCTCTGCTCCTCTCCCAGGGTGACTATGTGTGGCCTGGGCTGTAAGAAATACGTGGAGGCCAACATCTCCCATAAATCACGCACAGCTGTCAAATACACAATGAAGACCCTGGCCAGCTGTGCTGAGACTGTCATCTTCATGCTGCTTGGCATCTCAGCTGTGGACTCTTCTAAGTGGGCCTGGGATTCTGGGCTGGTGCTGGGCACCCTCTTCTTCATCCTGTTCTTCCGAGCCCTCGGTATTGGTGGCACCCTCTGTTTCCCCACTCTCCTCCTTGTCCCTGACAGCATCTCTCCCACTCCGAGTCCACATCCTGTTCATTTCCCCAGCCTCCCTTGTTGCTCACCTCTCCTTATCCCTGCCAGACGTTAGCCCCGATATTTGGTGCCATCTGCTCCTGGTGTCCTTCATTCCCAACACCTTGCTCCCACTGGCCTCCTTCCTACTGTAGGCGTAGTCCTGCAGACGTGGGTGCTGAATCAGTTCCGGCTGGTCCCTCTGGACAAGATTGACCAGGTGGTGATGTCCTATGGGGGCCTTCGGGGGGCTGTGGCCTTTGCTCTCGTCATCCTGCTGGACAGGACCAAGGTCCCTGCCAAGGACTACTTTGTGGCCACCACCATTGTAGTGGTCTTCTTCACAGTCATCGTGCAGGTGGGAGTGCCCACAGGGCTGGAGTGGGAGGGGGACCAGCAGGCTGTGGGGGGAGTCTTGGAGCCTGTGGAAGAAGGTCTGCTCTTCTCATTGAGGGGAGGCAGGGCTGATTTCCCAGACCTTTAGTGCAGCAGGATGTTGTGGGAACAGCTGAGGCCTGATTATGGGGAAAGAAAGTCAACAGGGAAATGAAAAGGGCAGGGCTCACCTCCCACCTGTCCATAGGGCTTGACCATCAAGCCGCTGGTGAAGTGGCTGAAGGTGAAGAGGAGTGAGCATCACAAACCCACCCTAAACCAGGAGCTACATGAGCACGTGGGTACCAGAACCCCATCCCTCCACCAGTCCTTTTTTCCCTTCTCCTTCTCGGCAGAGTCCTGATCCAGTCCCCCTACCCGCCCCTTCTAGACTTTTGACCACATTCTGGCTGCAGTGGAGGACGTTGTGGGGCACCATGGCTACCACTACTGGAGGGACAGGTGAGGGAGCTGCCCCGAGGCTCCTTCAGCAGCAGCAGCCCCACCAGCCAGGGCAGCATGGGGGGAAATGCCACCCTTCTCAGAAGGGACACAGGTTCAGTCTGGGTGACCTCTGTCTGGAGCCTTTCAGTGGCATCCCAGTGATCTCAGGATAAGAAAGGCTACCCAGTGTGGCCTGCCTGGCCCTGCATGGTTTGGTATCTGCCAGACTCCAGCCCCATCATGCTCTGCGGTCTTTGATGGTCTGCCTGCTAATTACATGGACCCTATTTTAGAGCTACAAGACCGACCATGCTCTCTCAGCCTGGCCACTGGGACCATTGTACATGTTCTGTTTACTACAATCCCCTCTTGTTTTCCTCGAGATTTTTCATCCTTCAGATCTCATCATAGGCATTCCTTAGGAAGGCCTTTCCTGGCCACCCTGACTAGGACAAACTCCTGTCATACTCTATAATTATCCTTGGTAGTTATTGTCAAGGTTGCAATTTTTACAGTTATTTATAATAATGTCAGGCTTGCCCCTGCACCTATAAATTCTGTTAGAAGCAGGGACTGGCTGTGAGATTCTCCCTGGCTGAGATGCATAACCAAGAAAGCCAGGCCATTGCTGGCAGAGTCCTGTCCCATCTGAGGAAGGGCCAGCCAGCCACACCTGGAGGATGGGACTCAGTGCTGGGCCTGGCATCCTCTATAGGTGGGAGCAGTTTGACAAGAAGTACCTGAGTCAGCTGCTAATGCGTCGGTCAGCCTACCGCATCCGGGACCAGATCTGGGATGTATACTACAGACTTAACATCCGGGATGCTATCAGCTTTGTGGACCAGGTAGGTCAGCAGTTACCAGGTGGGTCACTTATGGTGGGAGGACATGGAGCCAGAAGAGCAGGGCAGAAAGGGGCAATAAGCAGGCAGGCTTGTTAGCAGACAATTGGGAACTCCCAGTTGACTTTATGGTCATATGAAGTGGCAGCTGCAGTTAGTCTGGCAGACAGTACAGAAATGTGGGACATAGCTGGACTCGAGCTAGCAGATGTGGCTCAAACGGTTACCACTTATAGGCTTGTGACCTTGGTAAGTAACTTAACCTTGTCTCAGCCTATTTTCTTCAGTGATAAGAAAGCAGGCGTAAGAATAATAAGAGCACCTGTGTCAGATTTTGTGAATTCTAAATATAAAGTGTCTCATACTTATCTGGAGCAAAAATAAGGCGCTGGGGGTCTCTGAATGTGCTTACCTAGCAGGCCTGAGGCTCTGGTTTTGATCTGCTGAACTACAAAGCAAAACAAAAAAAAGTAAAATACGTGTGAGATATTCTTCTTCTTTTTCTTACTTTCTGGGCCGTCCTCTGATTGCTGTCTGATCTCGGTCTTGACCCCTGCAGGGAGGTCACGTCCTGTCCTCCACAGGTCTCACTCTGCCCTCTATGCCCAGCCGGAATTCTGTGGCAGAGACCTCTGTCACCAACCTGTTGTGAGTCCCTTTTTCCTTGTCCAAGCTCCTCTTCACTGGGCACTCTTCTTCAAATCCCTTTGGGGGAAGATTTGTCTGCTTTATTCCTGTCCCTCCCCTGGCCTGTGCCTTATGCTCCCTCCCCAGCACCCGTGTCCCTGCCTCCTACAGGAGGGAGAGTGGCAGTGGCGCATGTCTGGATCTGCAGGTGATTGACACGGTTCGCAGTGGTCGGGACCGAGAGGATGCTGTGATGCACCACCTGCTCTGTGGAGGCCTCTACAAGCCACGCCGCAGGGTGAGAGCAGGCAGGGCATGAGTTTGAGAGCTAGGGGAAGGCCACTGGGGAGGGGAGGCTGTGGTCAGAGGTTTAAAAGGCAGTTGGTGGTGAGCTGTAGGTGCCTGGTTGAAGAGTATGGGTTTCATTCTGTCTGCAATAAGAAACCTTTTTTTTTTTTTTTGATGTTGTTAGCTGTTTTGGAGGAGGAGTTGGCCCTTTCTAGTAGTCATGTGCAGACCAAATTAGAGGGTGTAAGTTGATAGCTGGAGAACCAGTGAAAGTTGGAGGGAAACATTTTGGACTGGAGCTGGATGGGGAGAAGGAGAGAAACACACCGGCCTCTCCCCTGAGCAGAGAGCAGATAGTGGAGAGTAGGCCTTGCGGGTCCTTGGAAGTTAACAGTCACAGACCAGAAGGAGGGGCCTAGAGGAAGGCTGAGGAACCAGTTTAACATTGGGAAGGCAATCCGTTTTACATAATGTGAGTTAGGCCAGTGCCCTTCATGAAGTTTTAGGAATGGAAAAGACCAGTACATCCAGGAGAGAATGTGTTGTGGCCCCACAAGGGGGCACCAAGCCATTACCTTGAGTCATGTGAAATGAATTTGGACTTTATCAATCCTGGCAGTGGTAACAGGTGAAGGTTAGAATGTTGAGATAGAATTGCCTTGCTTTAACTTGCACGCACTTCTCCTGCATTGACTCTTGGAGGCTCTGCAGAATGTTTTCTTTTTCTTTTAATTGTAAATTTGATATACGGAGGGATTACAGTTACATACATCAGGTACATTCTTTCCCTTCCTTCCTTCCTTCCTTCCTTCCTTCCTTCCTTCCTTCCTTCCTTCCTTCCTTCCTTTCTTTTTCTTTCTTTTTTCTTTTTTTGTTTGTGGGGCTTGAACTTAGGGCCTGGGTGCTGTCCCTGTACTCTTTTGCTCAAGGCTAGTGTTCTACCACTTTGAACTATGGCTCTACTTCCAGTTTTCTGGAGGTTAACTGGAGAAAAGAGTCTCATGGACTTTTGTGCCTGGGTTGGATTTGAACCATGATCCTCACATCTCAGTCTCCTGAGTATCTAGGACTATAGGCATGAACGACGTGCGCAGCTAAGATGTATTATCTTTTTGGACAGTGTCACCCCTTCTCTTGCTCTCTCCCGGTTTTTCCCACTCTCAGAATAAGTTTTAAAGGTTTCAAGGCAGCAACTCCCACACAGACCCTGCTGCCCCTAGGCCAGAATTTCCTGCCCCTATATGTCTTCTCTGGCCCCTAGAAATTGGGGCCTGGGAATGGGAGGTGCTACTATAACTGTGATTGGCCTAGAGTAAGGCAGAGCGACTCTCTTACCTTTCTAGATAACCTTCAGTTGTCTTCCTACAACCCAGGATCCCTACTTTGGCTCATCACCTTATAGCCGCATACTGTCCTCCACATGGGCGGGCAATCTTCCTCAGACTTCCCCAGAGTCTTCCTCAGCCAATGGCTGTCTCATCCATGCTACCTACTTTTTTTCCTTTTACTGTTTTTTGTTTTGTTGATGTTGTTGTTTTGGCAAAATTTCAGTTAGAGAGAATAAGACATCTCATTTGTCTGTTACCCGGCTCCAGTAAATATCAATGTATGATTAATTTTATTATTAATTTTGTTTTTATTATTAATTTTGTTTGTGACATTGCTATCCATGTATGTAATGTACCCCAATTACCATAGCTTCTCCTTTATCTCACTCCCACCTTCTTTAAAGAATTTCAACATATTTCTTTTCATACAGGCAAATAAAATATTTCAACCATATTCATCCTTATTCATTCTCATTCAGCCTCTTCATTTCTTAAAGCAAACTTCAGATGTCACATCATCTCAATATTTCAGTAAGTATATCAGTAGGTGGCAAGAATTCATGAAAAATAAAACCACAGTACCATTATCATAATAATATCACAAATAATTCTAATATCTAGGCAGTGTTCTAGCTGGTTTGTTTAAAATCAGGATCCAAATAAAGTCCACAATTTGTCTTTGTGAAATATGTCTCTTCATTTTAAAAAAAAACACCAAAAAACTATAATAGATCCTTCTCCCCTTGCTATTTATTTATTGAAGAAGCTAGATAATTTATTCTGGGTAATTGTCTACTTTCTAGATTGTAATCAGGTGGTGGTACTTAACATTTTCCACCATCCCTTGTTTTTCTGTTGTTAAATCTAGAGACCTGATCAGGTCCCAGGACATTCAATTGGTGTACAGTATTGTGTCACATCAGGGAGTTTATGATTTTGTGTGTTTGTGTGTGTGTAAGGTTGGTCAATGGGTTCAGTGCAATCAATTCTTGTATAATTAATTTTAAAAGGACTGGAATGAATTTGTGCTTATCCTGTTAAATGTCATCTGATTTAATTTAGCCCATCATTCCATTGCTTGGATCTCATGTCTACCACCAAATGTCTCCTCAGATTCATAGCATCTGAAACTTTTCTAAGCCTGTTAACTTTGCATCCATCCAAATCATAAAATGTTGAACAGGATAGAGCTGAGGAAAGAGCCCTGTGGCATACTACTAAAGACTTTTCTCCAGACTGACATGGATCAAGAATTTTTGGGGTATGGTTATTCAAATAGTTCTGAATCCACTTAGTTTGTATATGACACAATCCATATTTCCTCATGTTCCTTCCAGAAATATCATTAGAAAGTGACAAAGTATGCAGTTCAAAATATAAGATCATAGCTTGAGAGATAGGAGATGAAGAAAAAGCAGTCTTCATCACCTTCAGAGGTTCTTCTCCGATTCACATCAGAGACTCCTGGGAAACTTGTTAGAGTACTCCTGGCTTCACCTTCTGGAGATTCTGATCCTGTAGAATAGGGTAGGACTAAGATCTGTGATCTTAATAAGTTCCCAGGTAACTGAGATGCAACTGGTCTGATGACTGTTGTTAGGTAGTCATAGATCATGTCACTGTTAAGCCAAGATAAAAGATAAGTTCTCTGGGGAGAACAATCAGAGGGGAGAAAGGAGAGCCGTGTATAATATGGAGGAATATACATGGAAGCAAAAGACGGAGCTAGCAAAGGAAAGAGAAGAGCAACTCTTATAGAAGCAATAGCGGATGGTGTCTCCATACTAGGGTAGAAGAAGGGCTGGATGCTGCACAGGCCAGGCTGGTGCCTGAGCAGGGAACTGGTCACAAGGGAAAAGGTCAGCACTGTGGACTTGTGGACCTTGACTTGCAGTGCATGTATTTAAGGAAGTACTGGATAGGAGGGCAAGCATCAGAATCAATTTCTAAAAGTCTGGCCACAAAAAGAAGGCAGTGGCATGGATGGAAAGGCTTTCTTTGGGATGGCAAGCTTGTTTGAAAGTGGAACAGCAGTAGCCAGACAGTGAAGATGCCAGAGATGAGAAATAAGAAAGAACTAGGAATAGGAGGCAGAAAGGAGTAAGTTGAACAAAGCCAAGGCCAGAGATAGGAGGTGATGGGCCCCTTCATGAGAAAAGGTCACTTCCAGGTACATAGTTAGAGAGGGAGAGCAGATGGGAGACTTGAAGGAAGCTCTTAGGACTGATTTAGGGCAGGGTGCTGGTGGCTCACACCTATAATCCTAGCTACTCAGGAGGCTGAGGATCACAGTTCAAAGCCAGCCTGGGCAGAAAGGCTATGAAACTCTTATCTCCAATAAACCACCAGAAAACTGGAAATGGCACTGTGCTCAAGTGGTAGAACGCTAGCCTTGAGCTGAAGAGCTGAGGGACAGTGCCCAGAGTTCAAGCCCTATGACCAACAACAACAAAAACCAAACCTGGTTCAGGGAAGCAGGGAAAATAGGATGGAGATGAAAGGGAGCAGACTGGCAGTGTAAGGCAAGAGAAAGTAATCACAAGATAATGAAATGTTGCTAAGCTGCCAAGGACAGAGTCATGCAAACTAGGCAAGTGCACGGTGAGCTTAATCTTTATGAAAGAGAAATCAGAGGGAGTGTTTCTGAATTATGTAGGTAGTTGTTACCAGGAGGGTCTCATGTATCAGGGGAGGTAGTTCTGAAAGTCCAAAGTGCAGTCTAAATGTAGTGATGGCTCTAGAAATGGCTAGATGGAAAGTCCAGCTAGAAAGGATCCTGTATCACTAAAAAGTGACATTCAACCAAATGGAGGTCCAAAGAAGGCTATGGTGCTTAGTCTTGTAATAGACCCAGGGGACAAGACCTAGGGACCATGCTTCCTTTGTGACTTCAGACAAAACTGGGAAAAGGGCAAAAGTAGACGAGAAAAGGCAGATTTAGAGGAATAAACTAGGAAGAAGGGAAGTTTTTCTTCCCTCTCAGTGAAAAAGTACAGGTGTATATATATAGCATCAATAAACTGTGATTAAATTAAAATATGCTAATTAAAAGGTGCAGATGTATATATAGCATCAATAAGTTCAGGGAATTACATTTTGACAAGTCCATGTATGCATACAATATTCTTTGATTAGACTCACCCCATCCATTCATTCATTCATTCATTTACTCTATGGCTGGTTTTGGAAACGCTGGGCTGGAAGGCTCTATGGTGAACATGTTGGGGCTGTGGCCTAGGGTTCCTATGGAAGGCCAAGGCACCCAGCCTCATGGCAGGGTGGGGTTGTCATTGCCAGTACAAAGCCAGCTGCAGCCGCCACTTCATCTCTGAGGATGCACAAGAACGTCAGGACAAGGAGGTCTTCCAGCAGAATATGAAGCGGCGGCTCGAGTCATTTAAGTCCACCAAGCACAACATCTGCTTCACCAAGAGCAAGCCACGACCTAGAAAGGCTGGTCGCAGGAAGGCATGTCCTTTCTCTGAAACTCCTCTTTGGGCTTAGAGGCTGCCAACAGATAATTTAGATCCCTTCAAGTGTTGGAATCCAGCTTGGGGGGTACTCCAAGGATTTGATGACTAGGAGTTTGGATTCCCTTATCAATTTCCCTGGGTCCCCAGAAGGGTAAAGGGGGTTCTTCAGAGGCAGTGTAGCCCCTTGGCCATGGAGTCACTTTCTATCAGAGATGAAATGGGCAGAAGGGCCAATACCTGAAGAAGCAACCCCAGGCGCCTCTCAGTCTGATGATCCAGGCTGATGCATCCAGAGCCCCTGCTGGGGTATGGGTTACTCGGGCTCCACAGCTCCTGCCTGCCTGGCAAAGGGATGCTATGATATAGAACTGTTGGGACTGATGTAAATCCCCCTCCCCCCATGGGTTAGAAAATGTGTCCTAGATCACAGGGCTGGTTGTGGTGCCAGGGCCAAAGGCTCAGGCTTGCTTTCTTGGTCCTCAGAAGGATGGTGTGGCCAATGCCGAGGCTACAAATGGAAGACCTCCTCGAGAGCTGGGCTTTCAGGACACAGGCAAGCAGGAAGTGGAGGGGTGGGGTTGAGGATGGGAGGGAAAGGGAAAATCCAGGCCTATTAGCAGAATTCTAGAGGACTCCTGTGTGCATTTAGCACTGTACGCTGGGCTTCTCTCAGGGACTGGACTGGCATACTCCATTTCAATATTGGAAATGTTCAAAGTGATGTATAATGGGAAGTGTCAGATTGCTAAGTGTACCTTCAGGCCCTGAAAAACAAAAGGTGGGGAAGAAGGGGGAGATGGCTCTGGGTAGACCCTGGGGCCCAGTTTCCCATCTCTTCTTCATGAGCTAAATGTTACTGGGCCTTCCCGTCCTCCAGATGCTCGTGTTGTCAGCTGATGGTGGAATCTGGGGCTGACAAATGGTGGGGGAGCTGGAAGGCATGCCACTCGTGGCCTTGTCTGAGGACTTAGCTCATTCCTGCTTCTTCAGGCTCCCTTCCCTTCCTCCTAACCCCTAGGCCAGTGCCAGAGTCAGAAAAACAGGCACTTCTGCCCACATAGGCTCTTCTTGAGGGTACAGGGTCTGGTTTGGGATTATGCAGTACCCGGAGGCAGCTGCTGGGCTGCTTGCCTCGACTTAGCTCTTATCCCTGTCCAGCTGCTGTGTCACTAACTGTGGAGTCTGAGGAGGAGGAGGAGGAGAGCGACAGTTCAGAATCAGAGAAGGACGACGAGGGGATCATCTTTGTGGCTCGAGCCACCAGTGAGGTTCTCCAAGAGGGCAAGGTCTCAGGTAATGCTTCTTCAATGCCTCCTTCCCCTCTGAAATAGGTTTCTTGCCTCTGCTCTCATGGCCTCTGCTCCAGGCAATTCCATATTCCTATTTGCTCATTTATTCACTAACCAGCATTTACCGAGCTTCTATCAGAAACCTGACATAAATGATCTAGTTTAACCCTCAGGACCACCAAAATGGGGAAGCGAAGCTTAAAGAGCCTATAGGACTTGTAATCTGTCCAGCATCACATGGTAGAATCGGAATTTAAACCTGACCCATCCTGAGTCCAAAACCCATGGCTTTTCACTGCCATGCCTTTTGTTTGAGGAATCCAAGTTGGTAAACATACTGCCCAGCAGTCTCTCTTGTGATCCATGCTCAGCATACCTGCCCTCAGGTAGAGCCTTCAGTGAGGATTCACCTGACCAGAGAAGGAACCTGAGATCATCAAAATGGACTTGTAGGTTTTTAAAATATACATATGCATACACACACAAAACATGTGCATACACACATATACAGGTATCTGCACAAGAGACCTAATTCACTCAGAATGCTAGGTATACTGGTGATTGGTTCAAGCATCCTCAGATGCTTTGTTTTTGGTTGTGGGGCTTGAATAGGGGGCTTGGGCACCGTCCCTAAGCTTCTTCACTCAAGGCTCACACTCTACCACGTTGAGCCACAGCCCTACTTCCGGTTTTTGAGTTGTTAATTAGAAGTAAGAGTCTCATGGACTTTCCTGCCCACACTGCTTTAAATTGTGATCCTCAGATCTCAGCCTCCTGGGTAGCTAAAATTGGAGGCATGAGCCCTGGGGCCTAGCCTCAGATACTTTTAGCAAAGTTCTATTACAGAAAATTTCAAAATATGTAATGATAGAACAGTGAAATAAATTCCCATCTGTCCTCTACTCAGCTTCAATAACTGGCTATTCATAGTCAATCTTACTTTATTTATATCTTCACCTATAGACTCTTGCTCTTCTGAGTTCTTATGAAGAAAATCTCAAGTGTCATATTACTTTTATTAGTAAATACTTCAGCATAAAAGATAAGGATTCTCCGTTACTCAGAAAGCTGAGGCCTGAGAATTGAGGCTTGGAGTCAGCCCAGGCAGACAAATCTGTGAGCACAAGAAGCTGGAAGTGGAGGTGTGGCTGAAGTGGTAGAGCACTCCAGCTGTGAATGAAAAAGCCAAGCAAGAATGTGAGGCTGGGATAAGGATTCTTTTTAAAAACTACACCCATGACGTCATTACCATATATAAAATCTTTGTCATCAAATATCTAGTCAGTGTTCAGATTGTGTTGGTTGTCTTCATATTTTTTAATAGCAGTTCCATACAGATAAAAATACAGATGAGATCTACACATTATATTTGGTTGACAAGTCCCTTTTAACTTATCAAACACAGTGGAACTCAAGAGGGATGAAGAGATTGTACCACTTCAGGGACACTGGGCAATGTCTAGAGACATTCTTTTCTAACAGCTGGGGAAAGTATACTTCCATTGAATGGGTGCAAGGCAGTAGCTGTCTTAAAATGTTCAAGTATCAAGTCTGGAAATTCTTGATCTCTCCTACATTTTCCTCTTCTGATATATCTATCAAGGAAACCAGGTTATTTGTCCTGCCTGGACTTTGCTTATTGCATCTCCCAAAGTGTCAATGAAGGTGTTTTTCTCTTACATTTCTTTTAAATTGATATCAGCTTCCAGTTTTGATTTGGGGGGGGGTGGGTAAGAATACCTCACAGGCAATAGGAGTGTATTTCCTATTGGCCACATCAGACAATACAAATACAATATGGTTGGCTCTCTTTTGTTTTGTTTTTGTTGGTTGTAGGGCCTGAACTGGGGGCCCAGGCACTGTTCTTGAGCTTCTTTTGCTCAAGGCTAGCATGCTACCATTTTGAGCCACAGCTCCACTTCCAGTTTTTAGATGATTAATTGGAGATAAGAGTCTCATAGACTTTCTTATTGCTGGCTTGGAACCACAATCCTCAAATCTCAGCCTCCTAAGGCATGAGTTCTTGGCATAGTTAGCTTTCTTATCATGAGACTAACATCAGTCACTGGGTTCAGATGTTTCCCTGACCTGTCCAGGATAAAGTTCCCCATTAGCTTTTTGATCAATGGTCTTAGTAGCCACCAGTAATCACTGCTGCACCTGGTTCATATTTATTTATTTATGTATTTACCAGCCCTGGAGCTTGGACTCTGGGCCTGGGCACTGTCCCTGAGTTTCTTTTTTATTCAAGGATAGTACTCTACCACTTGAGCCTGAGCCAGAGCACCACTTCCAGCTTTTTAAGAAAATTTGTTTATGTGGTAATGAGGAACAGAACCCAGGGCTTCATGCATGCTAGGCAAGCACTCTACCACTAAGCCATATTCCCAGCCTCTTATTTATTTTTTGTCAGTTGTAGGGCTTGAACTCAGGGCCTGGGTACTACTGTTCCTGGGCTCTTTTCTCAAGGCTAGAACTCTACCACTTGAGCTATAGTTCCACTTCCAATTTTCTAATGGTTAATTGGAGGTAAGAGTCTCACAGACTTTCCTGCCCAAGCTGGCTTTGAACTGTGATCCTCAGATCTCAGTCTCCTGAGTAGCTAGGATTATAGGAGTGAGCTACTAGCATCTGGCTTCATCTACATTTATTAGCAGGAATTCTTCTATAATAAACTTCCCATTATCTATTATTTGGTTATTCTGAGGTTCAGTAGATACAGGGACGAATGAATAAGTGCTTGATCCTTTCTTTTTTTGTTTGTCGGGAGGCCTAAACTCTGGGCCTGGGCACTGTCCCTCAGCCCTTTAGCTCAAGGCTAGTGCTCTACCACTTGAGCCATAACACCAATTCTGGCTTTTTCTGCTTATGTGGTGCTGAGGAATCAAACCCAGAGCCTCATGCATGCAAGGCAAGCACTCTACCACTGAGCCACCTTCCCAGCCATTGATCCTTTTTTTAAAGTCTGTCAGTCTTTAGACCCAGGGGTGAGTTTGTTTTCTAGCATCCTCTAAAAGTGATTTTCAATTGGGGTATTTTAATATTTCAGGTCTTTCAAAAGCTTTGGTTTCATTTTTAAAATTTTTATTATTATTGTAAAGGTGATATACAGATGGGTTACAATTACATAAGTCAGGTAATGAGAAAAAAAGTTCGGACAATGTTACCCCTTCCTTGCTCTTTTCCAGTTAACTTCATTTTTAATTATAGCATCAAAATATTTCATAATGTCATCAATCAAAGAGTATATTGGGGGTATAGTTTAGTGGTAGGGTACTTTAGTGGTAGGTATAGTTTAGTGGTAGGCCTAGAGTTCATTGGTCTCTTTAAGGCTTTATCAATAAATGCACTGAAAACCTTTTATTCACAAGGCATTGTGCTTGGCTTCTACAAGCCCAGGCTCCCCTTTGGCAGAATCTCAGACTTTCCTATAATCCAGCTGCTTGCAGCTCTGGGATTTTTTTTTTTTTTTTTGGGTCAGGTTGTGGGGCCTGAACTTGGGCCTGGGCACTGTCCCTCAGCTCTTCAGCTCAAGGCTAGCAGCTCTTCAGCTCAAGGCTAGCACTCTACTACTTGAGCCACAGTGCCACTTCCAGCTTTTTTTTCTTATGTGGTGCTGAGGAATCGAACCCAGGGCCTCAGGCATACAAGTCAAGCGCTCTACCACTGAGCCACCTTCCCAGCCCAGCTCTGGGATTTTCTAAATCCAGCCCCTACCCTGACATCCCACTGGCAGCAAAGCTTTTACCTAGAGCTTTGAGGTCTTTCTCGCTCTCATAGGCACCACCTCATCCCCGCATCCCTGCTGGCTGGCTGGGATGGGACTTGGCAAGTTGTAGTTTCTGAGACAGGTGCTGAAGGGTGTTCAGAGATTTTTTTTTTTTTTTGCTTTTTTGTTTTGTAGTGACTTGCATTTGTTCATTAGGTAGCTCTTGGATAACTGCCCTGGGCCTGTCAGCTATGGTGGCTCCTCTGGACAAGACATTCATTGAATAATTGCTCCAATGGATGGAGCAACGTGGCCACTGTGAAATGTATTAACTTGTGAGGATGTGTTTATACTTGGGGAGGGTTCCACAGCATTGGCAATGAGCTCACGTGTATTCTCTCTGTCCCCAGGAGGCCTCGAGGTGTGCCCGAGCCCGCGCATCATCCCCCCTTCCCCAACCTGTGCGGAGAAGGAGCTGCCCTGGAAGAGTGCACAGGGGGACCTGGCTGTATACGTATCTTCGGAAACCACCAAGATTGTGCCCGTGGACATGCAGACAGGCTGGAACCAGAGCATCTCATCTCTGGAGAGTCTGGCATCCCCTCCCTGCACCCAAGCCCCTACTCTGACCCGCCTGCCTCCCCGCCCACTGTGTGCCGAAGAACCCCAGGCCCCTCTTGACTTTCCTTCTGACCTGCGCCCTAGCTTTGCCTTCCCCCCTAGCCTGGCCAAGGCTGGCCGTTCTCGAAGTGAGAGCAGTGCCGACATCTCCCAGCAGCAGGAGCTGCAGCCCCTCATGGGCCACAAAGGCCACACGCATCTTAGCCCACGCACCGCCAACTCCCACTGGTGTATCCAGTTCAACAGAGGGGGTCGGCTGTAACCCGGGGCCTCGGGGAGGAGCAGGAGGTGGAGTCCCTGTGGGAAGAGTTCCCTGGGCACTGCGCAGAGCAGTCCATGCAGCCTGACACAGGGGTAGAGGGGCCTGGACTAAAGTAGAACGGCCTCCTTGAGGTTGGTCAGAGGGGTCTCCTGGGCTGGTCCTCACAGGGACCCTTCTCCCACCCTGCATCTAACCCCTTCCACCTTCCATTTCAATAATGGCTCAGGACCCAGTCCATAGTTCCAGGACATAGGCCCAGAGACTTGGGTAGCTGATGTCCTTTTCCTAAGGGAGCTTTCTGAGCTCACTGGAGGCAGCTGTTTCTGTCCCCAAAGCAAAGGAATCACTCCACAGTTGTAAGCAGGTCTTCCCTGTCCCCACCCTCTCTCTTCCTGGCATTTGGTCAGGGACCTGATGTCATTGTCCTGACATGGAGGTCTAGTGAGGGTCTGGTCCTTAGAGGAAATAGGTTGGAATGTGGAGTAGCCTTGGGCTGGGCTGCCCTGTTGGCTTGGCTACCCAGTATCTTTTTTTTTTTTTTTTTAAGGCAGTGGGAGTCTCTGTCCCCATGTCTTGCTTTAGTCCCTTCCTTTTGCTGCCAGATATTGGGGTAATGGTGCCTACTTTTCTAAGATGTGAGCCTTGGACCTGGCAGTTCAGGGCTGCTTCTTAGCCAGGGTGTTTTGGGAGGGGTCTTTTCTGGGTCTAAGTTTGAAACTTTTGATCCAAGGATCTGGGTTTTCTGAGGAAGGGACACAGTAGCCTCTGGGATCCCATGTTGCCACTTCAGATTTTCCCTAACAGGAAAGTGGCCAGGTATCTCAGGACCACTGCTCCATGGCTGTTGGGAGCTAGGATAGCTGGCTGCAGTACTAAGTGGGGCAGAGTGGCAGGTGGAGTTCCTGGAGGTAGCCCTGCCTTGTGTTTTGTACCTTAAACCGAAGATACATTAAACATCTCTTGGATGGATATGTGTCCTCTGTCTGTGTGCTGGGGAGTTCTAGGAGTGGGGGTAAGAGGGGATCCGCCTGTCTAAGACTTCTGAGGCAGAGAATGGAGGAGGAAATCCTAGGCGGGACTCTTAGTTCTTCTGCTCCTCCCCACTCTCTCCCAAACTTTTCTGACATTGTCCCCATAGCAGCAGGCCTGGAGTGGCAGTCTAGGGTTTCACTGTATGGGCTTTTGAGTCACAGAATTGGGAATCGACATAATGTGGAGATCCAGCAGGAAGAGCGACCCCAGGGATCAAGGTCTAAGCTCCCAAAAATGCATCTACCACAGCTGAAGCTACAGAAGCATTTCTGGAAAATCCAGAGGCAGGTGTGGGACAAATGTATAGAAGTGTTCTTTTGTATGTGGCAGTTGGGAAGGCAATCTCAAGAGAGTTGTCACCCTGAGTGTCCATGATTCAAAACATGGTAGTGTGGGGCCTACAAATTTCTAGATAACAGCATCCCCCAAATCCCAGTCCCATTGTGTGTGTGTGTGTGTGTGTGTGTGTGTGTTAGAATAGAATCCTTATTCTCACCATATTCTAAGCATAGAATGTTCCCATCATAACCAAAACAAGCCCCGCACCCATGATCAGTCTACTTCTCTCTCCCTAGCATCCCCAGCACTAAATCCTCACCAGTCCACTTTCCATCTCTATGGATCTGAAGGAGCTTGGTATACTTTGAAGGTTACAGATTGGATCATCTAACAGTCACCGTTTCTGCAATAGGGGAAAAACATGAAGCAAAGGAGAGTGGTTTTGTCTTCAAGTTGCTTATAGGGCAGTAATAGTAAAGACTGGTCGTTAATTAGTAGTTAACAGCCTGGAGTTAGTGCCAGCTGTCATTCACCAGTTATATCATTTGGGGCATGTTATTAAACTCTTTGATACTCCGTTTTCTCATCTGTAAAATGGGAGAGCAATCATACTTCTTCATAAGGTTACTGCCAGGATTAATGGCAAAATGGGAAGGAACCTGTCCTAGGCCTGGCTGAAGGTGCATGAAATGTCAAGGGGCCTTGAGAAGTTCGTAGAAGGATTCCAGGAGGTCAATGTACATGTGTGTACATGCACACATGCTTGCTCATACTACTATACAGTGTCTGGGGCTGGCTCCAAGTGAAAATTGTATGGAAATGCAGTTGGAAGGTAAATACTAGAAAGGCTAGAGAATGAAGGCTTTGGGAGGCAGCTCCAGCAGTCCATGGTGGGTGAAGAGGCTGCTGCTGGGGATAGCAGGTAGCCATTTCCAGAATTTAGTGTTTGGCAAGCTTGTCAAAATACAGATTCCTGGGCCTACCCCAAAGGGCCCGAATCATCAGATCTACGGAGGACAGAAAGCAGGTGAGCACAGCTTACAGGATTGAGAAGACAAGGAGGTTCTGTTGTACAGGGGGGGAACTAGTAGCCAGCTGGTGGGACAAGATGGGGGAGGGGAGGGCTTCCAGAAGGAGGAGGTGTTGTAGCCAGGCCTCGAAGGAAGGAGTTTGGTTAGGGCTGATGGGCAAGGCTCTTCCAGGCAGAGGAGACAGTAGGAGACAAGACTTATAATCAACTGTGTTTTCCCAGCCAGTCTAGGAACTGGGCTACGATGCCTCTGGAGTCTGGAGTCAGAAAGTCATTTGGATTTTTACTTAAGTCTGGAAGCTCAAGTTTATTTAGGCCAAAGGTGAAAGAGGACTGGAAGGTTTGGGATGCAGTGAAGGAAATTATTATGGGTCTATTATCACTAAGCCTCCCCTTCCCCCAGATCACATACTTCTGATTGATTCCTGTTAGCAAAGAATGGAAGGCTGAGTGAAGGGTGGAGAAGGGGCAGGCCATTCGAATTTTATGATCTCAGTGGAAAAGGCTGCTGTGAGTAGATTCAGTTGCTAGAAGAGCCACAGAGATGGGCTCCGTGAGTCACTGTTCAGTCTTGCAAGCTCAGCCCACAGAACCTACTGTGGTCAGCCACCCCAGGTTGGCTCCCGGCCTAGCCCCTCAATGGTCCCCACTGGGCTTCAGTCTGTCCCTGTTTCTCTCTGTATCTCTGCCATCCCTGGTACTGTGTATCCTGCAGCTCTCCGTCTCTTCTGTCTCCCTTTCAGTCTGGGCCTCTGAATCTGGCTTCATCTGTGACTCTGGTTTTCAGGTGTCCCACCAATGAGGAGCCTCAGGAAGGCAGGAGCAGTGTGACCAGACTCAGACCCTTCCCCCCAACATTCTGTGCCAGGCCCTGTACAGGCCCATTGGTGCTGGAAGTACAGAAGTGGACAACATGCAGTCTGCTTACAATGCACATTCTATGTGGAGTGGGGAAACCAGGGCAAAGCCCTGCTTCTATCTCAGCCTGTCTGTGCCTCCCCTGACTGCCTGCTGTGCCCAGAGGCCAGGGTCAGCCAGAACCTGCCAAAGCCTCTTCTTTGCTTCTGGCACTGGGAGGGTATGTGTTCCTGCCAGCAGGTTCCTCTTAGGGCTCCTGAGGGGCCTGGCTGCTGGGTGGGAGTGGAGAGTGGATGGGGGAGGGAGGGAGAATCAGTGACTCAGTGGGGGTGGCCCTGGGACAGAGCTGAGGAAGGAGCCAAGGTTGGACCCAATGCTCAGTGAAGCCAAAGGAGGGAGGGAAGAAAGTTCTGGGAGCTGAGGTTGGAGCAGGACAACTCTGAAGACAGCCCTGGTTCCTTGTTCCTCTTCAGTATCTGCCTGGGGGTCTGGATGCTGGGTGCTGGGATGGGCAGGCAGCCGCATTCCCCCTGTGGCTGCTGCTCCTGTCTATGTTCATGAAGAGGATTCCTTCCTTAGGATCCAGAAGGCATTACCCCACTGTGCTCTCCTCCAGGGACCCAGGGACCAAGGGCCTGGCTCTGCTGTAGCCCCCACCCCCACCCCAATCTCCACACAAAATATATGTGAGTACAAGCTCACATGTACTGAAGGGACCCCAAATTTCAGTGCTTGGAGGAATTTCACAACTATCCAAGTGCCTTTCATGATTTCAAGATCCCAGAGGGTGGAATGATGCGACAGGGAATGAACACAGTCAGTCTGTCTTGGTCCATCTGTAATCCCAGGAGAAAAAGAATAACTTTTTTTTTTCTTTTTAAACAGGTGAGGAAAGTGAGGTGCAAAGAGAAGAGAATCCCTGGAGCAACCTCAACAGGTGAGTGGAGTCAGGCCTAGGATGTTTTCTCAGGTTCCAAGACAAGAAACTCAGCATTGGTCTATTTAGCTGGACTCTGGGGCTGGGGGGAGGAGGGGAGGTTCCTGGGAAAGCAAAGGGGCCGAGGGGTCTGGTGGATTCCGCCAAGCCTGAGTCTGTTCCCATCCCTGAGGCCTCACTGATGATTCCTCCACCTTCCAGCCCAAGTAATAGCACCTTCAGGGCGTGGTATCTTGTCTCAATCTCAATGACAAAGGTGTTTTGTTTTTGTTTTGCTGGTGCTAAGGACCAAGTCTGGCGGAAGGCAGGCTAATTAGTGCGGGGTCAGATTTGCACCCTGAACCGGTACCATCCTGTCTTTGAGTGGGAGAACTTGGAGATCAGGAGCGAGGTGGGGATGCAGCACGGTGCCCTTCGCTCCCATCCTTCATGAAGATACCCCCAGGGGCTCCCAGAAGCCGCCAGGAGCTGCTCCGGGCTTAAGGGTCTGCCTCTAGAAACCTCCAGAAACTCTGGGCCCACACTTGTCTTCTTGGGACCAGATTTGGGCGTCGACAGAAGTAAGTACGCGTCGTTTCGCCCGAGGAAAGGGGCAGATCTTACCCGGCAAGGTGGCAAGGCGGCGCGCCCACCCGACACCGAGACTTCCTCGGCGCGTGCCAAAGCGACTCGTGTCCCGCAAGCCCCCGCCCCACCCTGCGGGAGCCAGCCGCCCGCTCACCCTCGAGGGGCATCGCTGCCGGAGCCGCGGAGCAGCCGTTGGTCGCAGCCGAGGGAGGGCGCGCCGAGTCCGCAGGGCGCCGGGGGTGGGGAGCCGCGTGCCCCCGGGGAGGGGTCGGTCGGGGCGCGCGGGGAGGCTGAGCTTCGGCGCCGTCGCGTTTCCCTGCCACCGGGACCTACGGGCTGAGCTGTGACTCTGCCCTCCGGCCCCTAGGGGGAGCAGCAACGCCGGGTGCCCATAGTGGCCTCGTGCTTCCTCTCTTCCACCAGTAGGCGGCGTCCGTGAACGCCGGGCGGCCGCGCTGTACCTGCCGTCGAGGCCGCGGTGAGTTCGATGGGTCCAGCTGCGCAGCTTCCTCGACTTCACTGTTCCCTGAGTGCAGGTTATGGGCGAAGGAGGCGCGCACCAGCCCCCGCGCCGTGACTGGGGCCTGCTGGGGTCTGGAGGGCCTGCGAAGCCGGGGCGTGAGGGCGTGTCCGACCGTGGGGCCCCCACCGTGCAAAGACTCATGGGAGCGCGACGCGGGTCTGAGCCGAAGGGCGATCCTCACCCCCTGGTGTTCTTCTTCCGCAGGCCCGAACTCCAACAGCCACGGCATTCCCTGGGTTCTGGCACCTTCTATGGCCTAGGGCGCCCTGCCTGCATTGCCGGTGGAGGACTGCCAGACCATCTTCAATCCAGTTCCTGGATGAGCTTGGCTTTTCCTTTACACTGGTGCCCAGTCACTGGCTCATTTGCCCAGAGCAGACCGACCAATTCTTAGCACCGGGTGATGGCAGGGCCCTTGGAGGATGGGAAAGTGTCCCGAGATTCCCAGGGCCATGCCACAGACTGGAGGTTTGCTGTGTGCAGTTTCAGGGATGCTTGGGAGGAGAAGGAGGACCCTGCTACTCAGATACAGGTTAAGGTCCCCCGTCCTTCAAGACCAATTGCAGGGGCAGCTCAGAGCAAAAAGCTACAGGACAGCCCCTTATCCAGGGAACTGCGGTCACCTCCAGAACCAAGGGCAGTGGACGGGTCAGGAGATGGCCAGAGGACTACATTAGGAGGCTCCTCAGTCCAGTCAGAGGAGCCAGCCCTCACTGGAATGGAGAGCCTTCTGAGTCCCATGTCCTCCCAGCTCAACCTAGCTCAAGATGAAAGTGACAACGGAGGGGGAGGTGTGGTAAGGGGCGAGGGTCCAGGTGGGACATTGCCAGCTAGCTTTGTTGCTGGAGGGTTGCTGTCCAACACTGTGGACCTTGGAGACCCTCTACCAGAGACTTCATCAAAGCTACTGAAGGCAGGTAAGGAAGGCTGGCCTCAGGAAGGATGGCTATACCTGGGGGTAGGTGTTGAGATTTATGAAGTCTCTGACTCTACTCAGCCCTGGCCTATGGGTAGGGGTCCAATAATGACCCAGGCCATTTCCCTTCTCAAGACCCCACTGGATCCAGCGTTCCTAAGCTTTCTGACTGCCTCCTAGCCCAAGACCTCACCTGGGAGCTGCTGGCCAGTGGCATGGCTGCCTTGCCAGGTAACTGGGAGAGTCTGGTAGTGATGGAAGATGGGCGCCTCCATTGGGTGGGTGTTTACTATCTCATCTCCCCAGGGACTCGGGATGTAGAAGGCCGAGCAGTGCTGCTGCTGTGTGCCAACAGCTCAGCCTGGCTTCACCCCAAGTGCAACAGCCATGAACTCATCTGCCTCCTGCTCTACCTGCGAGGAATCCCCAGGTTTGGAGGAAGTGGTTGGAGGACTGAATTTGAGCCAGCATTTTCAGGGTTTGGAAATCGGATATTAAAATAAAGCTCATCCCTTTAGGCCCGAAGTACAGGCCCTAGGACTGACTGTAGTAGTTGATGCTCGAATTTCTTCCCCGAGTTCTTCTCTCTTCTGGGGGCTCAGGAAACTACAAGTGAGTACAGGAGTGTGGCTCCATTTCATTCCTTTAAGAGTTGGTGGTGGGCCGGGCGCTGGTGGCTCACGCCTGTAATCCTAAACTACTCAGGAGGCTGAGATCTGAGGATCTCGGTTCAAAGCCAGCCCAGGCAGGAGAGACCGTGAGACTCCTATCTCCAATAAACCACCAGAAAACCGGAAGTGGCGCTGTAGCTCAAGTGGTAGAGTGCTCGCCTTGAGCTGAAGAGCTGAGGGACAGCGCCCAGGCCCAGAGTTCAAGCCCCAAGAACGACCAAAAAAAAAAAAAGTTGGTGGTGGGGCTGAGCTCTGATTCCTTGCAGGAAGCAGCTCCAGGATCTGTACACAGGATACTGCTAGTGGGAAAGATGTCAGAGGCAGTGCCTTCAGGGCTTCAGGTAAGGAGCCAGGGTGATTGCGGTGGAGGTAGGTTCTTTCTTCAACCAACTCTGGCTCCTAACACCTTCTTCTTAGTTGGAGCAGCTGCCCTCCCATCAGAGCTTACTGACCTACATCCCCACTGCTGTGTTGCCCACTTCGCTTGGAGGACACCTGCCTTACTGTCACCAGAGCTGGCTGGATTTCCGGTTGGTCAGTGCACCAGGGGTGGCAGAGTACAAGGGAGTTGTGTAGTGCCGGGTCTGCAGAGGAGCTCTCCTGAGTCAGCCTGAGTAAAGCTGGCTGCAGTGGCTTGGAACCAGCACTGCCCATTAATCATGCCTGCCCCTCCTCACAGCGTCTGGAAGCCCTACTGCAGAGCTGTCAGGTGGTTTGTGCCCTGCTTCAGGAGGCCATTGAGAGAATGAAGGCTGTGCCCCAGCCCATGGCACCTGGAGTGAGTGTCCCCTTCTCATACCTCTGAATGTTCTTAGACTCCTTCCTTGTTGTCTCCCACGTCCACCGTTGCCTGTTGCCCTTAATCATAGGAAGTTGGTCAGCTGCTACAGCAGGCTCAAATCCTGATGCAGCAGGTGTTAGACTCACCACAGCTGGCATGGATACAATGCCAAGGGGGCTTGGAACTGGCTTGGCTGAAGCAGGTCTCAGAGATGACCCTGAGCCCAGACTATAGGTAGGTACAAACCCAGATCCTGCTCACCATATCTTGCTGAGCACTCAACTGGCTGGCTCAGTACCAGCCAGGATTATGAGTCTCAGGGCAGGGTGGAATTGAGTAAGAGGACCCACAAGGTATCAAGTAGCACATATGCCCTATGTAGGCCAGCAGTGGACAAGGCTGATGAGCTGTATGGCCAAGTGGATGGACTCCTGCACCAGCTGACCTTGCAGAGCAACCAGCGGATACAAGCCTTTGAGCTGCTCCAAACACTGGAGGCCCAGGAGGGTGGGCTGCACCAGGTGGGAACCATTTATTCAGAGCCAGCTGCTGTTGATTTCCAAGGTGACCCCCCCCCCAGCATCTGTTCTCACCATTCCCTGCTTATGTCTATCCAGATTGAAGTGTGGCTACAGGAGGTAGGCTGGCCAGGCCTGGAAGAGCCAAGGGAACCCTCACTGGACATGCTGCTCCAGGCCCAAGGCCCTTTTCAAGAACTGGACCAAGTGGCCCAGGTAAATTTGGACATAGTTCATTCTGGAGGGATTGAGGCATTTGCCCAGGGCCTAGGATGGCGGGAGTGAGTGAAAACAAGCCAGTCTACCCAGTTCTTTTGGAGCTCACCAAGCAGCAGAGGAGATCCGTTAGAACCCAGGCTCATAGTCACATACATGTTTTCAGACAGAGGTAAGAACTCTGGAGAGAAGCAGTACAGTGCCTCTCCCTGCCTTCGTAGCAAAGACCTGATCAAGCAGGTGTTTTAGGAAACATTTTGGAGGGACTTTTTAAGCTGAAAGTTGAAGGATAATTTGGGGTCAAACAGATGGAAGAGGTTTGGAAATGGTCATTTTAGGCTGGGAAATAGCTTTTATTTATTTATTTATTTATTGTCATTTGTGGGGCTTGAACTCTGGGCTTGGGTGCTGTCTCAGTGCTCTTCAGCTCAAGGCGAGTGCTCTACCACTTAAGCCACATGGAAAGTCTCATGGACTTTCCTTCCCAAGCTGGCTTTGTACTGTGATCCTTAGATCTCCAGCCTCCTGAGTAGCTAGGATTACAGGCATGAGCCACCAGCACCCAGCCTAACATGTTTGAAGATCCGTTGTCAGGAGGAAATATGTTCCTGAGAAACTATAAAGCCAGTGAGGTTGAAATGTGAAGCAGGAGAGATGAGATGAAGCTGATCACTGCACCCTGTTACAGTGAAAAGTTTGGGCAAGAAAGTTTCATAGTCAGTTCCATATTCCAGGAAGATATTCTTGGTTTCTGTGCGCACTTTGTCTTGTAGGGTGGATGTGGAAGTCCAGTGAAGAGACACAGTGGAAAATGTATTCACCTCTGTGTGTGTGTGTGTGTGTGTGTGTGTGTAGAATGGGTCCCATGACCTACCTTATATCTAAATCCTAAATCTGCAGATACTCAAGTTCCTCATATAATTTTTTTTTTGTCAGTTGTGGGGCTTGAACTCAGGGCCTGGGTGCTGTTCCTGAGCTTCTGCTCTCAAGGGTAGTGCTCCAGTTGTTAACTAGAGATGAAAGTCTCACAGGGACTTTTCTTCTGGGACTGGCTTTGAACTGCAATCCTCAGATCTCAGCCTTCTGAGTATTTAGGATTTCAGGTGTGAGCCACCAGCACCCAGAAATTTTTTTAAAACTCCATTTTAAAAAACACAACAAAAATGGGATAGTATTTTATATAACCAACACATATCCTTCTATATACTTTAAACCTGCTCTAGATTAATTATACCTGGTATTGTGTATGTGCTATGTATATGGTTAAGACTATTTAAGGAATAAGGACAGGGAAAAAAAGTTTGTATTTCTTCAGATTTTTTTTTCTTTTTGTACTGTTGGTGGGACTTGAATGTAGGACCTGGGCAATGGCCTTGAGCTTTTGTGCTCAAGGCTAATGCTCTGCCACTTTAAACCATAGCACCATTTCTGGCTTTTTGGTAGTTAATTGGAGATAAGAGTTTCTCAGACTTTCCTGTTCAGTCTTTGAACTGTGATCCTCAGATCTCAACCTCCTGAGCAGCTAGGATTACAGCGTGAGCCACTGACACATGGCTTACAGAACTGTTTTTTCCCTCCAAACATTTCCAGTGTAAGATTAATTGAATCCATGTGGGATCTGCAGGTAGAGAGGACTGGCTCTAGTGCTTTTTCTGGCAGGATGGTGGGTGTGCGGGGAGATGGACTCGCAAAGTTTATAGGACTTGCTGATGCATCCACGTGGAGAAGGCAGTTGTAAAGATGAGTGGGTGCTGTTCCTAGGAAGTTCTAGGGGATGAGGAGAATCTAAGGAAGGGCATTTGTAAGTCAGATCACAGGTATGGTCCCCTCCACCCCCCTCCCTGCCCCCAGTTGTAGGGCATGAATTCAGGGCTTGGGTGCTGTCCCTGAGCTTTCTCGCTCAAGGCTAGCCTTCTACCACTTTGAGCCACAGCCCCACTTCTGGTTTTCTGGTGGTTAATTGGTGATAAGAGTCCTACAGACTTTTCTGCCTGGACTGGCTTTGAACTGTGATCATCAGATCTCAGTCTCTTGAGTAACTAGGATTATAGGCATCCCGCTTATAGGTGTGCTTTTGAGATGGGTGGGAAGGAGTGAAAAGGAAGGCTTTGGGATTGGAGTCAGGATGTAGAGGGCCATTTTGTGGGGGTTGAAATGATCTTTGGGGTGTGATCACACAAGATTGCCTGGAGGAGAGCACACTGTCCTTATGAACCCAGTTAAGGAAAGGAGAACATCTGGAATAACTGAGGACAAGGAGGGCCAGGAGGGTGGGAGGAGTTGGGGCCCAGGAGAGAGAAGACTGAGTGCTGCTGAGAAGTGGACTCAGAAGGCTTGAGAGGGGGCTGTGTAGGATGGAGTAGGTAGAGGATGGTTTTCCATCTTTAGACTTAGTGACATGGAGATGGTCAATAGGAAAGATCTAGGTTCAGGGCCAGACTCCCAGGCCTGAGCTAGCTGAGTGCAGTCTTTCTTTCCAGGAGCAAGTCAGGCAAAGTGAGAAGTTTCTGCAGTCCCTGGCTGGCCAGGAAGCTGCTGAGCTGGGTCCCCCTGGAATACGCTTTCTGACCCTGAAAGCCCAGCTGACAGAATTCTCTAGGGCTTTGGCTCAGAGGCGCCAGCGGCTGGCAGATGCCCAGAAGCTCTCTGAGTTCCTCAAGCAGGTGGGTGGGTGAGCTTCCTTGTCCCTGGCTCTTTGGTCATTGGGGCTGAGGAAAGGGCTGCCCCAGCTCCACCCAATAGCCTGAGCTTTTCCTGTTATCTGTTCTGTTTCTTTGCCTTCAGTCTGATCTTAAAATCTAAGCACTAGCCTGGAGTCAGCCTCCTGGGAGTAGAGTGGGTAGAGGGATAGAAGGTGTGGCAGACTCTCCAAGGTCCCCCTCTTATGCCCATGTGGCCTTGATGTTGCAGGCCTCAACATGGGCTGAGGCGGGCCAGCAGGTATTGGCAGAGCTGGAACAGGAGCGCTCAGGTGTTGTGCTGCAGCAGCTGCAGCTGCACTGGACCAAGAACCCTGACTTACCTCCTGCTCACTTCCGGAAAATGTGGGCTCTGGCTACAGGCCTGGGCTCAGAGGGCATCCGCCAGGAATGCCGCTGGGCCTGGACCCGGTGCCAGGATACATGGCTGGCCCTAGACCAGAAGCTAGAGGCTGCGCTGAAGTCACTACCAACAGGCAGCACAGCTAGCTTGTGTGCCAGCCAGGTCCCCACTGTACCTGCCACCCCTCCCCTGAGGAAGTCCTACAGCTTTGACCAGAACCTGGGCCAGAGTCTCCGAGAGGCTGTGCACCACTGTCACCGAGCAGCCACTGTCACTGCCTGCCACAGACCAGAGTCTGGAGGAGGTGCCCAGCTCAGATCATCCTCAACTATGCCTCCACCTGGCAGCTCCACCACTGCTACTGCCTGCCATGTACCAGAGTCTGGAGGAGGTACCCAGCCCTCCACTGTGTCTCCACCAGGCAGCTCTGACCTCAGGAGCCCCAACAGGTACAGGCAGTGGGCATGTCAGGGAGGGTCGTGGAAGGACCATATCTTGGGTCCTGACTCTTCTTCCCTGGCAGGCTTCAGCTTGTGCTGGCAGAGATGGTGGCCACAGAACGGGAATATGTCCGGGCTCTTGACTATACCATGGAGAACTATTTCCCTGAGCTGGATCGCCCTGATGTGCCTCAGGGCCTCCGAGGCCAGCGTGCCCACCTCTTTGGCAACCTGGAGAAGCTGCGGGACTTCCATTCCCATTTTTTCCTTCGTGAACTGGAGGCTTGCACCAGGCATCCTCCCCGAGTGGCCTATGCCTTCCTGCGCCATGTAAGCCACCGAGGTCTGGCTGATGATCTCCCCCCCCTCCCAATGAGCTGTTGTCCTGTGCTAGGTACAGCAAAGAGTCAGATCCACAAGGTCCCAGAGTCTCAGGGTAGTTTTATTTATATAGGGGAGACACATGAAAAGATCATTCTAGGTTACACGTTGGGCTAGGAAAAGAAGCAGGACAGATAACATGAGGTACTGGTATGGCAGTGGGTATTTGAACTTAGGCTAGAGGAACCAAAATGAGTTCCACACCAGGAAAGAGCCAGTACAAAGCTTGCCAGTCATGGTGAGCATGGCTGAATGTAGTGAGGAAAGATGGTCTGAGGTGAGGTAATACCAGAGATCGTCTCAGAGCCATGGAGGGACAGAGCTGAATGCAGAGGCTGTTTGAGGAGACTTCTTTCACAGAGGCCTGCCTCATCTTCACTGTGCTGTTCTTGCTTATTCAAAGCAGTGTCTGTGGAAGGATCCCTCTGTGAACCATCTGTTGACATTTTAGTCAAAAGAGTGGTTTGCCTGGGATAGGGGTAGCCTTTGCACCTGACCTGACCATGTGTCTTTGTAGAGGGTGCAGTTTGGGATGTACGCACTCTACAGCAAGAATAAACCTCGTTCTGATGCCCTGATGACCAGCTATGGTCATGCCTTCTTCAAGGTAGGAAAGCCCAAAACTGTATGAGGGGGAAGGTAGGTGGCATACTCTGAAACTCAGTGATTTCCCACCTACCTGGTAGGACAAGCAGCAAGCCCTGGGAGACCGGCTGGACTTAGCCTCCTACCTGCTAAAGCCCATCCAGCGCATGAGCAAGTATGCGCTGCTGCTGCAGGAGCTGGCCCGGGCCTGCGGGGGCCCTGTACAAGAGCTGAGTGCCCTGCAAGCTGCCCAGAACCTCGTCCACTTCCAACTACGACACGGCAATGACCTGCTAGCCATGGATGCCATCCAGGGCTGTGATGTGAGTCATCCCAGGCCACGGTGGGCAGGTGCTATGGGTGTAGGAGGGATCAGGCACCCACTAGGCCCCAACTTTACAGGTTAACCTAAAAGAACAGGGGCAGTTGGTGCGACAGGATGAGTTTGTGGTGCGCAGTGGGCGCCACAAGTCCCTGCGCCGTGTTTTCCTCTTTGAGGAACTGCTGCTCTTCAGCAAGCCTCGCCATGGGCCCACAGGTGTTGACGTGTTTACCTACAAGCGCTCCTTTAAGGTAGGCGGACCAGATCCTGCCCCCACCCTGTGCCAGTCCCCAATTCTCACGCATGCCTTACCAACCCCTCTGCCCTGGCCATACAGATGGCAGACCTGGGCCTTACTGAATGCTGTGGGGATAGCAAACTGCGTTTTGAGATTTGGTTCCGACGCCGCAAGGCCAAGGACACCTTTGTGCTGCAGGCCTCCAGCTTGGCTACCAAGCAGGCCTGGACGGCTGACATCTCTCGCCTGCTCTGGAGGCAGGCTGTCCACAACAAGGGTGAGTCCTGACTCTTACTTTACCCTGTACTTCCCTCCCCACAGGATATATGGATATATGTCTTTTAGGGATCCAGAGAGGACTTAAGAACCCAGAAGAGCGTGGGAAAGGGGAGAAGGCCCTGTGGCAGCCACCATTGCAAGAGAAAAAAGTTCAAAGTCAGCCAATCCTGCAACCACTGTCTAACTTGGGGAAATAATTAACTTCTTTAGGCATCCAGAGCCTCACCTCTACAAAGGCATTATAGAACCTACCTTAGGAATGGTTGGGAGGAGAAAATCTGGCACCAGAAAGGCTCAGGGCACAGGACAGTAATCCATAGGATATGGGTATACAAGAAAGACTTATAGGCCTCAAAAGACTTATGGGCCTCACTTATGTCTACTCTCCACTCAGAGGTGCGCATGGCTGAGATGGTGTCCATGGGTGTGGGGAACAAGGCCTTCCGGGACATTGCCCCCAGCGAGGAAGCTATCAACGACCGCAACATCAACTATGTCCTGAAGGGTCGAGGTAGTGGGCAGGAGGGGACAGGAGGTGGGGGTGAGGAAAACTGTGCAGGAGGCAGTGGACCTTTGTCAGCCCTGGCCTGTACTGCCTTGGAGACCTCAGGCAAGACAGGGTTCTGACCTAGGACCTGTCTCAACTTGACTCTCTCTCTTAACATAGAAATTCGCTCTCGGGCCTCCATTGCTGTGGCTCCATTGGACTATGACAGCCCTTACGTGGGTGCCACAAGCACGCTTCCTGGAGACCGTGCCTCCTGCTCTGTGCTGGGTTCTCTCAACTTGCATCTGTATAGAGATCCAACTCCTCTGGGCGTCCGCTGGCCCCTGTATCCCCCCAACTTCCCAGAGGAAGCCGCACTGGAGACTGAGGCAGAGCTGGGCAGCCAGCCCTCTTTGAGTATGTCAAGGCTTATCTAGATACAGGAGTTGTGGCTTTCTGGGCCTCCCCTACTGAAACTCACCCAGTCCTTCTCTCTAGCTCCTGAAGACTCAGAGGTCTCATCCCAGTGCCCATCAGCCAGTGGTTCCAGTGGCTCTGACAGCAGCTGTGTGTCAGGGCAGGCTCTGAGCAGAGGCCTTGAGGACCTGTATTATGTAAGTGCTATCTTTCTGTCTTGTATCCATTAGTCCCTGTATCCTACCCTGGTTCTCTGGCCAATGGAGGACAGCTGGAGATAGGGAGGCACAGAGTCATTTCCCAGAGACCTCCCTGTCCCAGAACCAGGGAAGCAGGCATTCATACCTGGCCTGGAACTACAGGTCTGAGCCCAGGCTCGAAGATGATCCAGTAGTCAGGACCTCCAAGAAACATCACTTCTCCTGATCTGCTGTGACCAAGGCATGACTAGTACCAGAGCTACCTCCTTTCCACCTGTACAGCCATGTTGACTACCCTTTCTGATGCTGTGACCATCCATGGACTAGCCTGGGGCCTCTTTAGAGGTGTCTGGCTATTGGGACTAAACAACTGCTATGATCATAGGTTCTTGCCTCCATGTCTTCTCCTCTTGGTCCCTTCCAGCTCCCACTCTAATTGTAAATTAGGGACAGTCTGGCACAAAGGATATTTCTAAACTCTAGGCTGGTGGGGTACTGTAGTGCTCTAGGCAGTGACTGGGCTGCCCCTAGCTCTCAGGAGGGACACAGGTGCACAGCTTGGTTCACAGCAGGTGCTTTCTAACCTCTAGCCTTAAACTCAGGCTCCCCAGACTAAGGGGCAAGCCCACCTCTGAAGGGCTTTTGCCCCTTGCCTCCCCTGTCAGGCCCAGCCTTTTGTTTTCTAGACAGTTTGGTTATTTTGATGTGATGCCTTTTGAACAGTTTTCATTTAAAGTTTACTGTTATCTTATTAGTCAATAAGCCACTAGGGTCTCAAAAGAGTCTATGCCTTTCATTTGTGATTTACTCTTTTATTTGTTTACAATTAAAAAAAACTGATTTGTACCCATGGCTAAGCACATGCATTCTTGGAATTAATCCAGTTAAAATGTTGATGGGTTTGGGGCTTGGGAAACAGCAACTCTGGGCATTCTAGCCCTCTTGTAGTAAGTATTTGCCCAGGACAGAATAGGAGACAGACCTAGACAGGCCCCTTTGGATGAGCAGGTCCACACAGCGGCCATATTTCCTGGCAAAAGGCAGTGTGAGCTGCAAGGAAAGACTTGTCTTATCCCTGATTTCCAGGCCACTTGCCTTATTCTGTCTCCATGTGGGTGAGATTTTCCCATCTGGTTGGAAGCAGGGATAGGGAAAGCCCCATTGTTAGGGGCCTTTGATGCTGTAGGCAAAGTTCTGCGCAAAGGCATCTCACGGGGTTGTGGCTTTCATGGGAAGTGGGCAGAATGACCAGCTGACCAAGAATGTTTTGCCTGCTACTGATTTCCACTTTCTGGCTATATATGCTGACTTCATTTTTACCAGTAATAGGCAAGCCAGAGACCTGTTAGTAAGGGTACTAGTGTGTTTAAGTGAGTGCTATTGTAACTATACACTTGGTATGGTAATGTCAAGTTAATGAGAAATTAGCTAAATCTTTCCTATCTATAATACTTAAATTTTATCAAATCAAAGAAGAAAAATCAGCTGGGCACCGGTGGCTCACACCTGTAATCCTAGCTACTCAGGAAGCTGAAATCTGAGGATCACGGTTCAAAGCCAGCCCGGGCAGGAAAGTCCATGAGATTCTTATCTCCAATTAACCTCCAGAAAACCAGAAGTGGCACTGTGGCTTAAGTGGTAGAACGCTTGCCTTGAGCTGAAGAGCTGAGGGACGGCGTCCAGGCCCAGAGTTCAAGCCCCATGACTAACCCCCCCCCAAAAAAAAAAAAAACTTGATCATTTTTGAATATATTTTACTGTGTGTGTATATATGTGCATGCACATGCATGTGTGTATGTTGTATGCCAGTACTGGGGCTTGAATTAAGGGTCTCAGGCTCTATGCTCTACTTCAGCTTTTTTACTCAAGGCTGGCTCTATTACTTGAGCCCCAACTCCACTTCCCTACTTTTCTTTCTTTTTTGCTTTTTTTTGGGTCAGTCATGGGGCTTGAACTCTGGGCCTGTGCGTGGTCCCTCAGCTCTTCAGCTCAAGGCCAGTGCTCTACCACTTGAGCCATAGCACCAATCCCGGTTTTCTGGTAGTTAATTGAAGATAATAATCTCATGGGGGCTGGGAAGGTAGCTTAGTGGTAGAGCGCTTGCCTTGCATGCCTGAGGCCCTGGGTTCGATTCCTCAGCACCGCATAAGCAAAAAGAAAAAAGCCGGAAGTGGCACTGTGGCTCAAGTGGTAGAGCGCTAGCCTTGAGCTGAAGAGCTGAGGGACAGTGCCCAGGCCCAGAGTTCAGGCCCCACGACCGGACCCCCCTCCCCCCCCCCAAAAAAAAAGGAATCTCATGGATTTTCCTGCCCAGGCTGTCTTTGAATCTCTATCCTCAGATCTCAGCCTCCTGAGTAGCTAGAATTACAGGCGTGAGCCACTGGTGCCTGGCTCCACTTCCCTTTCTTGAATAAGTTTTCCTTTACCAAAAAATGCTTTGAAGCAGCTTAAGTATGAAGAATGATGACAACATGGCTAAAGTCATCATGGTGAAGTCAGTATCACTAGTTGGGAAGCCCTGACTCCTGTGCTCATGGGCTTGGCCTCCCATGACCTGCTTACGTAAGTGTGGCCAAGGTTGTTATTGGTGAAGGCTACTTGGTATCATTGGAGGACAGTTCATCAAATCCAACATCCTAAATGTTTTCACTTTTTGACTATTCTTGGTTGGTTAATTTCGTTCATCATTTCTCCTTCCCTGAGTCAGGGGTCAGTGGCCTAGCTACCTGCTTAATGTGTTGAATATTATTGGCCTGGCTCTTGGGCAGCAAGACAGTATCCATAGAGTTGCCATTCCCATTGGGGTGCAGGTGAGTCTCACCTCCACCCAGCTGTACAGGCGTTCCTGGGTATGCCGGTCATCCTTGAAGCCAGTGATGGCCAGCAGATCCACCACAAACTGCTTGGGGCTGATGTGCAGGGTCTGCCGGGAGAGCCCATGGTCAGATAGGGCTGCAAGCATTTCCCAGGCCCTCAGAATGACGTGCAGAGCAAGGACTTCACTGGGCCTGCAGGAGCCACAGGGGTTTTGGGTAGGCACTCCAAATCTGCCTCTTAGCCACAGCTCTGTCCAGGCAACGGCCCTGCCTTCTTAACCCTGTACTTTCTGCCACCGTCTGCTCCTCATTTCTTTTCCCCACTTCCCATTACGGCTTGTATCCACTTATATTCTACCACTTACTACTGGAGTAGGGGGACAGGTAGAGAAGGTACAAGGTGTCCCAAGGCCTGGGGCCTGTCACATACCCACAGCCGGTTTGCTAAGGAGACCACTTTGGCTGTGATAGCTTTGGGGTCCTTTTGCCTGATGGAATCCAAGATGATGTCTGTCAGGAAGCGGTGACATTTCTGTGCATAAAACATCTCTTCCCAAGACAAAGAGAAACTCAGGAAGGTTACCTCTGTGGAAGAGGGAGAGTCAATATGGCTACATCTGTCCATAGCTATGATGTTAGAGACAGCTGTGGGGATGGGAAGACATAGTGCTCCCAAGGACATTGTTCCCTAACGTACACTGGGGAGGTACTTGGCCAGGGCTGGCTCCAGAGCCTTACCTTGAGTCTGGGGGATGGTTGTGAGTGGTGTGTGTCTGAAGCTGTCCATCTGAGTGGTGTAGATGATGCTATCCTCAAAGAACATGCAGGAGCCATCACTACCCACCACAGGAGGGTGAGTCACTTTGAGGATGATCCCCGGATTGTCCACACCACCCGCAGTAGGCAAAGGCTGCTCAGGTGTAGGCCTTTCTGTAACAACAAGGGGAGGGAGCTCTCCTTAGGCTTAAGAGCTGAGGCTCAGAGCCGAAGCAGAGAGGGCACCTCTGGTGACAGACCAGTACATTCAATCACCCCAACCATCTAGAGGCCTCCTGCTTCTCATAAGTAGCACTCAGGTCACTGTTGTGACCTTTCCTCTTTACAGCCCAATATTATTGCAAGTACTGAATTTCAGAACTCCAAGGGACTCTATTGTTGAACTAAGATTAGTCTCAAGGCCGGTACAAGCTCCATAGAAGACTATTAATCTATAAAACTAAGAAGTGCTTTTTGGGCCAGCTCTTTATGTTTTTGCACTCTGAAAGAATGGATATTTGGCACCCTGATAAATCAACTAAGAGTCCAAGAAGAGCCTGATCCATTAGAAGGAAGGGTGCCAGTGCTGTAGAATTTGAGAGAGCAGAGGGAACTGCCTGTATGGCAGTTCTCAGTACACTTCCTGCCAGCCCATTTCCACCCCAGTTTCCATAGATCCTCCTATCTCCTGCACTTGTCCACCTGGATCCCCTCAGCATCTCACATGCCCTGTTTGCTTTTCACTAAGATCTACCTTCTGTCATCTACTCAGCTCGGTAGGAGCCCACCTTTGTATTCAGCCAAGCCTGAAACTTTGGCCCTTCCATTCCCCTGCCTCCTTCCACTGCTTAACTCCATTGACCCAGCCTAGAATGCACTCATGCCTAACATATCACCTCCTTCCTCTGCCCCTGAGCAAAACATTCTGGGGCTCATACCTGACCACTTGCCTGTTTTTGAAAATCCAGAGACTTCCCACCCTACTCAGATTCAGAACAGAGTATCCCAACCTAAACTCAACCCACAAGACATGACCTGATGACTTTGTCTTCAGGCTTTTGCACGGGAATTTGGGCCTCCAGCTAGATAAAGGGCCCGTGCGTTCACAAACACCCTAGACGTTGCCTGTCTGCCATATCCCCACCCTCTAGCCTACCCGTGCTCCTTTCTAGGGGTCCTCATCACCTCATGTGACCTCTTGTCATACCTTTGTGCCAGCGTCTGCTGCATGGCACAGAGCTGGCATCAGTAAGTAGAACTCTAGACTCTCTTTTGTCACTAACTCACTCTATTGCTTTTTTGTTGTTGTTGTTGTTGTTGTTGTTGGTCGTGGGGCTTGAACTCTGGGCCTGGGCGCTGTTCCTCAGCTCTTCAGCTCAAGGTGAGCGCTCTACCACTTGAGCTACAGCGCCACTTCCGGTTTTCTGGTGGTTTATTGGAGATAGGAGTCTCACGGTCTCTCCTGCCCGGGCTGGCTTTGAACCGAGATCCTCAGATCTCAGCCTCCTGAGTAGCTAGGATTACAGGCGTGAGCCACCAGCGCCCGGCTTCACTCTATTGCTTTAGCCAAGGAGTTTTTCCTTCTCTGTTACCATTGAAGTTTAGGTCAAGAATGAAATAGGAGGGCTGGGAAGGTGGCTCAGTGGTAGAGTGCTTGCCTTGCATACATGAGGCCCCGGGTTCGATTCCTCAGTACCACATAAGCAGAAAAAGCCGGAAGAGGTGCTGTGGCTCAAATGGTAGAGTGCTAGCTTTGAGCTGAAGAGCTGAGAGACAGAGCCCAGGCCCAGAGTTCAGGCTCCAAGACTGACCAGGAAAAAAAAAAAGAATGGAATAGGACTCACCTCTCTCCTTTGGCTTCTGC